GATTTGTCAGTTTCCAGCATATCCAAATGAGTGCTTTTAATAATTCTGCCCAATCTTATTGGTGCTTTCTGAGGACAGCATGTACCATGGCAGATGTTGAATATCCTTTTACGAATGTCTGGACAAACGTCAGATAAACAGGATGAGAAGGAATCCTTGACATACCACATTCAAGAGAAATTACCCTAGAGTCACACCACACAGTACAGTGTTGGTTGCTGGTTTCAGATAAAAATTTATATTATGTCAGGAATATTTTTCTCCTCTTCTTTTACAAATAATTTTTATAATGAATGAGGAAATATATATATTCTACTATGCGTCAAGTGATGGGGACATGAAAGGCATTTTCTTTGAAATCAAGTAATTCATTCTAATGTGAAAGCAAAATAAGTAAATAGCTATAATACAGTGAGTAGTACCTGGCTAAAGCTATAGTAAATATGAGAATTACAGGAAAAAAGGTACTGAAGTAAAACTAAAAATAGAAAACCAGAGGCTGAGGAGAACTTCCTAGGGTAGCACAGACTGACCAGTAATCTGCACTTGGAAAGCTATCAACCGGAGCTGAATCAAATCAGCTGCAGCAGTGAAAAGGTGCGTGTATGAAGAAGAACCAAACTACATAATGCAAAACAATGCTGGGCGTGGCGATCCCAATATAACCTACAAGGTTAAAGACTTGCAATGAAACTTTTAACTATACTTGTAAAATACGATACTAGGTTTTATACAAATGACTGTACTTAAAATGGCATGACATATTTAAATGTCAGAAAGTTAAACTTGTAAGACTACACTACTGGGCCCAGTGCAGTAGCCTAGGGGCTAAAGTCCTTGCCTTGCATACACTAAGATTCCACATGGGTGTCGGTTCCTGTCCCAGCTGCTCCACTTCCCACCCAGCTCCCTGGCTGTGGCCTGGAAAGCAGTACAGCACAGCCCAAAGCCTTGGCACCCTAAATCCCCAAGGGAGACCTGGAAGAACCTCCTGGCTCCTGGCTTTACAATCTGCTCAGCTCTGGCTGTTGTGGCTGCTTGGGAAGGGAACCAGCACACAGAAGATATCTCTCTCTCTCTCTCTCCTTCCTGTAAATCTGCCTTTTCAATAAAAACAAATAAATTTTAAAAACCCTATAGTATTGTGATAATACGTAGGAGGCGAATGATGGGAGGAAAAAGTTGAAGGCTGAAAGTAGGGGAGAGAGATGAATTCCTATACCTAAAAATGTATCATGGAAAACAGTAAAAGAAAAAATAATTTTTTTAGAAAATGGTGCTTAGGGTCCTGGCACAGTAGCCTAGTGGCTAAAGTCCTCACCTCGCATGCACCAGGCAACAATTCCTGCCCTGGCTCATCTGCTTCCCACCAGCTTCCTGCTTATGGTTGGGAAAGCAGAAGAGGATGGCCCAGGGGACTCTGCACCCCAGTGGGAGACCTAAAGAAATTCCTGGCTCCAGGTCAGCTCCGATCCGGCTGCTGCGGCCACTAGGTGAGTGAAGCAGCAGATGGAAGCACTTTCTCCAGTCTCTCCTTCTCTTCATAAATGTCTTTCCACTATTTTTATAAATAAATAAATCTTAAAAAATAATAGTGCTTAGATGAGAGGTTAGATCAAGAATTGATATTAAAGTTGTATGGGAAACCCAGAGCCCACAATGGAGTGCTGGTTTAAGCTGCAGCTGCTCTGCTTCTGATCCAGCTTCCTGCTAATGTACACCTCCAAGTGCTCAGGTGCTTAGGCTCCTGCCACCCATAGCGGAGATCCAGATGAAGTTCCAAGCTCTTAGTTTTATCCTGGCCGAGTCTTGGCTGTCATGGGCATTCAAGGAGTAAGCCAGTAGAAGGAAGAGACCTTTCTCTCTCTCTGTTACTCTTTTTCTAAGTAGATGAAAATAAATACACATTAAAACAGAAACTTTGGGCTCAGCACAGTGGCCTAGCAGGTAAAGTCCTCACCTTGAATACACTGGGATCCCATATGGGCACCGGTTCTAATCCCGACAGCCTCACTTCCCATCCAGCTCCCTGCTTCTGACCTGGGAAAGCAGTCGAGGACAGCCCAAAGCCTTGGGACCCTGCACCCGCATGGGAGACCTGGAAGAAGCTCGTGGCTCCTGGCTGTGGATCAGCTCAGCTCTGGCAGTTGCAGTCACCTGGAGAATGAATCATCAGATGGAAGATCTTCCTCTCTGTCTCTCCTCCTCTCTGTATATCTGACTTTCCAATAAATAAATAAACCTTTAAAAAAAAAGAAAAGAAAAGAAATGCAGTAGAAGTAACAGCAGCAATGGGAATAAGAAAAGGTGAAAAGATTCCATATTTATTTAAGAAAAACTGACAAGAAGAAACATAGGAAAGAAGGAAATAAAGACAAATACCCTTCCTCAACTTCTTGGTTTGTCACTGAACAGGACATATGATAGAAAACACAACAGCAGGAGCAAGAGAGGAAAAAGGAGAAAGGAAAATTTGTTTTGGATAATAAGCATCTGAGTCTATAAAATACCAACATACATTTATATATTTTAAAAAGTAAATCCTAGTAATTTAGAGCAAATCTTTTACATTATTTTTTAAAATGTGCTTATTTTCATTTTATTGAAAAGAGAGAAAAAACAGGCATTGTCTTCCACTTGCAGGGTGACTCCTAAAATGTACACAACAGTGGGCTGGTCAAGGCCAAAACAGGGAGCCTGGAACTCCACCTGCCTCCCCCACGAGGGTGGCAGCGACCCACTGCTTGAACATTGCCTGCTGCCCCCAGGATACACATCAGTGGGAAGGTGGAGTGGAAGATGAGGACACAGGACTTGATGCAGACATCCTAGACAGTAATGTAACTGAGGAGCTGCACATTTTCTCCGGCTCCAGTGCTATTTGTGCCTCTGCTTAGTTCTATATTTTAAAATGTTTCCATTGGATGTGAAGTTCAAGTTTCAGCATAATTAAAAAACTCTGAATGTAAAGTCTTCACAAAGTTCATGAACAATGCATATTGCAGAGTACGTAGAGATTTTAAAATGTGCTTGCACCAAAATAAATTTGTCTTTTAATTCTATTTTCCCCATAAACTTTTCATAGTGCTGTTATCTAAAGCACATGGAGTAAAATGCTAATAATAGTTAAATCTCTGTATCTACTGGAACATGCATTTTGGAACTTTTTGCAAGTTTGAAATTGGTTACAAATACATTTTTAAAGGTTATTTTCAGAATTTATGAGTTTTTATGAAATAATACACACATTTACTGTGGAAATAACTAAATCAAGCTCAACATGTATACTAATTGTCGCACTTTTTGGCTGCAGTGAGAACACTTAAAACCGGCTCTTTTAGCCATTCCCAAGGACAAACCACAGTATGCTTAACTGTAGTCACTGTGTTACAATACCGATCTTTGAAGTTCTTCCAGTCTAAGTGAAATTTTGTATTCTCCGAACAGTGTCTTCCCAATCCCTACTCTATGTTCTGGGTTCTGTCCTCACCACTGTATTCTACTTTCATGGTCATTTAATAGAGGCATTTCTATAGGCAGAGAGCTTTAAAACAAAATCCAAACTTACTATGTAAACTACTCCTGCCTCCCCTGACCAACCACATCTCAACCTCAGTACTCAGCCTGCTGTCGTGCTGATTTCCCCGCTCAGGGGCAAGGTCTTGCCTTAGAGCCTTGCCCTCTTCTTTGCAGAGCTTGCTCGTCCCCTTGAACGTCACTTCCTCAGAGAGGCCTTCTCTGACCCCCCCACCACCTGTCCCGGTCAGATCCCATTCCCAACTCTTTGTTACTTCTACCACAGGGACCTGCTTTTTTTTATTTTACCATCCACATCAGACTCTGAAATTCAACAAAATCAAGGATCTTGGTAGTTTTGTTTAGAAGTATACCAAAGCCAACTATAATGCTTCTCATAAGTGCATTTTCAAGAATGCTGAGTGGGGGTCAGCACGGCAGTGCAGTGGATAAAGCTGTAGCCTGCAATGATGTCATGTCACACAGGCATAGGTTTCAGTCCCAGCTACTGCACGTCTGAACCAGCTCCCTGCTACTGTGCCTGGGAGACCAGCAGAGGCATCATAAAGGAAATCCAGGGTAAGCTCCTGGCTCCTGGCTTCAGCCTGGCTCAGCCCAGCCGCTGTGGACATTTCAGGGAATGAACCAGCAGATGGAGGACATCACTCTCTCTTTTTCTTTCTTCTCTGTAATTCTGCCTTTCAAATAAATAAATAAAATCTTAAAAAAAAAAAAAAAAAGAATGCTAAGTGAAGTAGATGAAAAGCCAATATAAGAATTCAGTAAGGCCCAGCGAGGTAGCCTAGTAGCTAAAGTCCTGGCTTTGCACACACTAGGATCCCATATGGGTACCTGTGCATATCCCAGCTGCTCCACTTGCCTTCCAGCTCCCTGCTTGTGGCCTAGGAAAACAGTGGAGAATGACCCAAAGCCTTGGGACCCTGCACCTGCATGGCAGCCCCAGAAGCTCTTGGCTTCAGATCGGCACAGCTCTGGCCATTGTGGACACTTGGTGAGTAAACCAGTGGACGGAAGATCTTTCTGTCTCTCTTTGTAAATCCGACTTTCCAATTAAAAAACATCAAGTAATTCTGATTTTTAACTTCTTACATATTTTTCTTTTTATGATGTATTTTAAAATTTTATTTCACAGGCAGAGTTAGAGAGAGGATAACAGACAGTATCTTCCATCTGTTGGTCCATTCGTCAAATGGCTCTAATGACCAGGTTTAGACCAGGGCAAAGCCAGGAACCTGGAGTTCCTTCTGGAGCTTCCCACATGGGTGCAACTGGGTCACCTTACTGGTTTCCCAAACACATTAGCAAGGAGCTGGATAGGAAGTGGGGCAGCTGGGACCTGAACCAGCATCTATAAGGGATGGTGGAAGCTTAACTTGCTATGCGACAAAACTGGCCCCTCCTTACACGTTTTCTAAACAATATGTGAGACTGAGAAAATATAAGAAAGAATAAAAAAGTCTTACCTCCTGCAATGACAAAATGGCTTAGGGCATTTTCATTTCGGTACACATTTAGACTGGTGTTCACTGTGCTGGAAAGAAAGACACAAAAGAAAACATTAGATTTAAAACATATCCCACTGATTTTCTCAATTGCCACTTTCACTAAATGATAGCTTTAGAGGTTCCTGCTCTAACAGGTCCTAGGTCTAGGCCCCCTTTCTACACTCCAGACTGCTAATGGGCCTCGTCGGTGGCTCTTCTGCTGAAGAATGAACCAAATGATATCATTTCATTCTAAGTAAATATTCACTTAGAAACAGAAAGAAGAATTTGGCAGATTTTCTTCTTTCTTAAAACTATTATATCTACTTGATCTATTTGGCAGACTGCCATCACAGAGGCAAAATTAAAACTGTGTCATTTTCACTGAACCACCGTGCAGCACAAAGGCAGATCAAAGTCCCTGAGAAAAAGTATGAATGACTTTAGCTTTTATACTCCCACTTGCTAAAAAAACGAGTTCCTCAAAGAATGCCAAGACCCTCTCACAGTGCAGAGAAAACTTACTTGAATATAGTCACGAACAAGGCAGTTCTCCAACTCCAGCGCCATCCATAGCGAATGAAGCCCCGCGTGGCAGCACGGTGTGCACTTTGCTGAAGTGAAGAAAAAAAAGCTGTCAGATTCCAAGAAACCTTGATGACTTCCTTGATTCTAAAACTACAGTAAAGAATGTTAGCAATACATTAGTCAGGTACACTAAACAAAAAGGAAAACACAAATTCTCCAGGGGTTTCAGGCTTCAGATATTGACACTACAGGCAAAGGCCCATGCGCAGCCTACTCTATCAGGAGGCGGAAATGGAATTAAGAATTGCTATGTCAACCATGTAATTTCTCAATTAAGTACCTGCTGATAATCTATGTGGTAAATGCAATGGCATACATAACATAAGGATTAGTTTCTTTTGAAACTCAGGGAACATTAGGGAAAGAATTAAGAACAACTACTGAGTGAATACTAAATTAAACAGCAGGAGTTAAGACACAGATTGCTCATGCAGGAAAAGGACAGAAGAAAAAAACAAAACTAATATTTACTGACCTCATGTTATATATTAACACATTCTTTTAGTTAATCTCACAATATGCTTTCTAGGAAAAGGCTTTAGTGTTAACTAAAGCTTAAGAGGAATTTTTCTTTTTCTTATTTTTTTTTGGTAAGATTTTAAAGATTTACTCATTTGAAAGGCAGAATAATAGAAAAGGAGATACAGAAAGAAAGCGTTCTTCCACCTGCTGGTTCACTCTTGAATTGTCTGCAAGCGCCAGAGCTGGACCAGTACAAAGCCAGAAGCCTAGAACTGTATCCAATATTCCACATGGGTGGCAGAAACCCAGCTGTGTGGGACATCACCGCTGCCTTCTTAGGCTCAGGAGCAGGGAGCTGGCTCAGAAGGGATGCAGGCGTCAAGCAGTGCCAAAACCCACTGTGCCAAAGTGCCTGCCCCTTAGGAGCAAGTTTATAACTGGCATCACGGGTAAAGGATAAAGGCAGAATTTGAACATGTTGCCTGTCTCCACATCCCATTTTCACTATCAGACCAACAAGCAAGCAGCAAGTTTGATATAAAACCATGGGTAAAGTCCAGGTTTTTAAAAAATCGGAAAGAATCCCTAAACAGATCCTTAACCAATTCAAATCTTCCCTAAAGTTATCAGTATCAACTCACAGCTTTTAATAAATAGGCAGATATGGGGTGGGTGCTGTGGCACAAAAGATTAAGCCACCTCCTATGTAGTTGGTATCCTATACGAGAGCCAGTTTGAATACCAGTTGCTCCACTTCCAGTTGTGTTCCCTGTTAATTAATGTCTGTGGAAAAAGCGGCAGAGGATGGTCCAAGTACTTGGGCCCCTTTACCCACATGGAAGATCCGGAAGAGGTCCTGGTTTCAAATGGGCCTAGGTCTAGCTGTTCCAGCCACTTGGGAAGTAAACCAGTGGATGAAGAGCTCTCTTTCTATCTCTCCTACTCTCTGCAATTCTGCCTTTCAAATAAAAATAAATAAATGTTTTTTTTTTAAGTTTCACTAAAATAAACCCAGAATTTTAAATAAATAAGCAAAGATGACATAGAGGTACAATGATAAAGATGGATATATGACCATGTTTGTGTAACACCCACCACACACACACACACACACACACACACACACACACACACACACACACACTCATTTTCCTACTTAGGGCCCAGAAGCAATGCTACCCCAGTATCCATGTGCATACTCAAAACCCACACCTTGCTTCCTAAACCCCATTCTCTAGTAAACGTTATTAGAGTTCCACAGGGAAATGGCTAATTCCGGAACCAGCACTGGAAAATCAGTGTGAAAATCAGCTATGAGCATTTTGCTGTGCTAAGAGCAAAGATAAATTCAAAGAATGATGCAGATACAGCAAAAGACACAGGAGTTAATTTGAAGGACTCCAACTGTCCAAATCCAGACTAACTTAGGTATCAACTAATGATAATGGACTATAAAAATATAAAACAAAGTAAGCACCTATGAATCTGCACTGATATAAACTGAAAATAAGTAAATAAATAAATAAATGGTGGGAGAGGAGAGAAAAGTACTTCCTTAAAACTGAACACTAACCAATAAATGTAGAAAGAATGAGGAGAACTTAAAACTGGTCATCAGGCAACCACCACAGAAATAAATGTTTCAGGCAAATATTATCATTTAAAGCTAAAACTACAGAATAAAATTCTAATGAAAAACAGGATATTTACAGTTTCAAAGGAATAACAAGTACTCATAAAATAGTTATTAAATACAAAGACAGAAATGATAATTTTCCAATGGATAACCTTGGCAGATGCCATTTGTATACTAAAGTACACAGTAAAGGGACACAGTACCACATTCTTCCAATTTAACTTAATAAGAATACAATGTCAACACTAGGGCATTCTGGGCAAAAAACCACAGTCTGAATCTAAACATAAAAAATCATCATAAAAATACACATTGAAGGGGATTAAAAAACCTAAAAAACCACAGTTTCCAAAACTGTTAATATAATGAAAACAAAACAACAACAACAACAACAAAACGTCCAGAATAAGGGAGATTGAAGGGGTATGAGAGGGAAACTAAACCGGTTACCCAGTGGGTGCGAGGCCCAATCACCTGAGCCTTTCTCTGGTACTGTCCCAGGCACATTAGCAGGGAGCCAGGTCAGAAGTGGAGCAGCATGCTGGGACCCACCCACATGGAAAGTCAGCACCACAGGTGGAGGGTTAGCCTACTAAACCATGGTACTGGCCCCCAAATAAATCATTAAAATAAATTACAGAAATTAGACAACTAGATCAATTATAGTTAAATACGAGAATGCCTTTAGTTTTAGAAAAGATATATTTTATAAGCATTGCCATGTCTGTGACTTACTCTCAGGCAGCTCACATACACAAAAAAGCCACAGAGAAAGACAATGATAGAGCTAACATGGTAAAACATTAGACCTTCAGAAAATCTACATAGAACTATATAAGAAATATGCATATTAATTTTTTTGCAACTTTCAAGTGTCTGAAATTCAATTTTCATTCCTGCAACAGAACTGATGTACAGAGCTAACAAAGCAGTTATTATGAGTTAGCTCTATAAATGACTTAACCCTAAAAACTGGAAAGATAGAAATGTGAACCATGGTTTTGGTGCAAGCCTATTCACAGATGCTCTGTGTTACAGCTGACCCTCAATGATCTGATAGGAGATTAGAAATGTGGCACAGAAAGCAGAGTCCAAAACAGGGATCCCAAACAGGGCCACTATGAAAACAAGCAAAGTGCCCGATGGGTCACTCGTAGGCACTCAAGCATTACTGGCTCTATTGTCCCACTGACTTTATTTTTTTACTCTAACATCCTAAAATCCTGCCGACCCCAACATCTAACAGAATGGTTATGTGTAAAGTGAACTGCCCAACCCCAACACCAGTACTTACCACAGCATCAAATCGGTTGTGATAGATCTGTGCCTGGCTCTGCTCAATATACTGCTGTTTAGCATGAACAAAAGCTGGTATTCCACCGTAAGCCCAGCCAATGATGCCTGCTGAAAGTGTTGCCCTGTAGATGTTCTCAAGTTCCTTTGAAATTCTCTGCTGTTCACTGTAATGAGAAGACCATGTTGCCTGGTGTTAGGTTAGGGTGTATCGCTTACCAAAAGATACCCAAATCTAAATTACCCCAAAAGCTAGCCAGGACAATGTTTTGTGTGATGCGGGGGAGGGGCGGGCGGGAGGCACAACTGATTACACCCTCTGCTGACTTTATCAGTGTGGTTATGTTATAGGCAGCACCAACTGGAGGCAAAACAAATCTATGGTGTTAGAACTACTAGCCACATGAGCATGTTCATCTTGTGAAAATTCATTACCAATGTACTTTACTCTAAATCCATTATTATATGAAAATAAAAATTTTATGGTACTTTGGTGTGTCATACCCCTGAAAACATGGAGAATTTGTGTGCTTAGTAAAGAGATCACACATACCAAGACTATGGGGCTATGTTTCTACAATTAAGCCATGGATGCACAGAAGAAAAATCTGGTGGGCCAGTGCAGTGATGTAGTGAGCTAATCCTCAGCCTGTTGAGCTCACATCTTGTAGGGGTGCTGGTTTCAGTCCCAGCTGCCCCACTTCCCATCCAGCTTCTCAGCTGTGACCTGGGAAAGCAACAGAGGATGGTCCAAGTGCTTGGGCTCCTATACACACAAGAGACATGGAAGAGCTCCTGGCTCCTGATTAAGGGTCAGCTCAGCTATGGTTGTTCTTGGCCATTTGAGGAAGTGAATCAGAAGATGGAAAATCTGTTTCTCCTCTACTTTCTGTAAGTCTGACTTTAAAGTAAAATAAACCTTTAAAAAAAAAAGCTTGGGTCCAGCGACATGGCCTAGCGGCTAACGTCCTTGCCTTGAACGCCCTGGGATCCCATATGGGTGCTGGTTCTAATCCCAGCGGCTCCACTTCCCTTCCAGCTCCCTGCTTGTGGCCTGGGAAAGCAGTCAAGGACAGCCCAATGCTTTGGGATCCTGCACCCGTGTGGGATACCCGGAAGAGGAGGTTCCTGGTTCCTGGCTCCTGGCTTCGGATCAACACAGCACCAGCTGTTGCACTCACTTGGGGGAGTGAATCATCGGATGGAAGATCTTCCTCTCTATCTCTCCTCCTCTCTGTATATCTGACTTCGTAATAATAAATAAATAAATCTTTAAAAATAATAATAATAATAAAAGCCATATCTTCTATTTATCTATCTATGACAACTTAGGCCTAAACAGCATTTGGAAAGCTCACAACATAGTGAGCAGAAAAGGCCATTTCAGAACAATGGAAAAACCACTATGTAATTAAGAGTTTATGCTTGGGGCCCAACATGCTGCCTCAATGATTAAATCTTCATCTTGCAAGTGCTGGGATCCCATATGGATACCTATCCATGTCCCCACAGTTCCACTTCCCATCCAACTCCCTGCTTGTGGCCTGGGAAAGCAGTCAAGGACGGCCCAAAGCCTTGGGACCTTGCACCCGTGTGGGAGGCCTGGAGGAAGCTCCAGGCGCTTGGCATCAGATCAGCTCAGCTCGGCTCATGGGGCCACTTCCTTCTCTCTCTCTAACTCCCTCTGTAAATCTACCTTTCCAATTTAAAAAATGCATGTTTTTTAATAAAACAAAGTATACGTTTGGTCCAATCAGCTAATGAATGACACACAAGAAAGTAAGAGGATGCACTTGTGGAATGGATGCAGACTGTGATCCCATGAGGTTGGGGTCTGGCCCTGGTCATTCACTGCTAACGGCTCACAGATCACAATCTCTCAACTCTGGTTTCCTTATCCAAGATGTAGGGAGAAGCATCTTCCAAGCCTAAGTCTTTCAGCTCCAACATTCGACTTATGAAGTAGGTCAAACTAGATTCTTTTTTATGACAATACAAAAAAATTTTCACATTTATCTCACAGTTTAGAAGGGCCAGAACAAAGTCCATTCTACTTTTAAAATATAATGAAAACTAAATAAAATAGTAACAGTCTGCTTCCTTACCCCAACTACTTCAGCAACATAAAAAAGCTTCAGCTTTTACTCAACCCCTTGACAACACAGTAGCATGACTTCATGAAAGGGCAAACTTTCCTGCAGTAGTGAATGAAGAAAGGAATGACTAATTAGCTAATTTATTAATTAATGAGTTTTTAATTATATAAAAATAATTTTAAAGGGATTGCTTTCTTTCTGAAACATTTTAGTTTAAAATGTAGCTGATCTCAAAGAACAGTAAACTCCCTTTCGGGACTAGGGAGAGGAGTTTTCTCTGGTCCTTACTTAGTTCCAACTTTGGATCCCCCCCACTCTCCTGCAATGACCATCAGGGTCGCTCTGGAGCCCCCTCCCAAACAAAACAAAACAAAACAAAACAACAACAAAAAATTAGGACAGAGAACAAGGAAAGCTTAGAACCAGATAGGAAACGGTCAGCTTGGACTCACATATACCTTACTAGGTAGGACACAAAAATAAGTTACTCCCCACTGGGGTATTGAAGATCTCTCTGCACACCCCTCCTAAAACTGTTCTGCATCTCAACTGTTGACATATGCCTTGTTAGAGTTATAAACCGGTTCTGACTATCCTAAAATCCGCCAAGTTCAGTAAAAATTATGCTTCAATATAATAAACTGCTAAATACTAAAATGAAAATTGACACAAAACGGCTGAATAGTATCCTATAGTCATTTTAAGGGGTATGGCAGTCAGTTGTGTATAAACCAAACTAGAAATGTCAATGAGGTAGTCACAGGATGTGGTTAAGAACTTGCATTTCCATTAACTCCATACTGTTGCAAACTGTTTTGATGTTATGTTATAGCTTTTAATTGGTCGGGACGATATTCTGCCAGCTCTGCTTTTAGACCAGAGATGGTCTCCCCAAGAAACTGTTGAACTGATCTGGACAATAATATGCTGGACTCTATGCATGGTACCTGCTTGCAATGAAAGAAGCATGACTGGATTTTAACTGTAATACTGCAATAAGATGAAGTAATCCACCATGGGGGGAGAGTACAGGCAGGGGTTGGGGGAGCCTCAGAGCCTATGAAAAGGTGTCATAAAATGAAATGTAATTTAAAAAAAAAAAAAAGGAAAAAGAAAGATCTCTTTTCCTCAGTAAAAACGTGAGACAATAGTTACTACTATTTTTAATTCCATATCTGGCACCCCGAAATTGGGCGGGTCAGGGGGAAGGGGGAGACACAAGTTAAAAATACTCCTTAGTGTTGGACCCACTGCAACACAATACTGATGCAGATTTCTTCAGTCCTCAATTCCAGAGCCAATTCTGACGTGAACACGGTCCCATTTTTCTGCTCTGTAGTCCACCAGTGCACCTACAGTCAAGTTATGTTCCCTAAATATTCCTAATCAGCCAAAAGAACCACCGAATGGCCAAGTCAAGGAGAAACACTGAGGTCTCAACTCATTTCAAAATGACCCGCGCGGCCCGCCCTCGGTCCTTGGCCCCACCCGCGGCCCCGAGGCACTTTTTACTCTCTGAGGAACAGCTCCCGCAGACGGTCCCATCCGGATTCCGGGTAAGAGCGTCCTGGGATGTAGGAGGGCAGCTTCCGATGCTCTGCAGGGGCTTCCGACTCAGCAGCCCCCTTGTCAGCAGCAAAGACCCGGGGGAAAGGACTCGGCGCCCTAGAAGGGAAGCTCCGTGGGGCCGGCGGCTGCTCCTCCATCCGCCTCGCGCGAGGTGGCGGCGGCCCCACTCGGGACCTCAGGGCCCCGAGGAGACACGCGCCCGGTGGAGGAGGACTCTGAGTGTGAGCGGCCCCAGAGACACGGGCTAGTCCGCCGCACCTGCCGCGGCCGTCCCCCGCATCCCCGTCCTCCCGGCCGGCGTCAGCCCAGGAGACACACGACAGGAAGTCCTGCCTCCACCAGGGCAAAGGGCGAGGGGCGGAACCCCGAGGTGGGCACTTCCGGCGGCGCGGGTGGAACATCGGTCTCCCCGACCGGCTTCCGGAAGTGAGTTGGCAACCCTAGGCGACGTTCGGCGCCCCGGCATCACGTGTACGCCGCATTTTTCCTGGCGTGTTCCACTTAGCTTGAGTGGTTGCGGGCCCAAGTAATTTAGCATATTTTAAACCACGGAAATGTGAAGCAAATGAGTAGGCCAGCAGAGTCGAGCCTAGCCCGCCATGGCCCTGGCTGCCGAGCTGGGCGGGGTCTGTTCGCGTGATGGGCTTGGGGTCTAATACGGGCAAGAGTCAGCTTTTGGGGTGCTCCGCCTAGTGGACGTCACTCCCCTTAGTTCACTTCCTGGCTTCTCAAAAGGCAGGTGCGTTTCTGCATTTTTGGTGGAGTATTGGATGGTCCATCTATTATTTCCTACTGCCTTTGCTCCCCATCTGCCTTGTGGTGTCATTTCCGTTGAATCGCACACATATGAAATATTCTGCTGGTTTAAGTAATTTCATTTAATCCTTTGTAGTCACCACAGGCTCTTAGTCTACCAGGTCCTTCACCTCCTTTATACCTCTCTGAAAGTTGTAATTCACAAGTGCTCCCCTCTTTGGTGGAATACAGTCAATAGAACTCTGGAATTTCCATAGTCTGACCATGGAGAGTGCATGGGTCAGTGGCTCAGCTGGAGCAGTGACCAGCATATCCAGGTGCATGTGGGAGATGTGGCAGTACATTGGAGCCTGCAGAGGACAACTGGTACCATGACAGAGGACATAACAAATTAATCAACTACTCCAGTCAAGTGCTGGCAGTGAAAATCTGGGCAAGTGGAGACGCTAAGGTGGACTATGTCATCTAGTGGATTCTGGAGAGATTGCATCATGCTTGGAATGACAAGATTGGCAGCAATTTGGAACTGTTGAATTATCAAAAACAACTTGAGCAGTGCCATCGGAGCATGCCTCACATCAGGGACCCTGGGATCCTTGGGAGGCTGGGTGTGGCTTCTCCGTTTATCTTCCCCCAGATACAGAAAGGAAAAAGAATATGGAAACAGTGGTCTCACTCACTTTGTCACCCTTGACCCTTTGCACCCTAATCAATAATGTAAAGATCATAAAAATAATAATGAAAAAGAACTCTGGAATTTGATAGTTACAAATTGGATAGATAAGGCCCACAAAAGTGTCCTTGACTAGGGTGACTACTTGATTTTCTAACTGTGCCATGAGGCTTTCTCCTTTTTGTCTGGGAGACAAGATTAGATTGAGCTGCCATCAAGCACTTACCATGTTGCATCATAACATTATTTGCTGATGTGTGTAAGTAGACCCACTCGAAGGTCAGAACATGTATACAGCCACATCTGCAACTCTAGGACCTGGCTCAGTAAACCAGCACACAGTGAATGCTCAGTGTTTGTTAAAGAATTCAGATCTGAATCTTGGTTCTGGGTTGCTGTTTATCCCATGTTAAGTAGAGGAAAGCACAAGCAAATGACAGTGCATGCTACACTACATGTATGAAAGCCAAAATACTTAAGATGACCCCAGAATCGTAGTAGGGCAAAGGATTTGGAATAGGGAAGAGTGTTGATGTGATGTTGGGCAGATGGTCACATAGTTTAACACTCCAATGGCTGTGGGACTCACTGGGCTTCAGATCCAAGTGATGTCTCACTAACAGGCAAAATTCACACCGCAGTGGCCTTCTCTGGGTAACTGGTGGTTTACTGTAAGGTTCCTTTGGCACAAAGCACATCAGGAATGTCTTCGTTTCCTTGGCCACTGCTTAAACTGTTGTTGGCCATTTCAGCCCTCACCTCCCTTGTCGCTCTCTACTTCCCACTGGGCCCTTACAGCCTAATTTCTGCCACTCGGGAAACACTGTTCTCCTTCTTTGGTCTGCTTTTACTGGAGCATCCATAGCAATACAGTCTAAGCCAAAAGGTGTGGGGGTTTAGTCAAACCACTGTCTTTCACTTATCTTTGTCCCCAGGAGATAGATTTGCCAGTAGAACTGCCACACCAGGCTAGAGTTTCAACAGTCACCAACCACATTGCCTGAAATCACCTTCAGCACTTGTTGGTAAATTCTACTCGAAAAACTGAGTTCCTTCCTCCCCTAGTGAATCTCTTTTCTCTGCCGGCTTCACCAGGTACTCTTCTTGCTACATGTACTACAAGTTTTTACACACAACATAAGCTCCGTCCATAGTGGAAAGAATGAATTTTAAGAAATGCAAGGAGCACTTCTCATTAACCTCCTTCAAGGTATAACTCAACTGTTATCTCCATGGTTTCCTATCTGCTCTGGAGTACGAAATCCACATCGTCTTTATAACTGTTGCTTTAACCACCTTCCACTTATACCACCTGTCGTGTTACATTATTGCCTTAACTGCAGAGCCTCATGAGATTACAGCCTCTTTATCTTTCACTGTTTGGTGAACAGTAGATGCTTAAGAAATACTTGAAAACTTTAAGTATGTTGTAACCTGGTTCCAGCAAAATTACCACAAGGATAATCTCCAGATCTGCGTGATGATAGCCTTTTATGTGTGTGTGCGCGTGCATGCCCGTGTGCTCTTCTTTATACAGTGTACAGTCCAAATGTTGAGTACAGGGAACTCTTTGGAGCTTATCCTCAGGACGATAAGCTTGCAATTTTAGGCTGAATGAATCTGGCAGTCTCTGGAACCACAGTACGGCAGTTCTGTGAAAAGAGTCAAATTCTGGCCAAGATCCCTAAAGTTATCTTTTTTTCCTACAATTCCACCCACTAAGACACACACAGAGTTCTGTGAGATGCCATTATAATCCTCTGACAAGTTTTAGAGGCAATTTCTATTTTTGACAACCAGAAGAGTCTGACCTGAGATAGTAGAATGAAGTGGAACCCTGACCTCACACAGATGATACCCCACTACTACCAACACAAACAAGGAAGTATATCACTTGTGTTCCCCAGTATCTCGCTTAATTGAAATAAACCGACACACTCTCTGTGAAGAAAAGGGTAGCCTTTTGCTCCTGAGGAAGAAAGGGTAAACTTGCAACTGAGCTATTATTAATGATAATAACAAAAACCTTCAAAAAGTTGTGGGAATACAATTTTCAAAAACATACTGTCCACATTATTACACAACATTCTCTTATGCACTGACATGAACAGATAAGTAAAACAAATCTGAATTTGTTATAAAGAAAAAGAATATCCTTATAGACTCTTCAAATGGCAGGTGATCCAAATTACAATCCCAGTCAACCCCCTTGGAGCCAATGGCTGGGCAATCTGTAAATCGAATGTGGCTGAATCAACTGTCTCCACCCATCCAATAATTTTTTAGTATTTATTCTCAGTGTGGCTCTGTGTTTGAAAACAGAGACATCAAGAAAAATAAATACTATTCCCACCCAACAGTAAGACCACAAGAGGGTAGGAAAAACAGTTAAATAACTATACTTTGAAGTGATATCAAAGAACACAGGCATGCGCAAAATGTTATGATAGCCTGTAAGTGCCAAGAGGAAAGAAACTAAGAATTCAGAGGTGATGTTTGAGAGAAATAACAATTGAGCTTTACTCCAAGGGACAGCAAATTGTGCTGTTACTTAAGTGAGAAGAAAATTGAATTATAGAGAATTCCATCTAACAGAGCCACACAGTAACAAGACAAAAACACAGTACATTTCAGACATCTGGACTGCTTACTACCAGACTTCCTAAGGCTTTTTTCCTGGGAATTGTTAATATTCAAAAACACAAATGAAATGGGTTGATGTTTGACTCAGCAATAAAGACTGCTTGGGACTCCCTAAGTCTATATTGGGATGTCTTGGTTCAAAACCCAGCTCTACTTCAGATTCCAGTTTTCTGCTAATGTTCACCCTGCAAGGCAGCAAATGATGCCTCAGGTACCTGGGTCTCTGTCACTCACAAAGGAGATCACCTACCTCCTGGGTCAACTCCAAACGGCCATAATAGTCAGATCTGGGCCAGTACAAAGTCAGGAGCCAACAACTCCATCCAGGTCTCCCACATGGGTAGCAGGGGCCCAAGTACTGAGGCCATCTCTTGTTGTCTCCTCAGATATATTATCAGGAAGCTGGACTGGAAGAGGAGAGGCTGGGACTTAAACCATCCCTGATGTGGGATGCCAGGTGGTAGGCAGTGGCTTAATTCACCACACTACAATGCCAGCTCCTGATACTGCCAATTTAAGAAGGAAAAATAACTGTGGGTGTGCAAAGGATAAAAAAGAGGTGTTGTTCTAACACAGTTTCTTTACAGAGTGAGAACTAATTCCTAAATTTATTAAGAGGTTGTGTGTCTTTTCCTTTAGAAAATAGGAAGGGAATAAAGGCACGATCAGGAAATTTGAAATCCAGTTGCAGTAATTACTCATGCAATTGGTACCTTTCTATGTGGCATTATAGAAACCTCCTGAGTACCATGGAGTTTCTGCTTTCATAAAAGATAACTCCTACATCTTTGCATGGCACAGCAACTGCTTCCTTAGACCTTTAAGGGAAAGAGCCCCCCCCAAGGATTTTTCACACACCCTACAAGGTTCTACATTAAACAAAGTAACAGAAGTCAATCCTGAATAAATTAAAAAAACTGGGAATAATGGGTTGTACTGATTCCATATGAATTTTCTGCTTCCAATGATGGGACCTGAGGCATCTTCACATGGACAGAGTCAGTTTCATAGTGACAAACACACACATGGATGATCTCAGGCACAAGCTGTGACTGATTGCAAGACAATGAAAGGTAGAATCGGGTTCAGAATCCACATTAGGATTTCTGGTCCTTCAGTGTAAGGGTTGAGCTGCTTCACAGCCGTGTCCTATACACATTCTGAATCTTGAGTTGTGCTGAGTGCAGCATGATAAGGAAAAAGAGATATTTGGCTTGATAAATGGTATTCCAAGTACAGGTGCCACGTTCATGGTATGCTGTTCACCATTGGACATCTGTGATCTGCAGCTATGGAGATGGCTGTGGTACCACAACTATTAGAGCTCAGTCTTCAAAATTCTGGGAGTAATCTGATCATAGCCTTTCCTTCTTGTTACATTATAGGACAGGAATTTAGAATATTCAGTCAAGAGGTTCTCCCAGTAACAGGTGATGTCATCCATCTGCAAGTGGTTCAAGATAAATTGGCTTCCCCTAGAAAAGAGAGTACCAAGAATATGTTAAAAAATTTAGTAGTCTGTATGTGAGTAGGCTACCTGGTGCCAAGCACCAGAACTTTTATGAACTCACCTGAGCCTGAGACCCAACCTTATAGTCATTCTTTCCATATACAGGAAGTTAACAATAGAAGGTAACATTTTTTTTTTCATTTGAAAGACATAAAAGAGCTCATAAGAATTGGTTAATTACCTCAAAGATTTCTATCTACTCCTATAAAGCTTAGGGCATATGTGAATATGTATGTATGTTTTTCCCCTCAGAGCAGCTTTTATTCTGAGTCATGAGGAGAATATATTATCATGGCAACAATACATTAAGATAACTTTAGTTAGGGCAGATTGGGGATAATGAAGTATAAACGGGAAAATGAACAGAACTTACCTCTCAGCAATTTCTTGAGCTATATTGTCGTTTGCTTTTACAAACTGCAATAGCTCCCTAAAAATGAAAAAAATTATTAGATTCCAATGTATACAGTAAACTCTTAAGTCCTAAATCAGAAAGACTATAGGTTGAGGTCTCTAGATGTGAGGATGGTAAATTATTTCCTTAAAGCAAACACAATGGGATCCTTGCAGGAACCAAATAGCAACAACAACAACAAAAAAAGCTCAGATGCAGGTTAAAAGCAGTCTGTTGTAGATCTGAGACACATAAAAAGTCAAGAATGAGACGAAAATTCCATCCTGTGGCACCAGAAAAAGGAATGGTCTTTTTATAGCTCCTCTCATTATTAGAGGAGAGCTTCCCAAGCTTCACACAAAGCAATTCTCGTGCTCTATCTGCAAGTTCTCTCTTTTTTTTTTAAGGCTTATCATTGCTTTCTTTCTTTCTTTCTTTCTTTCTTTCTTTATTTATTTATTATTACGAAGTCAGATATACAGAGAAGAGGAGAGACAGAGAGGAAGATCTTCCGTCCGATGATTCACTCCCCAAGTGATCACAACGGCCGGTACTGGGCTATGCCAATCCAAAGCCAGGAGCCAGAAACTTCTTCTGGGTCTCCCACGTGGGTGCAGGGTTCCAAGGCTTTGGGCCATCCTTGACTGCTTTCCCAGGCCACAAGCAGGGAGCTGGATAGGAAGTGGAGCAGCCGGGATTAGAACCAGCACCCATATGGGATCCCAGGGCGTTCAAGGCGAGGACTTTAGCCACTAGGCCACACGGCCAGGTCCAAGTTCTCTTGATAATACAAGATCAAATATCCCTGTCTTTAGTCTTCGAGAGATGGGAGCTTTGTCCCTTGATGCTTTTTTTTAGATTTGGAACCAGCATCAGAGCACTGTTTCAAATTAAAATCCCTTATAGCCTACTTGAATAATAATCTAAAAGTATAGGAGGAGAATTTTAAAAGTTCATGGGAAAATGTATAAATGTGTATTATGAAAAAATTATCCATGAACTTTTTAATTTTCATTCAACAAAATAAACTTATTATCTCATTTATTTCAGGCAGAGAGAAATCTCCGCCACTCATTTCCTAACCAGATGCCCACAATGAGAGATTCTGGCTGAGGCTAATATAAGGAAACAAAGACTCAATCCAGATCTCCCATATGATGGTAAATCCCAGTTACTGGAGCCATCATCACTGCCTCCCAGGGCCTACACTGGCAGGAGCCAGGAGCCAGAACCCAAACCTAGTCACTCTAGTATATGAGAGGCAGACAGTTTAACTGCTACACTAAACACTTGCTCCAATAAACTCATCTTTCAATTCCATTTTTCCATGAGCTTTTTGAAGCATCCCTACGTATGCAGTCAAAAGAAGTAAAATATTTCAATGGGGGAAAAATCATACTAAAAACCTAAAATTGCTGCATGTGGAGGCAGATTTCAGGGCCATTAGGAATTCTGTGTTGGGGGACAGCTACTTACTGGACATTGGAGAGATCTGTTTTGACTGGGATATAGTGCACCCATGGCTTCAGTTGTGGATAAAAGAATTCCAGCCACTCTTCACCCACGTGGAAAACAAGTGAACCACACAGGAATAGGTGTTTGAACCGGAAGCTTGCAGCGACACCCCGGAAATTAAACAGATACCTGGAGGAGAAAAGAACCAAATATATTGGATATTCTACACCTGCTGTCAGCAATAGGGCTTTTTGTTCCTCCCCCTACCCCCATTTCTCTATGATTCCTTTCCCTTCCCTTTCCGTTTTCAGTTTGTGGGCCATAGAAACCCCTGTAGGGTTTCCATAAACTTGCTTTTTCAGGGCTGGGCTACAGCTTGTTCTGGGCATGAGAGATGAGGAGAAAATAGTCACTTTCTCCAAAAATGCTAAAGAGGGTCAGGATCTGGGTGGTGGCACACAAGAGGACACCATGGTCAGGAGGAAATGACAGATTTGGGGCATATTTGAGAACATATAGCAAAATTCAGTGCTATGCATCAAAATCGAAAGTGAAAATGTCAAGCTGAATGTCTGTAACTAGTCACAACACCCAAAGCCCCTTTTTCCTCTAGTAAATTCTATCTGATCAAAAATGCCCCGGTTCCTGAACTTCTTAAACTTCCTGCCCACTTCTGAAGTCTGTAGAGAACAGGCTGGCCTAATCAATGTCCACAAAAATGTTCAAAAACATGGGGAAAGCTATCTTTGAAATGACATTTTCTTAGCCGCACGTCTCAAACATGTACTGCTGTCTTCCATCCGAACTGCCTTTAACCTACAGCTCTCACTGTGTGTGCAATCAGCACACTCATGCCTCTGAACCAACCCAGTGACCCGCTCCAAGCCTGATTTAACCTCCTTCACCCAATTTGTAGTCTCGGCATTTAAACATAGCATCTAGTAACCTGACAATCTACCTGCAGCTACCCGGGGTAGAGGTACATGATCCCACCACTTTCATTACTGGAAAGCCTCTAGCAGCAGACACTATGTTTCTTTCCTCTCTCCAGTCCTCAAGGAGCACAACTCAGCATACTGTGACCCTCAGTGAAAGCCAGTTAAATCAATTCATTTTCATACACTCCAAACAGCCCTTAGTATGAAAGTTCTCCCCCGCAGGGAAGCCATTTCCAAAGCAATATGAAATCCAAAAGTCTTACTTGTATTTGCAGTGATCTACAAGATGAACATCTTTAGCAGCTGGCTTCCCCAAAGTATCCTGTAAGAGAAAATGAAATACTCGGTATTAACATTTACTGGCAATCACTGCAAAAACACTGATGAACATTTTGTCAAAATACCTCACTTGAGCCTCATAGTAAGCATACTCAGGAGACTTTAGTATACTTGTCATACAAATGAGGAAGCCAAGACTTCAAGAATTTGAGAGACTTGCTCAAGGTTATGTGGCTAAGAAACAGCAGGGATTTTAACTCATGTCTGAAAGATTTTAGAGTTTAAGTTCACCTGACTTTACGTTGCCCTCCTTTGAACTAAGAGGTCACAGCCTGTGCATATTTCACTCTACGTCACATGCAGGTCACAGGTTGGCATTGTGGGTTCACACAAACTCCAGGCATCCAAAGTAGTTCAAAATATCCAGATAATGGGCTCACATACAAATGTTAAGCAAGCAAAGTAATTAAAAATATCCAGACCATTACTAACATCTACAAATGGCAGAATAGTTCTGCAAAAATTCAGATTTCCAGTGTTCAGATTCTTCTTGGAGCAAAGAAGCCAAAAAAGGTTTGGCCAATGGGGCTCCTATTCCCATCGAGCAGCCAGAGCCTGGAGTTGTCAGTGCTGGCTCTTACACCTTTCTTCTGTTCTTCTTTTGGAAAGACATTTATGTATGTTTGTATGTACGTATTTCAAAGTCAGAATTACAGAGAGAGAGGAAAAGATACAGGAATAGATCTTCCACCTGCTAGTTCATTCCCTTAAATAGCCAAAATAACCAGGCCACAGTCAGGACCTTCTTCCAGGTCTCCTACAAGGGATTCACACACTTGGGTCTTCATCTGCTGCTTTCCCAGGCCATGAGCATGAAGCTAGATTGGAAGCAGAGCAACTGAGACACGAGACCATGCCTATAGGGGGTATTGGTATCTCAGGCAGCAGCTTTTCCTACTTTTCCACAAAGCCAGCTCCTTGCTCATACCTTTCTATCACCTGCCAGCTCCTGGGGCATTTGAACTTGAGACCCCCAGATATACTCCATCTACCTTAGCATATGGTAAACTTGATAAGGGGAATAAGTCTGGAGGTTTCCGCAGCTCCCCAAAGTAGATGCTTATAATGTGTGTGCTGAATGAACACATTCTTTCATATTTGTGTTATTCACCAAAGTTTCTTAAATTCATCTGCTGTTTGATTAAATCCATATAATAATATGGAGTTTATTATCTATATAAAATCCAAATAATAATATGGATCTCAGATATATTTGGCTTTCCCCAAGAAATTTATAGCTTTGTCTCATAGCTTCTTCATATGGTACATGGAAATTCCAAATGAGGAAATTTAGGGCTTTACGGACTTTTTTCTTTTGAAAATTGATTCACTTATTTGAAAGGCAGAGCAAAAGAAAGGTGGTGGAGGGGGTTAAGCTATGAAGGGAGAAGGGAGGGAGAAAGAGAAGCAGAGGCAAAGGAGAGGGATGGAGGGGGGAGAGGCGAGGCAGGGAGAGGGAAGGAGTGAGATTTTCCACCCACTGATAATTCTCCAAATGTTTGAAACAGCTGGGGTAGGGCCGGGCTGAAACCAGAAGCTGGGAACTCCATGCAGTTCTCCTCCTCAGGTGGCAGGAGCCCAAGAACTTTGGCTATCTTCATCCTACCCATCCTAGCTACATCAGCAGGAAGCCCAATCAGCAACAGAAGTGGGACTTGATCCCAGGCACTCAAAGACAGGAAACCAGTGCCCTAAGCAGCAACTTCAACCTCTACACCACAAGACCACTCACAGGGATTTAGGTATCTTGCCACATGCTTACAACATCAAATGCTCAGCCAGCCAAAGCAAGGAGCTAGGAACCAGGAACTCCATTTGGTTCTCCCACATGGCTGGCAGGAGCCCAAGTAATTGGGCCATCATCTACTGCCTTCCAGGCACACTGGAAGGAACTAGGCACTATAATACGGAAAGCAGCAATCTCACCTTGGCTTCATACTTACACCTTAATGGCCGCCCACATTTGGGAAATTTTAAACAAATAAAGTGGTCTGGACATCATCCCCAGAGATTCTGACTCATTCTTTACACTCTGGTTGTATTGTTGCCAAGGTTAAGACCACTGGATGAAACTATGGTGTGGAGCCCACTGACCAAATCAAACCCACTGCTTGTTTTTGCATAATCAATACACTAAAGACATTATTTTCAAATGGTTGGAAAAAAAACAAAGACTCTATTATAACATGTGAAAATCACATAAATTTCCAATTTATGTGTTCCTATAAAAGCTTTTGTTAGAATACAAATATACTGGGGTCAGCATTAAAGCACAAGGTTAAGTTCCTGCTTGCGACACTGATGTTCCATAGGAGTGCCACTTCCTGATCTAGTTCCCTGCTAATGTGCCTGGAAAGCAGTGGAAAATGGTCCAAGTGACTGCGCTCCAGACCCTGTGAGAGACCATGAAGGAGTTTCTAGTCTCCTGGTTTCCATCTGGTTTCTAGCTGGTCAAAGGTGTTCCCTGTTTCCTGGTCATTGCTGACCATTGGAACCATTTGGCCAGTGAACCACTGGGTAAAAAAATCTCTCTCACCATGTTTATTCCCCTCTTTCTGCAACTCTGCTTTTCAAATAAATCTTAAAAAAGAATAGGGGGGATACATCCACGGTCATTTGGCCACATGCTGTCTATGACTGTTTTGCTATTCAAACAGCAGAGCTGATTAATCACAATGATCACAGACCTCCATAGTCTAAAATAAAATATCCACTGTCTGGCATTTACAGATGTTTGGGTCCTCTGGGTGATGGGTGAAACTATCAGAGGAGTATAATATATTATTCATAACATAACCAGAAAAAACAATGTGAGACTAAAAAAAGAATTTACATGAATGCTAACACCAGTTCATGGAACTTTCTCTATACTCATCTCACCACTGAGAGGAAACCTAGTCTCAAATTCTAGCCAGTTGGCAAAGTCCTTTGAGTGAGAATGTTCACTGCTGTAGTTCTATTCGGATGATTGTTGATTACTTTCATAGATTTCCAGGCCTGATTTTTGGTATACTCTGCATCAACAAGTTTTGGATTTTTCCGAGATAGAAGGATGAGAGGATCTCGTTCTGGACTTGTCCTGTAGAAGAAACACAGAACATAAAATTATGTGGCTTATTCCTTAACACTGTTTCCAATCTCTCAAGGGTAAGCAGCACTAGAACCAAACCCACTGCCCAGACGGAGCGCACAGAAGCCTAAGTCACTGGCTGTCGTGACAGTGGAGGAGGAGCAAATGGTACAGTGGCACAGAGGTGGCCCAAGACTGTTCCCCACTTTTCCCTTCATGAATTGGTGAGTTTCATCCTTCGTGTTTTTTTTCTTTTTTTATTATATTTTTGACAATCTTTACATAGTTAATTAGGGTAAAAAGGTTCAAGGGCTAAAGGACACTCTTCGTGTTTTATACTTGAACTTTAATAATTAGAGTGTGTCATTCTGGCCCCAAGAGCCATTTTTCAAGGAATAATTTCTTTTTTAGGAAGGTTTATGTCACCTCTGTGGTCACTGGTACTGAACAGCTGGGTGACTAGGTAGTCACCATTCATCAAAATAATTACATGAACTCTGTGGCAAATGCTCAATAGAATCCAGGTTAACATTTAAATTTAAAAACAGAATTTAAAAAATGAATAGGTTTAAAAACCTGAAGACTATACACGAATGAAAGCCCTCCTGCTGGCCCAGCTATTGGAGGGTCTTGACTTGATAGGTGAGAGTCCCTAAATCCGCTGAGAATCAAATCAGAACTGTGAATCAGTGCCCTTCCCACACCCTGATAAAGCAAGCACATAGACTCATGTGAAGGAGGTCCTCAAATTCCAGAGGTGGGCCCCAAGTTAAGAACCTAAGACCTCAACCGAAGAAACACGTTGGTAAAGGAACACTAATGTTGGCTCGGCAGCAGTCTGTCCACTGGAGGGTGGACAGAAGCTATGAGCTCTGACCAGGATTCACCACAAAACATGATCTATCTCCATTCGTGTGTTCCTAATATAAGGGGCTCTAAAAAGAACTCTTGGAGAAACTGAACTAAAAGATATATTTATTCTGGTGCAAAATAGTTTGAAATCTGTGCACAGTCTTATCACAAACTTTTTGATGGCCCTCATATAAACAATTTCAAACATTTTGCAGCAGAACAAAGTTATCTTTTAATTTCACTTTACACACACTGCTTAAAGTGCTTTCAATGTGTGGCTTATCTACTTGGTCCTGGCACCCAGGTAGATAACCTGAACAACCTATGCAGAGTCCTTCCATTACTTTTTCACTTTCTTCTTCTCTTCCTTCCCTCCTTCTCTGTCCATTTACACCAGCCTCAGTCTCCGCTTTTTTTTTTTTTTAATTTTATTGCAAAGTTAGATATACAGAGAGGAGGAGAGACAGAGAAGAAGATCTTCTGTCCATTGATTCACTCTCTAAGTGGCCGCAAAGGCCGGTGCTGAACCAATCCGAAGCCAGGAGTTTGGAGCCTCCTCTGGGTCTCCCACACAGATCCCAAGGCTTTGGGCTGTCCTCAACTGCTTTCCCAGGCCACAAGCAGGGAGCTGGATGGGAAGTGAGGCCTCCAGGATTAGAACCAGTGTCCATATGGGATCCCAGCGCATGCAAGCAAGGAATTTAGCAGCACCGCACCAGGCCTGGTCTCTGCTCTTAATCCTCTTAATTACCATTTTGCAGCTACATGGTCTGATGGAAACAGCAATCAGAAGATTTGGTGAGACTTAGCATTAGTCAGGAGGCTGACCACGGTAGGACCATCAGTTTACCGGAGGCTTCTGTAACAAGAAGTCATTCACTTGCTCTGTCAGCCTGAGATAATCAATGTTGAACCCTGTTCTGACACTCTGCAAATATCTAACCGAATGAACCTTACCTCTTTCAATTTCAGTTCAATTAAGAGTGATGTGTGAAAATAATCTGGATTCTTCTCTAGTGTAAGACTCTGATTCCACGTGTATTTCTTAATTATCTCAGCTTCTCTGAGCTACAGTTTATCACACATGCAAGATTAGGTGTACTTTGCACATTAATTGGAAGATTATCTTTGTAAAATGCAAAAAAAAAAAAAAAAAGAAAGAAAAACAATAGAATCACCTTGATCCTCGGAAATATGCTGTAGAATTTTTCTTATTCCATGGCCACTGTGCTGCTGCCCTAAAATATACAGATTTTGATTAGTTTCTCTCTCCCTCTCTTTTTTTTTTCACTATATAAGGAAGCGTTTTAACCATTTCTAAAGATTGCCCTGGAAACTCACACCCCATTTTGGGGGTCTTGGCCTCAGTCCTGGCTCCTCTACTCCCAGTCAACCTTCCTGATGATGCACATCCTGGGAGCAGCGTGATGGCTCAAATTCTAGCCAACTGCAAAGTGACCCAGCAGAGAGAAACTCTCTACTTTTCTCTTTCTCTCTACCTTTCATGGAAAAAGAAAAAAGAAACCCAGGAATTCTTTGAAAATTTCTGTATGACAATATGTTCTCTTTTGTTATCAGTCCATGGCTTGGAGGTGGTAGCCAATATTATCTAAAAATCTATTTTTCCAAACTATGGCTTGAAAATGTTTTGGACCTCATAATCACAAAGGCATTTAAACTTCAAAACCCTGAGTGAATGTTACTAAGAGCTTGGAAACTTAACACAATTATGTTTAACGGGTAGGAATTAATGAGAGGTTCACAGGTCATCAGGAAAAGTAGGTCTCCTGTGAGAGTTGTAAAAACCAGAGTTTGGGCCCAAATTTCTGTCTTTGTATCCTAGCTTCCCACATGCTCCTTCCTTCCTAAGCATTCCTATTAGAGGTCAATGCTATTGGAGCCACTGGACCTTGGACCTGAAGCTTCAAAATCTTTTTTGTATGAATATCTCAGGTATTTCAGTGTGGTGACAAAAAGTTGCCTAATGCACCTTGTCAGTAAGTTAACAATCCTGAAAGAAAAATTTCTAAACCAAGGATGACACATTTGGTATTGTTTATTTTGGCACCATGAGAAATTCTGCCCTAGTTTCTGCAGAGGGCTATGAATAAGATTAATATGTGGAGAGAATTACCCCAAATAACAGAAATGGAATGAAAAGGAAACCACTCTGATTTCATTTTTTGGATGTGATAAATTTATTTCTCTGTGCTATGGTTTGAATATGATTAGGCCCCAAACTCACCTAAGACTTTGAATTCCTTAGCCATGATTTAATGGCCTTAAGAGGTTGGAAACTTGATCTCATTTAAGAATAACAGCCTCTGATACTTGTTTAACAGAGACCTATTTATTTTCTGAACGATTTGAGAGAGAGAGGGGGAGATCTTTCACTCATTGTTTCAGACTCTAGATGATTACAATGGGCAGGGCTACACCAGGCTGAAGAGATTCTTCCAGGTCTCCCACGTGTGTCTTCTCAGGCACATTAGCAGAGAGCAGGATCAGAAGCAGAACAGCTAGGACTCCAACCAGCATTCTAAAAGGGATGCTCTGGAGGAATAAGTGTGGCTTATTCCCCTGTGTAACAATGCCATCTCCAGAGATACATACTTCTTTATTTTCTTTATAGGAATACTCACTGCATAAAAAGTCTGTGGGTTGTCTTTCTCTGAAAAAGGAAGAGAAGCCTAAACCACAGTTAAGGAGGCTTTGGTGGGGTATTTTACGGAGAAAATTAGGATATGAACAACTTAGTATGAGCCTTTTCAGATACACATGGTACTTACGTCGTTCAGCTGAAAGCACTGTTCAGTATTTTCTGAGCCTTCACACTTCTCAGCTAACCCAACTCATCATCTCTCCCTCACTGGGTTACCTTTTCTGGATCTTTAGTCCAACGTCAAAATTATCTTTTATTCCCCCCACACTTCCTCCCTCCTACCAAAATATAAACCACAGCACTGGAATTTTTTTGTTTGTTTGTTTTTAGTGGAAAAATAACACATAGTCATTATACAAAATTCTTTTTTCTTTTTTAGATTTATTGATTTTTATTGGAAAGGCAGATTTACAGAGAAGAGAGAGAAAGATCTTCCATCTGCTAGTTTACTTCTCAAGTGGCTGCAATGGCCAGAGCTGAGCGAATCCAAAGTCAGGAGCCAGGAGCTTTGTCTGGGTCTCCCATACAGGTACAGGAATTCAAGGCTTTGGGTCATCATCCATTGCCTTCCTAGGCCACAAGCAGGGATTTGGATGGGAAGTGGAGCAACCAGGACAAGAACTGGCACCCATATGAGATTCTTGGCCTTGCAAGGGGATGATTTTTGAGCCATCATGCTGGACCCCATTATACAAAATTCTAATGGAGAGGCTGGCATTGTGGCATACTACATTAAACCACTATCTGAAATGCTGATTTGAGCCTGGCTGCTCCACTTCCAATCCAAATCTCTGCTAATGTGCCTGGGAAAACAGCAGAAGATGGCCCACAGGCCTGGACTCATGCACCCATGTGGGAGACACAGAAAAAGCTCCTAACCTCAATGTAGACCAAGAACAACTCAAACTCTAATATCCAGAGTCATGAAACTACTAAAAGAAACTATAAGAGCAATACTGCAAGAAACTATAAGAGCAATACTGCATAGGCAAAAATTTTTGGATGCAATCCCAAAAACATAAGAACAGAAGTAAAAATAGAGCAATGAGATTATATTAAGGTAAGGAGCTTCTGCAGGCAAAAGAATCACCAAAGTGAGGAGACAGCCGAGAGAATGGAAGAACATGTTTGCAAACTATTCACCCGACAAAAGATTAATACCCAAATTATATAAGAAATAAGAAAAAACAAACAAGCCAGTTAAGAAATGGGAGAGTATACCTTTCCTGCACTGTAAGAAGAGGGAGCACAGACTCAAGTGTTGCCAGGGTTCAGAGAGGTAACAGAACTAAAGAGACTGAGGGAAAATCTGACAACAACCAGTTAGGAGCCAATTCCCAGCCCAGCATAGTCAGAGCATCTGATTTCGTTTTAAGAATCTGCAAGTTGATATTGTCAGGTGATATTTTGTCATTTTTAAATGTTAGCAACTTAATCAAAAATTTTTAAGTAGCAGATCTGGCACTGTGGTATACAAGTTAAGCTGCTGTTTGCAATGTCAGCATCCCATATGGGCAGAGGTTCAATTCCCAGCTGCTCCACTTCCAGTCCAGTTCCCTGCTAATGTCTGAGAAAGCAATGGAGGATGGCCTGAGTGCTTGGACACTTACACACAGATGGGAGAGCTGGATAAAGCTTCTGGCTGCTGGTATCAGCCCAGACTGTTGTGGTTATCTGGGGAGTGAACCAACAACTTTGACTTTCAGTAACTAAATAAATATTAAAAGAAAAAAAAAATGGGGAAGGATTTTGATATACATTTCTCAGAAAAAATAAAAATGACCAGTACAGGAGAAAATCATCCAATATCAAAAGCCAACAGATAGGGCCCTACACCATGGAACAGCGGCTAAAGTCCTGGCCTTGAAAGCACTGGGATCCCATATAGGCGCAGGTTCTAATCCTCGCAGCTCCACTCCCCATCCAGCTTCCTGCTTATGGTCTGGGAAAGCAATCAAAGACGGCCCAAAGCGTTGGGACCCTGCACTCATGTGGGATACCTGGAAGAAGTTCCTGGCTCCTGGCTTTGGAATGGCACAGCACCGGCCGTTGCGGTCACTTGGGGAGTGAATCATCGGACAGAAGATCTTCCTCTCTGTCTCTCCTCCTCTCTGTATATCTGCCTTTGCAATAAAAATAAATAAAGCCTAAAAATTGAAGAACTATACTTTAGTAATGATATAGAGGAACTAGGTTGGGGGGAATTGGGGCTGGGATAAGGGAAATACCAGGAGCCTATGGAACTGTATCATAAAATAATAATAAAAATAAATAAAAAAGGAGAATATTTTAAAAAACCAACAGATAAACATAAATCAACTGCAAAATGAGGTGTCTATCTCACCTCAGTCAGAATAGCTATTAGAAAGAGACAAATAACAAACAGTATCAAGGATGTGGAAAAAAAAGAACTATTCTACACTGCTTGTGGGAATGCAAATATGAAGAACAGTATGGAGGTTCCTCAAAAACACAAGATATCTACCATTACTAACTAACTATCTCACTTGTATGTGTATCTGAAGGAAATGCAATCAGTATATCTAAGAGATGCTGGCACTTCCAGGTTCATTGCAGCACTATCCACATATGGAATCCACCTAGATGTTCATCAACAGAGGGATAAAGGAAAACATGGTATATATGCACAATGAAATACTATTCAGCCATAAAAACAAAATTCTGACATTTGCAGCAAAATGGATGGAAGTAGAGATCATTATATGAAACAAGCCAGACAAAGAAAGACAAATACTGCATGTTCTCTCTCATTTGTGGTAGTTAAAAAAGAAAGCATTGATCTAAATTTGGAATACTAACTATTAATACATTCGAAAACTGGGACAGGCAAAGGAGGGTTAGATAGCAGGTACCAAAACGCAATCAAACATTCACTAGTTCTTGGGATCGGTGTTTGATGCAGCACCGGACACTGCTTGGGATGCCCACATCCCATTTTGGAGAGCCTGGGTTCAGGTTCCAGCTCTGCTTTCACTTTTAGCTTCCTGAAAATGCACACACGGGGAGGCAGCAGATGACAGGCAGCTCGAGTACTAGGCTCCTTGCCATCCGTATGGCAGACTCAGATTGAGTTCCAGTTCCCCTACCTTCAACTGGCCCAACTGTACAACACTATATAACAAAAACATGGAACAGCAAGGGAGGAGCTGGTGAGAGACAGAGAAATGGAAACCTAACCACCTGGCTTGTTGGCTCATACTATGTACATATAGAAACACTGCACTGAGCTACATAAAGGCATACCAAAAAAGCTGAAAATAAAATAAGAAGCAGCAATTGCATCCTGAAAGCTAAGACCTCCGTGTTTCTAAGAAGTTCCTTAATTAAGCACCAAAACCACTTGAATCGTTAATGTACTATACAACTAGAGAAACAAAACCTACAGCTTGGATGTACCAGAAAATCTAAATCCTAACACAGCAGGAAGGAGTCAACAGGCCCAGGCACGTCTCCGGCATGAATCAGAGAGGATCTGGAATCATGTTATACTGGAGACACCTCTGGGAGAGTCACGCCCTCCACCCCCATCCCAGGGACTCAGCTCTTAACCATCAGCTACTATTACGTTCTTCCAAGAAATTTCCTCTCCTGCACAACATGATCCTTCATTTTTTTTCTTAGCTTGAAAATGATTCAATCTTACTCAAAGAATGTCACAGAAAAAGAAGAAAACAAAAGTTCTCCTCCTTCACTCCCATAGTTTTTTCTCCTCTTTTCTACAGTTATGTAAACATTATTATATGTGTATTGCAAGTTTACCTTGCACGTCCTTGTGGAGGAGAACAACCTAAAAGAAATGGAGGGACAGTGCTCTCTTGGGCAACTGACAAAGTTTATTTCCAGAGTTCCAGTTCTCACACATTTAGCAGATAGTTGAAACACAACTCAGACTTTGGTCATGTCTGTAAGCAGGGAGTTCAAGGAAAGTTAACAAGGTGCCTTGATCAAAGCACTATTGAAATAGGGAATAGATAAGGAGTACTGTCTGCCCTTGGTGAGCTGACAAGACAGAGCACAGATGTTCACCTATCATCAAGAAGAGCACAAAAACACCTCCAAGGACTCACGGGGTACAGCTTGTATCCTGGGCAAGAGGCCCTTCACCGCCTCATCCTGAACCTCCTCTCAACAGCTTCCCATCCTTGCCATCTGTCACCCCAGCTTATCTTGTTGGATGCATTCCGACAACACACACAAAATAGCTTACGCTATCAACAGTCTAATTTTTAAAACTTAGCTCTTTTAAAGCAAGTAACTGGTTACTACCTACTGCTTATTTTAAGAAAACACACAGAGAGGGCAAAAGAAAACCTCTCTAAAGGACTTACTTTATCAGGTCTTCTCTAAAGAGGTCCCATCGTCCAAGGCCTGTGGGATAAATAGGCCAAACAGCAGGTCCCCCTTCCCAGAACGTCCAAGCAGGATACATGATATCGTGGTATTCGGATGTCTTCGACAGAACAGAAAGGTCGTTTAAAATCAGTCTCACAACAGAGGGAGCAACAGGACAGCATTTACCCCAAGACCAAGGTCTTGTTCTAGTGTCACAGTGCCAGACACATTTTGCCTGTTCTTCAGTCTAGATTCTAAACACGAAAAGGCAAGAGAGATCATGGGCTAAAACATATAGAATCACCATGTCTCAGAATATAAAAATATGGGTTTTGTTAGTTTGTTTTAGAAGATTTATTTATTTTTATTGAAAAGGCAGATATACAGAGAGGAGGAGAGACAGAGAGAAAGACCTTCCATCCGATGATTCACTCCCCAAGTGACTGCAACTGCCGGAGCTGAGCCAATCTGAAGCCAGGAGCCTGGAGCTTCTTCCAGGTCTCCCATGCAGGTACAGGGTCCCAAGGCTTTGGGCTGTCCTCAACTGTTTTCCCAGGCCACAAGCAGGAAGCTGGATGGGAAGTGGAGCTGTGGTGATTAGAACCTGCACCCATATGGGATCCCAGTGCATGCAAGGCGAGGACTTTTAGGCACTAGGCTACGGCGCCGAGCCTAGAATATAAAACCATGTTAAAGGTTGACTTTTTCAGCTCCCCTAAACTGTTTTGACTAGAGGATACACCTGTCCAAGTGTTTGGTTTAAGGAAACAGTATACCCAATTCTGTATCATCCCATAGCCCTGTCATATTTTGCTGCCATTCCCCTTGGAGTTTACACTGTCTCACCAGTTCTTGGAGATTTCCTAGTGGACCTTCAGAGAACAAGAATGAGGAAACACAGAGACAGATCCCAGGAGTTTGAACATTGACTCCATCTCTACAACTCTAGGTATATCACCTAATCTTTCTATTCCTCAGTTCCCTTGTCATTTTAATGGAGGAAATAATAACAATAGTTAGTAACAGGAATTCTTTCAAGTATGAAATTTGTTAACACATGTGAAAAGCTTTGAACATGTCTGGGACACACAAGTCTTCAGTAAATGTTAGTGGATGTTACCTAACACCACGGCACTATTAAATCCACAATTGTTGGCAAGTTCTCGGTTACTCATTGATGAGGGTCAGACATGCTCAATGGTAAAATGGGGAAAGCAGCTTTATCACACATCCTTTGAAGAAAGTTGGAAGCCAACAACTTCCTTGCTGGGCTACTCCTATTAAACATACAGCCATTGATAAGCTTTCACTTCTACTGCTTCTTCCACTGAAATCACATGCACGACATACTATTCATCTTCTCCCAAATACTTGAAACATGACGCCTGACTCATCAGCACCTGAAGCACAACAGCTGTTCAATAAGCTGTCCAACTACCTGAGGGACTAAACCCCTTGCCTGGTAACAAGAGTTACTGATTTAACAACATGAGGGAAGTAAAGAGGAAAGGGAAGGGCTGTTGCAATGGTTCAACTGGCAAATCCTCCACCTTCAAGCACCAGCATCCTATATGGGCACCAATTCATACCCTGGCTGCTGCATGTCCCATTCAGCACCATGCTTGTGGCCTTGGAAAGCAGTGGATGATGGTCAAAGTGCTTCGGACCCTGTACCCATATAGGAGACATGGAGGAAGCTCCCAGTTCCTGGTTGGCTCAGCTCCAGCCATTACGGCCCTTTGGGGAGTGAACCAATATATGGAAGATCTTTGTCTCTCCTCTCTCTGTAAATCTGCCTTTCCAATGAAAATAAACAAATATTAAAAGAAGAAGAAGAAAGGAAAGCTAGTACGCTGAAGGTCATAAGGGATAATTTACAGAAATGTCAGGTAAATAACAAATGCCAAGTCCTCACGACATACACAGGAACCTATCTTACCTCCTAGGAGAATTTCATAACAAACAATGGGACCAAGCATTTTTTAAAAACAAGGGAAACACAACCCAAATGTGGTCTCAGCCCACTTGCAACACAGGAAATAAGTCTAGAGAGAAGGTAAACTGTTATCAAAACGTGGAGATTAAAAAGTCCCTCTGTTTTGGAAAAACCAAATGAGAGATGAAGTTCCTTTTTTCAAAGTTCACGGGTTTTTTTTTAAGTCTACTCTTCCCCATAGAATCTTCCATCCACTTTACACTAGCTTCCTCACTTCTGTCCCTCAAATGCCTTTTTGTGTCAATACATTCTGCCTTAAAATGATCTCTGACAATATACATACTATACCAAATTCTCCACATTATAGGTGCATCCTTCCCAATGAGACCCAGATTCTGAGAGTCTGTCCCATGGCAATCCCCTGGATGCACTGCTTGAAGCCAAACCATCCAGAGCTCCCTCGCACTTTCTTGTTCACTCTTTATCATACTGGTCCCAGGGACATGTTGACAGATCACAAAGATGACACTTGGCACGCTGGCAGAGACATCCGTTGCATGAGCTCAACAAACAGTTTTAAAGAAAGGTATGTCCCATCTCCTTGGCTGTAAACTTTCTTGGAGCTCGCAACTCGAGTTTTGTAAGATCTCAAAGCCCTACCTACAGGGTCTTGAAGTTTCCTTAGGCCTCTCACTTCTTGACCTCCACCCCATTCCTACAGACACACCACTCATGGGTCTTTGATTCGGTATCTTCACTCTGAAGCTAACCAACACACAGACCCATTCCAGATCTTTGACCTCATCCTCACCATGGGATAATGATTTCCTGGCCTGTGAAATCATTTTGTCTGGCCTGCAAAGGCAACCATACTTGAGACTTGAAATTCACTACATCTATAGCAGCTGACTTGAAAGTTAAAGCACTTGTATGGATTACAAGTGATACTATCTATATATAAATGCCTCTTTGCAGAAAAAGGGTTCCCACCTGTATCCCAGAGGACTACCTTCCACCCTCCCCCTGTGGATCTTCTTATACTTACCTTACTAAAGGAGAAGACTGGGATAGCAGGCTCCATCCATTTAGGAACCTGAGGATAATCTCGTACATTGATCACCATCTCCATGTCAGGGAGGCGCCCAATAATTTCCAAAATAAAGTGCTCCACGCCACTACACCTGTCAATCAGAAATATTACAGATTCACAAGCGCCTGCAGGCCTTAGGACAAGGCTGGGTCCCAAGCATACTTCACAGACAAAGCAGTGTTCACTTCATCAGCTTGATGGAAAATTGCCTGAAAGTAATGCTTCTAAACAATTGAGCAAGTTATTATTCCAGCTAAGCTGTTTCAACTCACAGTACTTAATAAAATCTTTTAAATAAATCATCATAGCTTTGACAGGAATGCTACTGCTACTCCTACCACTTAAGCTTTTATTCATTCTCCATTTTTTTTCTCTTTCTCTCTCTAACATGGAATTGTTTCATTAGTAGACAAGAAACAAATTTCCATAGGATCTGGAAAAGCTGATTTTCTAATGGTACTTCTTTGGCTTTGGCTCTCACAAAGGTATTTCATTTCCGCTATAATTCTCATTGAATTTTTTTTTTAAATGTATCTGGAAAGCCAGAGAGACAGAGAGGGAGAATTCCCATCTGGTGGCTCACTTTCCAAATGTCCATAGTAGCTGAGACTGGGGTAGGCTCAAGCCAGGAACAAAGAACGCAATGCAGATCTCCCACATAGGTAGCAGAAACCCAATTACCTGAGCCATCACTGCTGTTTCCCCAGGTCTGCGTTAACAGGAGCTGGAGTTATGAGCCAGAGTCAAGAATCAAACTAAGTTACTCCAACACGGGATTATGGATATTTTATCCGCTGGGTTAAATGCTTGCCTTTAACTAAATTTCAGAGTTTATGGGGGAAAGCAGAAAACCTACTATTACTTTCAACCTGAACATAACACTATCTAAATCAGTTCCACAAACCACAGAGAGAGTGTTGTGTATATGATCATGAAGGTTGTAACACAGCTTTCTGAAGACTCCCTGGGAATCCTGAGGTTTCTTCAAAGAAACCCAGCTTACTTTGTCTCTGCTCCTCAAGTCTTGATGAGCATGACTATGGGGCAGCATTCCAAGGCTTAATCAAAAACTTCAGGCAGCACGGAAATGACAGATAGCAAATTGCTTTGTAAATAGGAAAATAATTGCAAAAGTATCAATGGTTCATAAGCCAAGGAAATACATTCAAATGTATTATTAATAAAGAAATGTGAAGGACTTCCAGACATTAATACTTGGATGGGCAAGGACTGAAAAGTCTGATAATACACAGATTGATTAGGGGGTGAAGAATTTGGGGGCATGTCATACAGTGGTGGTCGAAGTAGAAGTAGTTACAAGGTAGAAGAAAATTTGCTTTATTTTAAAAGGAATTAGTTGATGAGCGCAGTGTCTTGGCATTGTTAAGCTTCCACCAGCAACCCCAGCATCCTCTGTGGGTACAGATTTGAGTCCCAGTTGTTCTACTTTTGATTCAGCTTCCTGATAATGGCCTGGAAAGCAACAGAATATGGGCCAAGTGCTTGGGTCCTTGTACCCACATGGGAGACCTCGAAGAAACTCCAGGCTTCAGGCCAGCTCAGCTCTGGCCATTCAAGCCATTTGGGGAGTGAAACAGTAGAGGAAGATCTATCTATCTCTTCTTCTCTTTTGAGTTGCAACATTGCCTTTCCGGCCCTCCCTCAGCCCCCCAAAATAATAAAGGAATTAATGAAGCTAATTATATCATCGCTAGGAATTTAGCTGACATATATATTTGCATAAGTGCTCAAGGCATATGTAAAAAGGTTTTCACTATAGCATGGTTGTATTAGCCAAATTGCAAAGAGATGCGGTGAGGTGGAGAGGAATAATTTTATCGTCCATGAAGAGATCTACATAAATAAATCCATCCAGGGGAGTCAGCAGCTATGAAAGAGATGTATTCTATGTACTCTTAGAAAACAAGATCAAATTCCACCATTCTACGAAAAAGTCAGATATGCAGAGAGGAGGAGAGACAGAAAGGACCATCGTCCATCCGATGGTGGCAGAAATTTCCAAGTGACTGCAATGCACGGAGCTGCGCCATTCCAAAGCCAGGAGCCAGGAACTTCTTCCAGGTCTCCCTCGTGGGTGCAGGGTCCCAAAGCTTTGGGACATCCTCGACTGCTTTCCCAGGCCACAGCAGGGAGGTGGACGGGAACCGGGGCTGCCAGGATTAGAACTGCTGCCCATATGGGATTCTGACATGTGAAAGGAGAGGACTTTGGCCGCTAGGCCATGGCGCCAGGCTCATCCACGTTTTAATTTCTTGATGAGTTTATATTCTTCTTTATCCATAAACTATTTCCAGGATATATAAGAAATTTATAATTCTGGTCATCTTCTAAGAAGAGGTCTTAATGATTGGGGATCTAAGATGAAAGAGAAGCTGCTTTTCCATCAAATATTTTTTTTTTTTTTTTGCTTTATCCAAACATCTTGCTATGTGCATGTAACAATATCTTGACACTTTGAAAAGCATTAACATTTTTTTAAATGCTGCATTTAATTTCTACATTTAAGTCAAGATATTTGTATTTGCTGGGGCCAGCATTGTGGTATAGTGGGTTAAGCTATGGCCAATAGCTCTGGAATCCCATATAGATGCCAGTTCCTGTCCAGATGCTCCTCCAAATTCCTGATATTGCACCTGAGAAAGCAGTGCTGGAGTTCCTGTAAATCATGTGAGACATACAGCAGAAGTTCTTGGCTCCTGGCTTCAGCCTGGCCCAGCCCTGGCCACTGTGACCGTTTGGAGAATCAATTCGTGGAGAAAAGACCTCTCTGTTTCTCTCTCTAAATTGGCCTTTCATATTAAATCTTTGAAAACATTTGAGTTTTCTTTCACATTAAGCTTTCAAAAGTATTTTCTGACATACTGTGATTTTGTTTATATAAGACTCTCGAAGGTAATAATGAAAGTGGAACGACAGCTGCCTGAGAGCACAGAGTTGGGAGAAGTCGATGGTAGAGAGTGACTACAAGGAGGCAACAGGTGCCGTATGAGCATCACCTGTAGACATGCATGACGTTATCGAAGGGTACACTTTGTTCAATGACAAATGCAATGTGATGTTTTGATACATGCTTCCATTACAGAATGATCAGACCAAGCTAACCAACATATCCATCACTTCACATCCTTGCCATTATTTTTAAATTGTAGACTTTAAATATGTGCATTTTATAACAATATACCTCAAGAAGGCTGTAATTAAAGTATAACACTTAAAGTCAACCACACCTCACCAAAGCTGTTATTAAAAGATATCACTATTCTTCGTCTCTGAAATGACTTGTTTCTAGTACTATTCAGTCCTCCAGTTACTCAACAAACTTTCAGCTTATTATTTTTAAAGTGAAATAAGTCAAAATAGGTAGGACATGGAAGTCAAATAGGACATGTTCTTCCTTACACAAGAACTAAAATTTTTTAAAAAAAAAAGAAGAAGAGAAAGAAATGTCTGGGTACTCCACCCCTAGGAATATATGCAGAGTAAAATAAAACCGCATATGAGAAGGGGATCTGTAATCCTATATTTACAGCAACACAATCTACAATGCAGACATGGAAACAACTCACATACCCATCCAAACAGGAGTGGTTAAAGAACTGTGGTACATCTACTCTATGGAATATTACTCAACCATTTAAAAAATGAAATCATACCATTTGCAACTACATGGTTCCAATTAGAAATCATTAAGCTCAGTGAAATAAACCAATCCCCAAAGGACAAATACCATATGTTCTCTGATACAAGGCAGCCTTCATGCAAATTGTAAGATCAATAACCCTTTCCATACTGTTTTGCTGCATCCCATGTGTTTTGATGCTTTTGTTTTTATTTTCATTTCTTCCAAATAATTTCTTTTCTCTTGTCAAATTCGTCACTGGCTCATGGATTGCACAGTGGCATCATTTTATCCAAGAGGCTTTTGTGTTTGGTTTTTTTCATTTCATCATCCATGCATTGGTTATTCAGTTGCACATTTTTTTACCCCATGGTGCTATAAATTTTTTGTTTTAACTTCATACCTGTTGTTGACTTTGTTTTTTGGCTTCTCAGGTAAGGGAATGTATACTGATGGCATAATAGAGACTATCATATTCAGATGTGAAGATACAATGCAATATGCATCTCTACTTCCAAATCAAAGATGGATTCCCAATGAAACTGCTGGACACATCTAGACAATGGGATGCTGGACTGTCTGACATTGTCTGTACCAGCAATGTTGGGGCACACTTACATAAGAGACTAATGGACTTATGACTGCTTATGAAAGGGACTATACTATTGTAATAATATAGGGAAAATCAGTCATGGGGGGATTTGGGGAGGAGATAGGGAAATCCCAGACCCTATGGAATTATACCATAAAATTCAAAATGAATCTTAAAAAGCAAAAAAAAAAAAAAAGAAAAGAATAAGTAAATAAATAAATATCTGGGTGTATCAGTTTTGTTGCAAACACCAACTTTTGTCAAACTTTATCTTTGTGGAACAAATTGAGGGGAATTATAATCTACCATAGTTTATTTTTTGGGATTTGAAAAGTAGAGAGGAAGAAAAGAGATAAAGGTTTCTTCTAGCTGCTAGTTGACTTCTTAAATACCCACAACATCCATGCTAGGTCATACTGAACACAGAAGTCAGGAGCTCAGGTATGTGGGAGTCAGGGAGCTGCCACCTGCTGCCTCTCAGGGTCCACACAGCATAGCAACAGAAGCAGAGTTGTGACTCAACTGCCAGCTCTCTAACACAGGACACTACCATCGCAAGAGACATTCTAATCTTTGGATCAAATGCCTATTCCTCAGCTTATTCTTGGAATGCTGAGTTTACACTTTATTCCATTCAAAACTGATTTTTTACAAATTTCATTCAGACATTTGAAACCAGATGAACTAAAAATAACCAGGCCTGGGCCTGGTACAGTAATATAGTAGCTAAAGTACTGCCTTGCATCCCCCAGGATCCCATATGGGCACTGGTTCGTGTTGCAGCTGTTCCACTTCCTATCCAGCTCTCTGCTTGCGGCCTGGGAAAGCAGTCAAGCATGTCCCCGCAAAAAAATTTTCATTCGGGCCTGACACTGTGGCCTAGTGGCTAAAGTCCTCACCTCAAACATGCTGGGATCCCATATAGGTGCCAGTTCTGATCCTGGCAGCTCCACTTCCCATCCAGTCCCCTGCTTGTGGCCTGGGAAAGCAGTTGAGGACAGCCCAAGGACTTGGGACCCTGCACCTATGTGGGAGACCTGGAAGAAGTTCCTGGATCCTGGCTTCAGATTAGCACCGCACCAGCCGTTGTGGCTGCTTGGGAAGTGAATCATCGGATGGAAGATCTTCCTCTTTGTCTATCTGATTTGCAATAAAAGTTAAAAAAAAAATCTTGATTCATCACACCCACGTGGAAGACCGGGGGAAGCTCCTGGCTCCTGGCTACCAATTGACTCAGCTCTGGATGTTGTGGTGCTTGGGAACAACCATCAGACAGAAGAGCTTTCTCGCTGTCTGCCTTCTCTCTGTAAATCTGAACTGTCTTTCCAACAAAAATAAATTTAAAAAGAAAACTAGGCCTTGAAAGAAGGCATTTGAGGCTAGTTAGCACTCTGTGATATACAACTGTTCATTTCATTAAGGACAACGGTCTGGAATATTTCTATTTGTGTTTTGTCTATCTTTGCTTTGCCTAATTGTGTTTGTAGTTAGGACAGGGGAACTTTCCATGTCACTGGAAATGAAGAGTATTTTATTGTCCAAGAAAGATACTGGGCTCCCTTCAGAACATTTCTGAGAGCATGATTTTGACTAAAATGCACTGAAAACAGAAGTAAGAAATATATGACTTTCAGCCATTTGAAAGTATATAATTTCATTAGGAAATTGTTTAGCAAAGTATCAAACATTGGTTACGCTTTCAAAGTTCAAAGTTTCAGAGAGCATCTACATTCCTATCTCATCTCTCATTTGTAGAAATTAAAAATCTTATGCTCACATTCTATATTTAAAGCCTCCGTCGTTGGACCAATAGTGAAACTAACTCTTGTTCAAAATTCCTCAGGACATGGGCCCGGCGCGGTGGCGCAAGTGGTTAAAGGTCCTCGCCTTGCATGCCCGGGATCCCATATGGTCGCCGGTTCTAATCCCGGCAGCCCCGCTTCCCTTCCAGCTCCCTGCCTGTGGCCTGGGAAAGCAGTCGAGGATGGCCCAAAGCTTTGGGAACCTGCACCCGCGTGGGAGACCTGGCTTTGGATCGGCATAGTATCAGCCCGTTGCACTCACTTGGGGAGTGAATCATTGGACAGAAGATCTTCCTCTCTGTCTCTCCTCTCTGTATATCTGCCTTTCCAATAAAAAAATAATAAAAATATCTTTAAAAAAAAATTCCTCAGGACTTTTCCATACTACAACCTTATTTCTCCTTGACCACTGATTTTCTCAGGGTTGTGGGATATTAAGTGATTTCCACGATATTTTATTTTTACATATTTTTGACAGTAAACGTGTATTACTTTTAAGTAAAGTTGCTATCAGAGACAAATAAGGCCAGTGTTACAGCACGGTCGGTGAAGCTACAACTTGCGACACTGGCCTGCTATATCAGACTGCTGTTTCCAGTCCAGCCACATGGGACACCCAGATGGAGCTCCTGGCTTCTGGTTTCAGTCTGGCACAAACCTGTGGCCATGGCAGACGTTTATGGAATGAACCACCAGATGCAAGATCGTTCTCTCTCTCCTTCTCTATCCTTCTGCTCTGCCATTCTGCCTTTCAAATAAATAAATCTTATAAATAAAGTGAAATAATAGGGGTCAGCGATTGATTAGCTTACTGATTAAGATACCATTTAAGATATCCAATTTCAGCTTCCTGATGCTGTGTATCCTAGCAGGCAGTAGATTATAGCTCTAGTACTCGGTCTGCTGCCACCCAAATAGGAGCCCTGGATTATATGCCAACCTGGCCGTTGGCCTGGCTCAGCCCTGGATGTTATGGGCACTTGAGGAGTGAACCAGTGGATATAAAAATTTGTCCTCTCTTTTTCATTATTACAGTTTCTGTCTGTTGCTCTCCCTTTCAAATAAAAATTGTAGGGCCCAGCATGACAGCTTAGAGGCTAAAATCCTCACCTTGAATGCACCAGGATCCCCTATGGGTACCGGTTCTAATCCTGGTAGCCCCACTTCCCATCCAGCTCCCTGCTGGTGGCCTGGGAAAGCAATCAAGAATGGCCCAAAGCCTTGGATACCTGCACCCGTGTGGGAGACCCAGAGAAGCTCTGGGCTTCTGGCTGCAGATTGGCTCATCTCTAGCCATTACAGCCGGTTGGGGAGTGAATCATCAGACGGAAGATCTTCCTCTCTGTATATCTGACTTTCCAATAAAAACAAATACATTTTTAAAATAAATAAATAATTTAAAAGCATTAAAATAATATCAAGCGTATGACAGATACTCAGAATACACTGCGTCTGTTTTCTCACAGCTCAAACTGTAGCCTGTAGGCCTGGTGATGTGCCTAGCCTCAAGAAAAGGGTGGGGACAAGGGAAAGGACAGCCTTCGATGGAGCAACTAGAAGAGGGAGCCCCAGGCAAGAGCTCCCTTGTATGTCCCTGTATCAGGAGGAAAGTTCTGCTTTCCAGCCCTGAGCCTGTAGCCCTTTGCAGTCTGTATGAGGAAGCAGTAAGGTCAGAAGATCTATCTAGGTCACAACTCTTACCTGGAGGGGAACAAGCAGTCATTTTCCCGGTATAACCTGTTCTGAATGATCTGATAGTGGGTCCCGAGCTTCCGCTGGACTACTTCAGCCATCATCTTCCTGGAGATACCTCCTCGGAAAGGTGTCAGATCCTCTTCAATGACACTGAGAAAGAATGCAGATCATCAAGTAAGGCAGGGCACATTTAAGCTCAATATTAGGGGCTACCATCAGGTGGGCGAATGGGCTGGGATGAGCACCACAGCTGCCTAAAACATCAAACACAAGAAGGCCACAGAACATAAAAAGCCGTATCTTGCCTCCCTCCAATCTTCCTCGGTGATTCTTTTTCCTCCTTGCTACTCAGCCATTCCTGCACACCCACTCTCCACAGTCCCACTGCCTTCCCCTTCTCTGCAAGGAAAGGGATGCTCCCAACCCAACACTACCTGATCCCCTAGTTGTGGTCTGTCTGGCACACCCCCACCAGGCTCCAATGACGAGAAAGGACATGACTGATTTCTGTACCCCTTTTAAGGTTTGGCACATGGAAAGATTTCAGGAATCATCACAAGCATAAGGTGGAGTCAGATAACACCATCTGGAACTACAAGAAGCCTGTTGCTTAACTGAGGAGGAGCCTGTGATCCAGAGAAGTGGTTTGCCACCAGGGTAAGCCACAAGGACAATGAGTGAGAGAACTCAAGCCTGCTTCCCAAGTCCTCTAAGAACTGCCCAGCCCTCAGTTGGTGCTCTAAAGATAACCAACAAGCAAAATGGATGAGATTCACTGATCAGTATGTTCATTCCATAACATCCATAGAGTACTCACTGAGGATCAGCCCCAGGGACATCACAACAGAGACCCTGACCTCAAGAAGCTCAGGTGACCTCCAAGCACATGAGCTGAATCCCTCAAGGGTTTATGCTCGATTATCATGGCCTGTCCTATCCTAGGAAGCATCTGATCCACCTTTCTGCTTGGCTCCTGGTGACAAGGACACATGAGAGAACTCACCCACGGTAGCAGCTGCAGTTCTCACTTGAACATGGTTCATAATTCTCCAAAGACCTGTTAATCTGATCAATGAACACTTTCCATTTTGAACCTTCAAAGAGAGAAGTAAAGGAGAGTTAACCAAACATCCCTGGGCATGCAGGTACACCGAGGAAAGAATCAACAGAAGATCTCCAAGAATTCCCTTCCCATAGCATTAGTGGGAAGGAATGGCCCAGGAGAATTCCCTCTATAACTCCTCACAGTTCTGGTTAAGTCCACTCCTCCACCTGGACCATCAGGTGTCCAAGCATTGGGAAGACTCGCAAGCCTAATGCCTGATCGTGACGCAGATTCTCATCTTCTCCTCCTGAGCCTCATCAAGAGTTGTAAGCAAAGGCCATACATTAACCCACTGCTCATGTCCTCCCACAACACACGCACCGGTAAATGCACAGACACATTCTGCTCCCTACCCCAGTAAGATTTAGGGAGCCCAGGGAGGTGAACAGGGGGAATGCCCCTCTCCTTCTCACTCCAAATTCAGGAGGCCGGGTTCCTCTGCAGGGCAGCGGCTGAGACCCCCACACATCCTCAGTCCAAGCTCCCAGACGCCCGGCGCCCACCGCGCAGCTCTGCGCTGCAGAGGCCACAGCATCCTTCTCCAGGGCACCGTGGCGCCGTAGAGCGCTTCCTGCCCGCCTCCTGATCCCGAGCCCCAGCACCAGGGAGCCCACCTGACTCCTTCTGGCGGCCCTGTCCCGGGGACAAGAGTAGCAGCAGCAGCCAGAGCCGAAGCGGCGACCTCAGCCGCCGCTCCATGGCCAGCGGCCCGACTGCGGGCTCCCCGCGGCGGCGCGTGCGGAAGCGCCCCGCACAAGGATGGCCGTGGGCGCGGCAAGCACGCGGGCGCCGGCCGCCCCGCACAAAGATGGCCGTCGCGCGCTCCAGCAGCTCCGGGAAGGTTTGCCTGGCGAGTGCGGCGGGCTGGAAGCTAGGCGCAACGGAGTGGGCTGGAGGAGCCGGCTCACTACCTCCCTGTCTGCATTGCCGGGACAAATGCGGCTAATAATGCAATTCCTTCCATTCCGTAACAACTCTGAAACTTTTTTGTTTGTTTGTTTTGCCATCAGAAAGCTGATAAAAAGTAGGCGAGGACACGATTCGTGCCTACAGAGAGGCACAACCCAAGTTTGTCGCTGAGCCCACAGTTCTTTTCTTACTAAATAGCGCAAGTTGGTTAAGCAAGTCAATGTGCACAGCACCTTTGGACCCCTCCAAAAGTTGCAAATGGTGTATACCTCAGGTTCCTTTCTTAAACTGTTTGACAACAGTGGGGGTGATTTGGACATAGGACCTAAAAATATATCAGTGGTGTGAAAAGAACTAACTGGGTCCATTGTGTGGAGTCACTGATCATTTAACCAAACAACTTTAACAGGAGATTCACAGCAACCAATCAGAAAGGACACGGTCTACCTGAGAAAGCAAGATAAGCCATCTCCTTTGTTTTAACCCTCTGGAGAAATAACTGGGGTGACTAGTCCTCTTTTTGTTCCTTATTGCCGCTTTCACTTTCCCTTTTTTGCCCGTCTAGCCAATCCCTCTGCTGAAGTCCGTGAGAACGCCTTTCTGTTTCACGAGTGGGATGCTGTCCAACTTATGAATTGCTTTAAAAAAAAAAGCCGATTGGATCTTTAAAGTTGTCAACATCTGGCTTTTGACAATGGGTGACATAATATTGAACAGTGCTAAATAGAAAGGCTAAATACATTTATAGCTTTATAAAAGCATAGAAGTATGCATACATTGAATTGTACAAAAATATGAGGGGGTGGTTATTTATATTCATGTTCATTATACAGGTATTTAGGCATCATTTAAAACATGGATAGTAAAAACCTAGATTATGTGTAAATCCCTGGAAGTACAAGATCAAAACTGTGCCCCTAGGGAGTATAGAGCTAACATGGAATTGTTAATATGGAATATGCATCCCTGGGGATAATTTACAATTTAAAGATGAGCCACTAATTTCTTTTCTTTTCCCTTCTTTTTTTTTTATGATTTATTTATTTCTTTTGGAAAGGCAGATCCACAGAGAGAAGGAAAGACAAAGAGGAAGATCTTCCATCCACTGATTCATTCCCCAAGTGACCAGAGCTGAACCAGTCCAAAGCCAGGAGCCAGGAGATTCCCCCAAATCTTCCACATGTGGGAGAACTAGAAAAGCTCCCAGCTCTGGTTTGAATCAACTCAGCTCTGGCCATTTTGGCCATTAGGTAAGTACACAAGTGGATGCAAGATCTGTGTCTTTTTCTTTCCCTCTGTATATCTGCTTTCCAATAAAAATAAATACATCTTAACAAAAAAAAAAAAGATAGTGAGACAATGGTTCTATATCTGAATAAACATCAGAATCATAGAGTTACGAAGGCTACAGAATCTGGGTCCAATACTATGTACTAATTTAAAAAGAAGGTTGGAGTAAAATGGGCCTGGTGGAGCAATTTAGTGGCTAAAGTCCTAGCTTTGCACACACCAGGATCCCATGCGGGTGCCAGTTTGTGTCCCAGCAGCCCTGCTTCCCATCCAGCTTCCTGCTTATGGCCTGGGAAAGCAGTCGAGGACGGCCCACAGACTTGGGACCCTGCACTGGCGTGGGCAACCTAAAAGAAATTCCTGGCTCCTGGCTTTGGATTGGCGCAGCATCGGCCGGCCGTTGCGATCACTTGGGGAGTGAGTCAATGGATGGAAGATCTTCCTTTTTATCCTCCTCTCTCTATATCTGACTTTCCAAATAAATAAATAAATCTTAAAAAAGAGATAAATAATGAATTTCTCCTAGGAATGTTGATAAAGTGATTTTATTAAATTTAACTTTCTTTGCATAAAGTTAAAATTTCTATTTTTATAAATAACATCAAGAAGTGAGATTGCTAGATCTCCAACTTCCATTCCCTACCCAGTCTTCCACACCTCCTTAACATGGCACCACCACTGCCCTAATTGCTCAGATTCTTCTGTTTCCTTTTTCTATCAGTGAATGAAACCGTGAATTTGCCTACTTATCTTCATCCCCACTATTTCTACCCCCTTTGTCTCCCTTAACATTCTTCTATGGATTTAAACTTTGGCTCTGTCATTTACTAGCTGGTTCACTTTGGACAAGTGCTTGACCTGGTCTCAGTTTCCCTGTATAAAAAAAGAAATGGGGTTGACAATCATCATATTTGCATGGATCATATGAACATTAAATGGCTAAATATTTGGAAACCATTTGGGGTCTCAACACAAAGTAATGATTGCACAGGTCCTCATTAAATAAGATTTCTTTCTTCTTCCCTTAAATTATCAATACTGAACAGCAGAGTTGATGGTAAATCTTACACCTTGTCATTGCCTTGTTTAAGGCCTTATTTTCCCACTAAACTTAAAAATGAATACCCCACAAGTGCTGGGCACCACAGCTTGGTAGGCTAAGCTTTTGCCTACAGTACTGCCATTCCCTATAGCTTCCAGATTGTGTCCCTGCTGCTCTACTTTTAGACTTTTAAAATAATAGTTACATGGTTGACCAGGGTGGGAAAAATTGAGGTTTAGGGAAAATCAGGTGAACTCATTGTTTCCAAATTTGCTATTTCTTCTTATTTTTTCTGGAGGATGGGGAGAGACAAAGGGGGAAGCCACACATGACTTTCCAAACATCCCAGTACCCAGGGATGAGGAACTGCCACCTCATATCAACGCAGAGTCTCAGTATGTACATATTCTGAGGGTTCTGCCCAAGTGGTTTGGATAGTTCAGAAATGCTGTTGATTTTACCGATCCAAGGATGCAGCCTTCCCAATGTCCATTGACTGACATAACCTCAAATTTCCATTCACTGAGATTTTTTTGCTATCATTGTTTGGGGTAGTTGTCCAGTATGTTCTGCTCTTCTCCTTCTGCCAAAGCACCAAATGAGCTGCCATATTCTTTTACATCAGGGTCTGTGTCCATTGCTCTGCCTTTTTTACTGCAGGGACTGCATCCTGATGAAGGAGTTTCCCAAGCTCCTTCCAGTGGCAGTTCTCACACACACCAGTGGGTCCTTGGCCCAGGATGATTTTGTCACCTGCTGCACTGGTTAGTTGCTGCTCCACTTCTTATCCAGTTGCCTGTTTATGGCCTGGGAAGGCAGGGGAGGATGGCTCAAGTGCTTGGATTGTTGTACCTACATGGGAGACCCAGAGGAAGCTCCAGGCTCCTGACTTCAGCCTGGCACATTCCTGGCCATTGAGGCCATTTGAGGAATGAACCAGTGGATAGAGAGCTCTTTCTTTTTTTCTCCTTCTTTCTGCAAATCTGCCTTTTTTAATAAAAAAAGAAATATATAAATTTTTAAATGTATATCATCATCATGAAGCAGGCCATTAAGCTAGTCACCTTGGACTCAGGCATCGCATATCAAAGTTCCTGGGATGGAGTCCCACCTGGCATCCCAACCGTGCTCCTGTTAATGTACCTAGGAGGCAGCACAAGATGGCTCAAATATGTGGGTTCTTGTGACCCACATGAGAGACCTGGATGGAATGCCTAGCTCCTAGCTTCGGCCTGGTTCAGGCCTAGCTACTGTAACCCTTTGGGAGAGTGTAATAGTGGACAGACGCATGCCTGCATGCCTTCTGCCTTTTAAACACACAAACAAAAACTGAAAGACTCTTCACATTCTTCTATGTGATGCCACATTTTGTTTGCTCACTGTGATCCATATGTAGGTTTTCTTTAAGCTTCACACACATCAAAACTCCAAAGCACGTTTTAATTTGCTGGAGATGTTTTTTATTTTCTATCTGGGCTGTTTTTGTCTTCCAACTTGGTATTGTCAGGTGCTTCCCGATTTTAGGTTTCTGTTTAAATGCCATTGTCTCAGAGCGTTATCACCTCAAAATAGCATGCTTATTTTCTATCAGTCCCTTGCCTCTCCTTCAATATACTTCAAAGCTGCCCTGATTAAATGCTTTCCTCCCCAGAATGCAAGTTCCAGAGGCAGGACACGTTGTTCACATTTACACCAGGGGCCTCAGAAAAAGCAACGAAGGTATTTCAATGTTGCAAGTGGTTGAGTGAGTCAATATGAAAACAAATGTGGGAAATTCCTTACCCAAAATCAACACCAGGAAAATATGTAATTACGCAGGTTGGGTTTCATAGGCAGGAATGAAATCTCTGGTAATGCACTAAGCCACTAGAGGTATTTGGGAATATTACTAACTAGTGGTTTTGGTATGAGGTGATTCAGGTTCTGGCATTTCTTGTAGAGTTAGTTCCAACAGATCACTTCTTGTGCTTCCGTTTGCTTTATAAAACAGGAACTATGCATTGCAGGATTTACATGTAATGTGTAATGCTACCACTTCAGGGTCTCCACAATGATCAAACTCTCAATAAATTTCAACATATAATTAATACAAAAATCTTATTATTATTAAAGGACTTAAACTGATGTTTCCTTTGGTCACTTTGCTCTTTTAACAGGAAAGCTGGCTGTTCCTAAATCTGTCATGTTGTCACCCTCGTTTTTTCCCTTTTTTATCTGCCACAAACTGCCTATTCAGTCCTGGAATCCTGTCTTAAACTTCAAGCTCTTAGTAAAGCTTTTCTTGGCCTTGACACCACCGCGGTCTTACGAGTTCATTACATCGCCTTGCAGGCTTTCCGGGTCTCGGTTGGACATTTTAATGTGGCATGTATTGTAATAAATTTTGATTAATGCGTTTTCCTCGTGCCTCGACTCTTCCACCATGTTTTGAGCTTGGATGGTTTTTAGCTTGTCTTATTTAATCTTTACCCAGTACGAGGGCCTTGGACAATAGTTCCCAATGTTCTGCGTGTGAAATAGGACGATGATTTGTATCCGTGGGTCACACAAGGAGTCCGTGAGAAAAGCAGACGGTTGTCTGGGGCCCCAGGGAGGAGACACGTAGGCCACTGCCGGCTGGGCAGGCGGGGAAGCAGGGCGGGATTCTAGAGCGGGAGAACCAGGCGAGCCCTACTGCGCAGGCGCGCGGGAGGCTGCGGGCTTCGTTCCGGAGTCGGGCTTGCCGAGGGGGCGGGCGGCGGTCGCCGAGCTGACGTCATCGCCGTGCGCTGCCACGTCTGCTCAGCTCCGCGGTCATGGAGGCTGGGGACGGGTGCTGACGGGGCCGGGCTTTAGTTCCAGCTTTAGGCTCGGGTTCTGTCCTTGAGTCGGGGACTAGGTCTGGTGGCCTGAGTCTTGGACACTTTTCTCGACGCACCGGGCGGGGCCGTCCTGCAGACAAGCCGTTTGTTGGGCGCACTTGATGCGGAGTGTTAGTTGTATTGCTTGGGGTCCAGCCTGTAGAGCCGCCGCCTTCTCCCGGGGATCCCGCCCCACCGGCCGGGGCCTCCTCCATGCGTGAGTATTCCCGAGCTGACGCGCTGTGCCACTGTCCCGGGGTTCCTTCGGCCCTCCCGGGTGGGCGGCGAGACCTGCTCCGTCGGCCTCTCTGGGGGGACTAGTTGGTGGTCTCTTCGCCTTCCACCTGCCCGCACCCCATCCTTTGGCCTGTGTATCCCTACAGTTTGCCTTCGCTTGGCTCGTGAAGTGGAGCCTGGGAGGCCCCCCTCCCCCCCTGCTCGAGTGCTTTGTCTCACCTGAAGGTTGTTAGTCTGCAGCCCAAAGCTGCTAAGAATGAGAAGTCCCGAGTCAGTCCGCAGTCAGGTTCTGAAAAGCTGAGTTTTTGTAGAGCGTTCGTTCTTCAGTTTTTGCTTGTATTGTTTCGGAAACACTTGGTATCCATGTTGTCGGAACCATACTTTTTGCCATAGATTCCTGAAAACACAGCTTCTTTTCAAGGAATTTCCCCCTTATCTCCCACCTGTCCCTTAACCTTGCACTTATTTCTTCATGATTGTACATCGTTTTGGTATTTTCTCTTTCCTGCATGGAGTGAACACTGGAATGGTTTTGAAGAGCTACAAGGCCGCCTGTTCCCGTCCTGTGCACCCTCATTGGTTCTGAACAACTTTCAGCCTGTAGGATAGAGACAGTCGTTTGTTTTGTTTCTCTACTGAAGAAACAAACTCTGATTAAGAGACTCAAAGTCAGGTAGTATTTGACGCATCTGATCTGGGCACCCAGATGCCTTGATAACAAAGCCTACCATTTTGGAGGGTGCTTGTTGTCCTGTATTTCAAGTGTCGCAAGTGTGACAGTAAATTGGAAATGTGCGAGTGGAAGCTGTGTTTCTCTTAAACGTCCATCCCATTGTGGGTCTTTCCCATAACACAAGTCAGCTGACAGGACACACACTGTGTGTTGCCTGAGGCTGCACAGAGGACTCCTGTCACAACTTAGGCTTCCAGTCCTTCGGAGTTTGAACTTTTCCTTTGATCTGAGAGGAGTAAGTGCCAGAATTGGAGGAAAATTTGTTTGAAAATCTGTCGTTGCAAGGGCTGCACACTGTGTTTTTCTGGTTGTCTTGTTACATTGCTTATTTTAAAAAACAGTCGACTGATATTTAAATGTGGGGTTTTGTTTTTGTTTCTTTTGGTTCAGAGTTGAAAGAGATTGACAACCGTTAACTTGGGTTGCAACTACAGGTGACACTGGAAGCAGCCAGGCTCTAGGACATGCCCGGTGGAAGGAGGGGCCCTAGCCGGCAGCAGCTCCGACGGTCGGCTTTGCCTTCCTTGCAGACCCTCGTTGGTGGAGGCTGTGGCAATGGAACAGGCCTGAGAAACAGGTAAAGACCGAGCGAGGCTATGATCTGCAATGGCCTAGCATCAGAGAAACTCACTTAAAAGTCTTGCTGTTCAAAGATTTATCGATTTTTTTTTTTTTTTTTGATAGTGAGGTAGAAATTCAGAATTCAGTTCCTGAAGACTGAAGACTCAGAATTTCAGAATACTTTAGAGGTAGGAAGATGCAACCTGATACTTACAAGTTGAAAGCAGTTCAGGTGTGCTTATGCCTAATCATCCAAGTTCTGGTCCTCACACCTTTTTAGCTGTTTGAAGGGAGGAGTAAATGAAGGTACGCAGCAGTTGTGACAGTTTATTGACTATTGGCAATCTCTGTGTTTTGGGAAGGTAAATTAAAGACTGACAGCCAACACAGTGTTCCAGAATTATGTCAGATTCCATCAAGTCTTCTAAATATTACCCCCCAAACATCAAGTGTTCTAAATATTACCCTCCAAATTATTTGCTGTTAATAAACTGCTAGGTACATCCTAAATGCCTTAAGATTCTTGTCTTGTAGAAAAAGAATTTGGTCTTTTTAAAGGAGGTATTTATCTCTGAACCTAAGATTTGAAAGCTGGAGTGAAATATTTCAGTCTTAGCTAGGGTAACTTCTGTCATCAGGAAGCTTGGTCATGTACCGGTGGCAAGAGATACTTTCCCCTAATCTGTTGTTTGATCAAGATAGTATTTGCCGTGTCATTTCTATTTTGTTCCCTGGGTAGAGCTCCTCTTGTGCCTGCATTTTAATTTTCGGAGCTGGCAGTCAGTGTCATGCTTGTCTTTTCAGGTCCACGTCATGGTGTTTGTGCATGTCTTTCTGTTTTGCGTCACTCGCCACTTTCTGACTTTCCGAGCCAACTTCTTTCTGATCTTTAAAATCAGTTCTGATGTTGTCATTTCAGTAGGGGCTTTCCCTAAAATTCCAGTTTGAAGGGATTTTTTCTGATGTCTAGTTCTCATTGAACTGATTTTCAATCCAGGTTGTATGTTTGTGTAAACATACATAAAGTAAAAGTAGTTTAGAGTGTGATTTTTTTTACTTTACTGTCCTATGGGTTTCTCATTTAAGAAATGGTGATAATCTTTGCTTCATTGAAGGATTTAAAAATCAATAAAGTAGACCATTGCAGTAACTTTAAAAAACTTTAAAAAGTTTCAAAATTCTTGCAAATAATGTTGTTTTACATTTAGAAAAACAAGGTTTCTGGCATTGTTTTTTGTTTAAGATTTATTTATTTTTATTTAAAAGGCAGATTTACTGAGAGAGGGAGAGACAGATCTTCCATTCTCTGGTTCATTCCCAAATGGCCACAACGGCCAGAGCTGAAGTGATCCAAAGCCAGGAGTCAGGAGCTTCTTCTAGGTCTCCCACATGAGAGCAGGACTCCAAGGCTTTGGGCCATCGTCTACTCCTTTCCCAGGATACCAGCATGGAGCTGGATAGGAAGTGAAGCTGCTGGGATACGAACTGGCACCCATGTGGGATCCTGGTGCTTGCAAAGTGAGGATTTAGCCATTGAGCCATCATGCTGGGCCAAAGATTGCTGGCATTGTGGTGTAGTGGGGTAAGTTGCTCCCTGTAATTCTGGCATTTCATATTGGAGCACCAGGTAGAATCCTGGCTGCCCTGCTTCTAATCCATCTCCATATTATATAAATGCCTGAGGAGAAGATGACCCAGGTCCTTTGATGGGTGCCACCAATGTGGGAGACTTTGATGGAATTCCTAGCGTCCGTCTGGCCCAAGTCAGACGCTAGAACCACTTTTTTGTCCTTGCATATGCTTTGTAAACTGAATATGTTCAGATGGCCGCTGTATATGCTTTGTGTTTTATTATATCTTTGAATAATTTGTGCATTGTTCATTTGCTTAGCTAAAATCTGCTGATTGCTGGCTCTGTAAGAGTTAGCCTCAAGCCTGCTCTGTTAACTCTTTCCTGAACCCAGGCTTTGTTTGCAGGGACGAAACAGTCATTTAGCATCAGCCACATTGTTTATGTGACTTAGGCACAGTGAACTTGTGTTAATGGGTTAGGGACAGTGTTCTGTTAGTTGAGAGCATTATGTACCAGTCAAGTTCTCAGATGCAAACCTTATAAGTGGGTCTTTCTAAAGGTACTTGTGCTGCGCACCTGCTTTCCGCTTGGGAGTCTGGAATGTTGGTAGTACTAGGGAGAGGGCACGTCCAAGGAGAAATGTCAGGCGTTGAATTCAGTGAGCTTTCCTGCTGGCCAGCAGTTCACAGGTGATGACATAGCTCATTATTGGAGGAGTTTGATGTGTCCTGAGTAGATTTTTGAATCTATTCTTACATCATGTAAGAGGAATAACAATTTTATTTTTCCTAAATAATTCTTGTATAACTAATTTTCTGAGATACATTGACTAAGCCTCTTTATTTTAATTATTTATATATGTATATGCATATGAACTTTGATCATGTCTCCTCTGAAGCTTTCAACTTTATCGATTAAACAGATTAAATCTCACAGATGGTATGGTAATGCTTTGCTTTCCCATATTTACTATTTTTTTCAAGATTTATTTATTTTTATTGCAAAGTCAGATATACAGAGAGGAGGAAAGACGGGAAGATCTTCCATCTGATGATTCACTCCCCAAGTGACCACAATGGCCGGTGCTGCGCCAATCCAAAGCCAGGAGCCAGGAACTTCTAGATCTCCCATGCAGTGCAGGGTCCTAAGTCTGTGGGCCATCCTCGACTGCTTTCCCAGGCCACAAGCAGGGAGCTGGATGGGAAGCAGGGCTGCTGGGATTAGAACCGATGCCCATATGGAATCCCGGCGCATTCAAGTGAGGACTTTGGTCACTAGGCCATGGTGCTGGGCCCTCCCATATTTATTTTCAAATAAAGTGATGCTTTGGATGACTTTAACATTTGTCTCTTGTTTCCTAAAGTTTCAAATAGTCAACACTATGGTAGAGTATTACAAGTGTAGATCTTTGGGGCTCTAGCACAGTAGCCTAGCGGCTGAAGTCCTTGCATTGAACATACCGGGATCCCATCTGGGCACTGGTCCTAATCCTAGCAGCCCTGCTTCCCATCCAGCTCTCTGCTTGGGGCCTGGGAAAACGGTCGAGGATGTCCCAAAGCCTTGGGACCCTGTCCCCTCATGGGAGACCTGGGGGAAGCTCCTGGCTCCTGGTTTCAGATCGGCTCAGCTCCAGCTGTTGTGGCCACCTGGGGAGTGAATCAATGGATGGAAGATCTTCTTCTCTGTCTCTCCTCTTCTCTGTATATCTGACTTTGCAATAAAAATAAATCTTAAAAAAAAAGTGTAGATCTTTGTACTTTGTTTTTAATGTCTTTTTTCAAGCCTAGAATTTTATTAACCTTTTTAATAACAGAAATGTATTGGCCAGCTGTACTTGGGACAGAGTCTCTGGGAACTTTTTTGACCTTTAAACTACACAACAGTTTAACGTGCTTTCCTCCTGGTGTATTTTTTACTGCAGGAATTAGGAATTTTTAGTTTTTTTCTAAGAGGCTCCTCATCATGAAATTTATCATTAGAATTTTTTAATTTAATTATGTTATTAATTGAAGTAAGTGAGTAGATTTGCTTCTGGCATTAATTGTCTCCGTTCAGCTCTACCAGCTTGCATAGTTCCAAAGGTGGCATTCCATGGAGTGTGCCATGGAATGATGGAGTTGTACAGCATTGTGACTCACACCCCAGAACAGACTACAGGGCTGAAGTCTTTGCAGTTGTGGAGGTATGACTCTGCAGCCCTGTTGGTACGTTAGAAATAGACTGCTTGATATGTTTGCTGTATTGGATGGAGAATATTCTAGGAATGAGAAGCAGGTAATTTTTATAGTTTTTTCTAACTCCATCCTTCTCCAGACCCTTATTTTCCGTTCTGGGTTTCTGTAACAATGTTCTTAACTGTTCAGAATGCAGAGTTCATGTTCCCATGAGTCACTTAAAGTACTGTAAATGCCACATACTAGAATTCTATATTTGGAAATTTTAGAATGGTAAAATGTTGTTCCTTCTCTAATGGTCTTTGGAAGTATCCAAACCAGGCCTTTTTTTCCTAGTTCTGTAATCAATAATATACTCTTAGATCTGTGTAATCATTCCCAGGAATATAAACAATAGAAAATACTATTTCTTATCTATATCTTACCATTATATACAGCCTAGCTATTTTTGACCTGAAAAAGCACACAAAATTAGTAATATTAAGATGACAGGAATTAAGATTGATGTTTTATTTTTGTTTAAGATATATCCCTTTGTTATGACTGTTGATCTTCTACTTTCTTAAGTAAGAAAAGTACATTTTCTGTGCTTGAAGCTGTAGTCTAGTAGGCAGGGTATAGTTGTATACAAAATATTCTGTATTAAGTATAGCAATAAAGGCGTAATTTAGGTAGAATGTTGGTGCTGGGGAAAGGTGAATTAGTTTTGGTCAAGTGAAACAGTAAGCTTCACAGAGCATGTTTATAGACTTGAATGCTGAGTGAAAAAGGCTTGAATTTTGTTAGTGTTATATGGGAAGTTTGGGAAGAGCTTATTACACAAAAATGAATGATAAGTACAAAAGTAAAGGGAGGAACATGCAGAGGAGTGATGAGAGGTGAGACTGGGCTGTTATGCAGAGGGCCTCCTAAGGTACATAAAATTTTTTTGGATAGTATTCCATAGGCATTGGAAAGCCCTTAAAGAATTTAAGAAAGTAACACGATCAGTTTTGCTTTAGAAAGAACTCTAAGGCAGGTTGTACATTGTTTAGTGAAAATAAGTTGAATTTCAGAAAATTACTGCAATAGCTTAGGTAAAAGCAAAAATGAATACTTGAAAGGAACTAAAGTGTTAGATTTAAAGGGAAGGTACAGTTTGGAAAAAGCTCTGTAAAGCAGAAGCTTCCAGCTTTAGAGAGGATTGGATATGAAGAGGCAGAAGAAAAGGTCAAATATGACTCACAGGTTTTGGATTGGGGCAGCTAACTGGATGGACCAGGAACTGCAGTCAACACTGTAATAGGAAGAACCCAGGGATTTCAGTCAACAGTTGGATATAGCATGAGTCAGAAAAGTAACAGAGAACTCTGTGGGAAGTTTAACCTGGAGCATGTGAGAGAGTGGAAGCCAAGGCAACCTCCTGGATTATGGGCATGGTGTTGGGGAGAGAAGAGATTTCAGGTGGGAGTCTTGGGGAAGGCCAACAGTTAAGGAGTAAGTGGAGGAAGCAGCTGTGTGAACCTGAAGGCTGATATCATTTGATTACCCATGGTTTTCTCTTTCAGGAACGGTAATGCTGTTGGCCTACCAGTTCCACCTATCACAGCCTCCATCACCCCGGGTCCTGTTCGTCATTGCCAAATTCCTGACTTGCCTGTGGATGGGAGTCTGCTCTTTGAATTTCTTTTTTTTATCTACTTGTTGGTGGCTTTGTTTATTCAGTACATCAACATCTATAAGACGGTGTGGTGGTATCCTTACAACCATCCTGCGTCTTGTACTTCACTGGTAAGTCCCGGCAGTGGCACACTTGGCTGAATTACAGAGTTACGCTGGAGGGAAGAGAAGACTAGGATCCTGTGTCAGAGTGTGTAGATTTTTTTTTTGTGTGTGAGCCAAAAAATTTTTTAATTTGTTAATTTCTTGCACCTGAACAAGTATTCTTCCACAGCATCTTAGGGCTGAGATTCTTTACTGTGGTCCTTAATTAGTTTGCACCACATTGCAGGATTTTCTGTGCCAGTTTTACAGAGGCTCACCCATTCCCCTGGTTTCTTGACATCAGCTCTTAATAGGCTGATTTGGTGTTCAGCACAAGAGATCTCCGTTAACTTGAAATACGTAGGCTTATCACAGTGGTGTGCACACACACGAAGCCTGTCTGAGAGTTCGTGAATTCCATGTGCTAGTTTGTTGTGGATGAGGCAGTGGTCCTCAATACCTCTTGTAAAGCAGTATGATCCTGTACCTCCAGCTCAGTGCCTTCCTTCGCCCTGGTGAAAGATTACAGGGCAAATAGACGCTTCAACATATCTGGGCCTCTGCCTCTGTGCAACTTATTTACAGCAAGGAAAAACTGTCCTGTGTAGTTTATGTATGTGTCTGGTATTGGGAAAAGGTTAGAAAACCCCCCTAGCCACATGAACATAGATAGGAAATGAGATTGGCCCAAATTCCTCAAGATAGTATGGGAGGGGACTGAAAAAAATTGTTTAAATGAAAAAAATGGTTTAAATATTTGTATCACTTGATTGTTCCTGGAATTAACTATGTTCCATGTTGACTATCTACTTACTGTCATGAGATGAGAATTAGGAGTTATGATTTAGACTCTCAGTTCTTTGCTGAGATGCCCACTTGGTCTGTCAAGTGTAATCTCTTCATTGGATTTGGCTAGTATATTTAATGCTTAAAAAAAAATCATGATTTAATGCCAAGTTGCATCTTTTTTTCCCCCTAATAATCATTTTTTCCATCCAGGTTATTATATTATTGATTATGACAGCTATATACTTCATCCAACCATCTGGTTTGGTGTTGTAAAATGAAGAGGTTGGATTAGATGATCTTTAAAGCTTTCACCAATCTATGCCTTATTTCTTATGTTTATCTAATATTTACTTTTCAAGAGTTTGTTGTATAATCCACTATATAAAGTTTTCATTTCGCTTGACATTCCTTCGGAAACTTCTCATTTGTTTAATTTTCACATTAATCAAAGTGCAGTTCTCCCAGTCTGCCACTTTTGACTAAAGGGTTTTTTTGTTTCATTTTGTTTTGTTTTTTTAAGATTTATTCATTTTTGTTGGAAAATCAGATTTATGTAGAGAAGGACAGACAGAAAGACTTTGGCCACTGGTTTACTCCCCAGGCAGCTGCAGTGGCTGGAGTTGAGCCGATCTAACCCAGGAGCCTGGAGCCTCTACTGCTTTTCCAAGGCTTTGGGCCATCCTCTACTGCTTTTCCAGACCACAAGCCGGGACATGAACCAGTACCCATATGGGATCCTGGCACATGCAAGGCAAGGGACTTTAGCCACTAAAGGCTATCATGCCAGTCCCCTGAGTGAAATTTTTAAAATGCTTTGAAGTGAAGTGAGCCAGTGCTCCTACTGTACATTAGCCTGAGATCATGTAAAGGAAGTAAAGGAAGGAATGCTTAAGGGAGGCTATGGTGTGGACTGGCTCACTTTTGTGATTTTTGTTATCACAAGCTCTTACTTAATTCAGTTGTGAAACCAGGAGTAAATAGTATAGGTAATTAAAATAAATAATAAAATAAATGCATAAAATAGTAAAGGTAAGTAAGATGTTCACCTCTGGATCTGACGGGGATTCTGAGTCAGTGAACTATTGGGAAGGGGTTACCAGGAGACTAGTTACTTTGCATTTCTGAAGGTACAGAAGTGTAGAATCCCTAGATTGGGATTAATCTAAATGGGGCTTGGGTCTCCAATAGGTCGCCTTTTGTCTTCTATTATGTGAATCTGACCCAACAAATTTGTTATATTAAGTTTTTCTTTTGCTATTTCAAGATCTTCATGACCAGAGAAAAAAAAGATCTACATGACTGAAAAAGGAAATGTGGTCACCTAAGTGTGAGAAGTGTCATTCTAACTGTAAAGAAGTTAGCCAAATAAATCTAACCCTAAAAAATAGCATCTAACCTTGAAAAATAGAAGTAGCAGAATTTTTTTTTTACTACAGCCAAGAGCAGAGAATTCAAGAGCAGATACCCTGGTTATAAAAAGATAGGTGTAAGTAGATAACCCATTTTCATTGTTTAGAATATAATGAGATTTTCTTAAGAAATATTAGACACATTTAAAAAATTTAAATATTAGACACTTTTTTTTAAATTAAAAATATCCTGACTTGAACGGTGATGCATTCTTAGTAAGATCCAGGGGGCCCTAGTGACCCTTTATGCATTATTTTGGAGGTGTGGAGTTAGCAAGGAAAAAGTCTGAACAATGGGGTGTTAGGAATATATATTTCAAATTTGACACTTTGTTCCACCTCCATTGCTGCTAACTTATTCAGTCCATCATCATCATTCACCTGAATTAAAACCAATAGTTTCTTAACTAATCTTGGAAAAATAAAATTGATAAACTCATTTATCATTCATTACCTTATGGCAGTTTTTTTTTTTTTTTTAAGATTAATTTATTTGAAAAGCAGGGTGACAGGGAGAAACAAAAGGGAAAGATCTTCCATCTGCTAGTTTACTTCCCAAATGCCTTTCATTGCCAGCATTCCTTTTTGGAATAAGCACCATCTTATTTCTTTTGAAATCCGGTTTTTAACGATTGATTTATTGGTAGACAGAGAGATGTACTGGTTGACTTCCCAAGTGACCACAATAGTCGGGGCTGAGCTAGGCTGAATGTAGGAGCCAGGAACTCCATCTGGGTGGCCCTTGTTGGTCTTGGGAGCCCAGCTATTTTGGCCATTATCTGTTGCCTCTAGGTCCATTAGCAGGAAAATGGATCAGAACTGGAGTGAGACTGTACAGACTGATTCAGGATGTATAACCAGCTGTCGTACAACACCTACCATTTGCTATTTTCACATTTTAAAGTAAATCCATTTACGTATTTGGGAGGCAGTACAACAGAAAGAGGAAAAGCTAAAGATAGTTTTCATATGCTGGTTCATTCCCCAAATGGCTACAACAGCCTTTCTGGGCCAGTATAAAGCCAGAACCAGGAACTCTGCCCTGGTCTCACATGGGTTGCAGAGGCTTAAGCACTTTGGCCCATTATCTGCTTCCTTCCCGGGTGACATTAACAGAAAACTGTATTGAAAGTAAAACAGCTATGTTTCAAATGGAATTTCTATGAAGAAAACCAGCATCACAAACAGTGTTTTAACCCACTCGGCCACAAAAGTTGGCCCTTTTAGCTACTTTTGTAGACATCTAGGCAGTATTTCCCTATTTCAGTCTTTTTGACACTCATTTCCTCTGCTTTGGGCCTACTGCTCGCAGAGCCTGTCCTGCTATATGTATTACCACAGCTACTAACTGACAACATCTAGGCTATGCTATTTTTTATTTTACAGAAGAAATTAACTATAGGACATGTTTCTAAATCAAGGAGGAACAATTCAGTAAATGTAATTGAGACACCAACTAGCAGACAGCTTAGTAGCTGTCCAGTTAACATAGGCTAAGGGATCAATAGCACTAACTCCCAATTGATCCGTTAAATTTGACACATTGTAAATGTGGCATTTTTAGATGAAGTATTCTTGCCCTGATTCTCTAGGTTATTACTTATTAACTCAAAGCTATAATCTTTTCCTTTTAATACAGTAAACTTTCCATAAAGGAGAGGAATACATTCCAGATAGTTTTAAATCGTGTTTGGAAAGTGAAAGCAATTTGTCATGAAAGGAGGATTAGAAGGTAGGTAGTCTCTTTAAGATCCCTTGAATTCCCGTGATCTGTGAGGGTAAGGTGATCTAAGGAAGATCTTTTTGAAGGAGAAAACTTGTGTCGTTCCAGCTGGATACAACCTTGTCCTCCTTTCTAATGCAGTTGTTTCTCTTATAGAATTTCCATCTCATTGACTATCACCTGGCTGCATTCATCACAGTGATGCTTGCAAGGAGGCTTGTATGGGCTCTTATCTCAGAGGTAACACCTCATTCACTGTATTTTATCATGTATCGCTAGAGTTCAGGCTGAACACGTGAAATGTCCAAATAGAATTTGAATGCGGGCTAAAATTTCCCTACTCCCCTTTGAGTTGCACTAGTGCTTTTGAAAAAGGTCTTCTGCAATATATTTAAAATTTGAGAGCTCTTAGGAATTAGTTTATTGAATATGATACTCCTTTTATCTTTTGAGTTTTTCAGGACAATATATTTAAGGCCTAGGTAAAAACAGGATGAATTTCAGATAGCTATTATTATGAGGAATTATCAGTATACTTAAAGCTGCTTCTGATTATTCAGATTCAGATAACATCGATTCCAAACTATTGATACATCATTTGTGGAGTTTGTGACAAGAATTATTTGTATGCATGTACCAAAAGTAAGCATCTTTATAAGAAAATGTGGAAAGTTACATACGATTAATGCAAAGATTTAAGTCTGATAGGCAGAGGGAGAAAGAATTAGATCATTAGAATGATCTTTGTAAAATTAAAATTTGTTGACAGATTATTTTTATAAATTTGTAATCAATAATCTTGGAATTTTTATTTTAGTGTTTATATGTTATAAACATAGGTAATGAGTCAGCTTTTTCTTTCAAATATACATGGAAAGTCTTGTATGTGTTAGGTCTAATTTTCATGAACCTTATTTCTATAAGTATATTATAGTTGGAAATAAGTTATGATATGCAAGCTGTTTGAAGCCAACTGAAAAACATTGGCAGTAGGATTGTCTTTCTCAGAGTGGGAAAGCTGCCTGTAATATTTTTTTTCAAATTTTTTATTAGGTGATGAAAATGGTTGCTTACTTCTGCATGTATTGAGAAATGTGTTTGTTCTTTAGAGGAACTAAGTGGGGCTTTATGTTTAGATCTATTGAAACAGGTGAAAGATTGTTTTGTTTCATCCCTTCAGATCCTTAGGAATAATACTGTGTATATTGTGTAAATATGTTCAGTGAATGTGTAAAACCCTGCATAAACATGGGTTTCTACCTTTTTCTGTTAAGGCTATTGCTTCTTTTACTAATGGCCCAAAAATAGCTTAGCAGCTTTGGCACACAGCCTTAGTTGAGAATGTTTTAGTTCTTTTGTAAAGAAGTTTGTAATTCTCACTAGGAGCAGAATACTTAAACCAAGTATCAGTGGATGTGTAGTTCAAGACTTCTTCTGTCCCTTAATGGGCACCAGTAAGGGAATGCTTAAATAATTATAAAATGTCTGCATAATGAAATATTGTGCAAGCCACTAAAAAGGTGAAAACATGGAATGGCATTTTGGCTTACAGAGTGAAATCGTTGCTTGGATGTCCACATTTCATATAGGAACAGTGTTTGAGTTCTGACACCTCTGCTGCCTGTCCAGCTTTCTGTCTATGCATCCTGAGAAACAGAGAATGAGGGCTCAAGTGCTTGGTCGCTGTCCCCCATATGGGAAATGCTGATTCTGGACTGCTTGCTGGCTATGACCTTAGCCCAGGTCTTGTTCTTGGAGGCATTCTTGAGTGAACAAGTGAATACACGATATCTCTGTCATTGTCTTTCCTTTTGCCTTTCAAGTAGATGAAAGTAAACTTAAAGATGAATATTAAAAAGATTAAAAAGTATTTATGTATTGACCTCCAAGATGTCAAGTGAAAAAAGCAAAGTGCAAATCTGTATTTAAGACAAGTAGAAGGAATGAAATATATTGGCTTAATTGAATAAATTGTATCTGGAGGAGTAGACTAATAATCAACTGCTTTGCTGGTGTTTGGGAGATAGGATCAATAGGAGAGGAACTTTCATTTTTTTTTTTTTTTTTTTCATTGGAAAGGCAGATATACAGAGAGGAGAGACAGAGAGGAAGATCTTCCGTCCGATGATTCACTCCCCAAGTGAGCGCAACGGGCCGATACTATGCCGATCCGAAGCCAGGAGCCTCTTCCGGGTCTCCCACGCGGGTGCAGGGTCCCAAAGCTTTGGGCCGTCCTCGACTGCTTTCCCAGGCCACAGGCAGGGAGCTGGAAGGGAAGCGGGGCTGCCGGGATTAGAACCGGCGCCCATATGGGATCCCGGGCGTGCGAGGCGAGGACCTTTAACCACTTGCGCCACCGTGCCGGGCCCGGAGAGGAACTTTCATTACGAATGTTAGATGTTTTAATTAGTGTGAATATGTTTTCTATTGAAAATTTTGAAATTAGAATTGTACAATGTTTTCTCTTCTTAAAATAGTTAAATTATAAATCATCTTTCCCTCTTGTGTTTGTCACTTTTTTTTTTTTTTTGGCTTATGTCACAGAATGGACCCTTACCCTGAGAAAGGCCAAATAATTCAGAGATAAATAAATACTATTCAGAGAGAATTACCTCTCCTCATATAGACTGTAACTCACCGCCTGGCCAACTCTATTTCTGTGCTTGTTCTTTCAGGCCAAAATTCAGCCATGTTTTCTGAAATCAAAAAAATCACATTTTATTGAAAAATAATTGGAAAACACTGTAGAGCAAAATATTTAACATTTGTAAACCATTTTCATGTCATTTCTTCTAATCTCAACATGGTCATTTTTGTAGGCATATTCATATATCCAAGAATATTGTCCGTTTATGTTCTTATTTTCGCTTAGCATTGTATTGTTATTTTTATACTCCTCTCCTGGCTAATTTGCTTATCCTTCAGATCTCAACTTAAATACAACTTCCTAAAGGAAGTATTACAGTCTCCCATTACTTGATTTTCATAGCGGCCTACATTTTGCCTATAATGCTCATCATGATTATGAAGATTATTGTCTGAATTTAAGTTTAATATTTGCTTTTCTGGGCTGGGAAGCTTTTTTAAATTTTATTTTGAATATTGTTTACATAATTGAGAGGGTTGCACACCCAAGTGGGCCTCCAGTTAGAGTAGAAAGGGTCAGGAATGGAGGAAGATGTGTGGGACAAATGTTTCAGGTTTTTTTTCTCCTGTGTCTGAAAGGGAGGATGGGGACCATTGCTTGCTGTCAAACTACATTAGCACTGGGAATGGGGGATGGTTCTTTTTTTGTTTTTTGAAGGTTTATTTATTTATTATTGCAAAGTCAGATATATACAGAGAAGAGGAGAAACAGAAATATCTTCCGTCTGATGCTTCATTCCCTAAGTGACTGCAATGGCGGGTGATGCGCTGATCCAAAGCCATGAGCCCAGATCCTCTTCCAGGTGTCCCACGCTGGTGCAGGGTCCCAAGGCTTTGAGGCCATCCTCCACTGCTTTCCCAGGCCACAAGCAGGGAGCTGGATGGGAAGCGGTGCTCATATGGGATCCGAGTGCGTTCAAGGCGAGGACTTTAGCCACTAGGCCACGGTACCGGGCCAGGGGATGGTCCTTTAGATCTCCATGTGGGAAAGAGTGTTCTGAGAATGTTCTTGAGTGGTTTTGTTATGAAAAGTTGTTTGTTTTGTTCTATAGGGTTGATAAAATCTTTCCAAAGTCTACTGGATGACAAAGTCCTTTAGTGTATCCAAAGACCAGGAACATTGTGTTAGTTTGGCCAGGAGAATTGTCCAAACGGTTCTGCTTTACATCCTGTGACGAGGCAGTCATTATCCCCTTCTGGCCTAGATGAGCTGGCTGTCATGTCCTCTGTATATATCTGGGCATGCAGTCCATTACACAGACATCAACGACTGAGGAGGTCCATGTCCTCCATGTCTGAATCACATATGGGATTTTCAGGGTGGCCAGGGTCTGAGTCCAGTGGTGTGTAGTTGGGGAATTCACCTAGAATCCTCGTTTAGAGTGATCTTAGGCTTGACTCTGGAGTGTGTCAACCAGTGCAGGGTCAGGTTAGCCTGTCATCTGCACCAGCCAACGCACATACCAGTGGATGCAGCTGCCTGGTCAATTCCACCCCACCCTGTATCACACAAACCCGTGGGTGCTGCAGCCCAGCCCAGCCCAGCCAACCCACCTCAGTCCTGGTCCTCGTGAATACTAGTGGATACCATGGCTCAGTCAGGGTGACCCCCAGCAACCCCCATCAGACCCTCCCCCAGCTCCAGTTTTTGTGCATGCTAGCTTCTGCTGTGGCTGACCCCAGCCTACATCCTATCCAACTCTTGGGCACACTCATGGGTAATGCAGCTTAGCTCAGCCCAGCCTGCCCCCAGACCCAATCCACATGTATGTCAATAGGTACTACTGCCTTGTCCAGCCCTGGTTCTTATGCTCATCAGCCAGTGGTATGGCCTCCCAGGAGAGTGCCCACAGTTTCCTACCTAGCATTATTCCAGCCCCAGATCTTGTGCCTTTCAGGGAGTACTGTAATCCAGCCTGGCATGGCCTGCACCCAGTCCTGGTACTTACCAGGTGGTGCTAGAGCTCAGCCAGCCTGGCCCGTACCCATTCTAACTCTTACATACACCAATCCAGGCTGGCCTGCTCCCAGTCCTAGCTCTCATCAGTGGAACAGCAGTCCAGCAAAGGAGTCCCCAAAGTTCCTCTAACAGGCCTGTTCCCAACCAAGGGTCTCAACACATGTCAGGGAGTACTATGGCCCAATCTGAGATAGCCTGCCCTAGTCTCATCATTCACTAGTAGGTGCTCTAGCCTGGCCTAGCCTGGCCTGCCTTACCCTCCAACCTCAGCTGTCATGCTCAACAGCAAGAGCTGCAGCTTAGCAAGGGAGTTCCCCAAGTTCCCTCCTGAGCCTGCTCCCAACCCCATATCTCACATGTGCTGATGGGTGCTCTGGCCTAACCTGACATACTGGCCCCCAGTCCTGGCATTAACCCACAGATACTGTGATCTAGCCCGCTGGCCCATCCCCATCCTGGCTCTCACCAATGGATGCTACAGCCTATCCCAAACTGGCTCACTCCCAGACCTGGCTCTCATATGACCCAGTAGCCTAGCCCGGTCCATCTCACACCCATTCTGGCTTTTAGGAAAGCAAGCAGGTGCCCCAGACCCAGCCAGTATGCATTGGGCAACCTCTTAAAGTTAGTTTTGTTTGTTTTGGTTACCAATGTGTCTGCAGCACCTAGTTTAGGGTTAGTTTTGTACAATACAGAGGTTAAAAGTGTCAGCATTGGAATAGGATAATAAGCCAATTGAAGGTCTGCTGTTCTGGTGACACTGAGTAAAAGCAATTTTTTTTTTTTTTTTTAAGATTTATTTATTTTTATTGGAAAGTCAGATATACAGAGAGGAGGAGAGACAGAGAGGAAGACCTTCCGTCCGATGATTCATTCCCCAAGTGGCCGCATTGGCTGGTATTGTGCCTATCCAAAGCCAGGATCCAGGAACTTCTTCTGGGTATCTCTCACGGGTGCAGGGTCCCAAGGCTTTGGGCTGTCCTCAACTGCTGTCCCAGGCCACAAGTAGGGAGTTGGATGGGAAGCAGGGCCACTGGGATTAAAACCGGTGCCGATAAAGGATCCTGGCTCATTTAAGACGATGGCTTTAGCCTCTAGGCTATTGTGCTGGGCCCAAAAGCAATCTTTTTTTAGTGGCTTAAAGATTTCCTTTGGTTTTTGCATATGAGATAAATTGGCATGAGGCATATATCAGTTCCTGGTTCCTGGCTTTGGATTGGTGTAGCTCCGGCCGTTGTGGCCAGTTGGGAAGTTAATCAACAGACAAAATATTTCTCTCTGTCTCTCCTCCTCTCTGTATATCTGAGTTTTTAATAAAAGTAAAAATCTTAAAAAAAATGTGAATTATGAAGTTTTGTACTATACTTTTTTTTTTTTTTAAAGATACAGTCATTTAATTTTTTAAAGGAAGAGTTACAGAGATGGAGAAATCTCCTATCCACTGGTTCACTTTCCGAATGACTACAGTGTCCTGGTCTGGGCCAGAAGGACTTTATCTGTGTCTTCCATGTGGATACAGGGTCCCAAGAACTTGTCCATATCCCCTTGCTTTACCAGGCCTGTTAGCAGGGTGCTAGAATGGAAGTGGAGTGAGGACTGAAACCAGCACTGACATGGGATGCTAGCATTGCAGGTGCCTGTTTCCCCCACTTGGCTGCATTACCAGCCCCTCAACTTCTTTTTAGTGAGCAGAAAGTGTATGCTAAAATAATGACCAAATATATTATAGTAAATACATAACCAGTAACAGACATTTATTGTAACAAGTATTGTGTACTGTACAAAATTGTAGGTGTTGTACTTTTAGCCAACTGACAATATAGTTGGCTTACTTGCACTAGTATCACTACAAAGATGTAATGTACGGGGCCCTGATGTTAGGACAACTATGACAAAATTATGGATTTTAAGCCCTATAATGGTCTTGTGGCCCCACTGTCATAGATGTGATCCATTGTTACCTAACATGTCACCATTTGGTGCATGGCTATAGTGTTAACAATGGACCAAGAAGCTGACGCATAGGAGGGATCTGAGAAGTTCCTTACCCCCCAGATATTAATGACCAAAAGGAGTTTTTCTTCTTTGTCATTTCCAACACTGCACTTTTTAGAGGTTAGAGGGACCCACCATTTTCCCCTGCCTTTTACTCATTCTCTTACCTAGTTCATTTTGAGGGGGAAAAAAAAGACAACTTTATGTTTTGACAAGTGCGTTTTCTTACAGTTTAGTCAGTTTTAAGATTTGGAATTAAAGAATAATATTTGAACAGCTGTGATGTAAGAATTGAAAGTGGTCATTCATTATTTCTATGTTTATAAAAGTTAAACGTATTTGTACAGGACTTTGGTAAAGAAGATTTGATTGTTTTTGAAACTTTTGTGGTTTATGAAACAATTAGGATTAGTGGGGAGGATTCAAAGAAAAGCAAATATTGTTGTTGCTATTAAGGCATTTTCAGTCTGATAGGAAGTAAGTTAGTAACTATCCATTTATGTATGTGAAGTTTACTCAGGAAGCTGTTAAAATTAGAAATTTCTTAGAGGCTGCCATTTGGCACAGAGGGTGAGATGGTCCCTTGTTGAAGTGATGGTTCCAGGGATTGCGTCTCTGCTCTATTTCTGGTTGTAGCTTCCTGCTAATACGCACCATAGGAAGCAGCAGGTCCTGCTTCAAGTGCTTGCTTCCTCGACAGTAATGGGAAACTTGTATTGAGTTGAAATCTCTTGACTTCGGTTTGGCCATCAATAGCTATTGCTAGTATCTACCAGCATATGTACTCACTCTCTCTCTGATTTTGAGAAAATTTTAAAAAGATTTATATTTATAGAAAGATTTACAGAGAGAAGGAGATAAAGAGAGATCCTCCATCTGCTGGTTCTCTTCCCCCCACCTCCATTGGCCATAATGGCCAGAGTTAGGTTAATCTGAAGCCAGGTAATTTGGATGATTATTTGAGAAGTTCCAATGTAAACAAATTGGATAATATCACAAGAGCTTAAAGGAGGTGTAAAGGGGTTGTGGAGATTACAGAAGGAAATAACTGGCTGCCTGAGACAGCTTGAATTTTCTAGGATTAGGAAGATGAGGTGGGTGGAGCAGTTTTTCCTTTTAAAAATTTTTAAAAGATATAATTTAACTTCTGCTCAACCTAAGTCCTTACTTGATGATGAAGCAAAAGGTAATAAAACATTAGAATTGGGCCTGAAATGGTAGCCTAGTGGCTAATGTCCTTGCTTTGCATGCATCAGGATCCCATATGGGTGCCAGTTCTAATCCCGGCAGTTCTGCTTCCCATCCAGCTCCCTGATTGAGGCCTGGGAAAGCAGTTGAGGACGGCCCAAAGCCTTGGGACCCTGCACACACAAGGGAGACCTGGAAGAAGCTCCTGCCTCCTGGCTTCAGATCAGATCAGCTCTAAGCCATTGTGGCTAGTTGGGGAGTGAATCAGCGGACAGAAGATCTTCCTTTTTGTCTCTCTCCCTCTCCGTATATGCATTTCCTATGAAAATAAATAAATGTTAAAAAATTTTGGATTTTTTTTTTGTTCTTGTTTTCCATTATACAGTTTTACAGGTATGGGTCTTCCCCTGTTTCACTACAATTCCTTCTCCTCGTTGTCCCCAGTATTTACAGAAGTGTAGTCTTTCAGCTGCAGTCATGACTCCCAATATTCTGCTCTTTGTGTGTGGCATGACAGTGTGGTTATAGGCAGTGGTAGAGAATCTAGTATCTTGTTTTCAGGTGTATTTTAACAGTTGTTTTGGAGGTCTTTGATTAGGGAGTAGGGATACATACTGCAGTTCTTTGTTTCCTGGTACTGGGGTCTCCATTACACTGTTTATGAGAATGTAAGTGATACTTGTTTACCTACTTATATTTTTGTTTTGTGTTTTGCCTAAGGTTGTCATATCAGAAAGTACCTGTGATATTTGTCCTGTTGGGAGTGGCTTATTTTATTGAGCTTAATGTCTTCACTTGGGACTAATTTTTGCAAATGGTAGACTTATTTTTATAATGGCTGAATAGTATTCCATAGAGTATGTGTACCACAATTTTTTTTATCCAGTCCTCTTTTTATTGGCATCTGGGTTGAAAACATTTGAATTTATAAAATGTTTCTTTGTGACTTTCCAACTTTCAGGCCAATAAAGCGGGTGCAGCGTCCATGATTCACTACATGGTTCTGATATCGGCTCGCTTGGTGCTACTCACTTTGTGTGGATGGGTGCTCTGTTGGACCCTTGTAAGTCTCTTTCGAAGCCATTCAGTCCTCAATCTCCTTTTCCTTGGCTATCCGTGAGTACTTCAGTTTTTTATTTTCTATCTTATTAGTATATCTTAGACATTATTTCAGTCATGCAGACAATTTTGTAAAAAAAAAAAAAAAACAGGAGAGGGGAGAGATGAAATTCTTTGGCTATAAATCAGGAATTTCAGAAGTTGAAAATCATAGTGTATATGGTGACCATATAGTTTGTTTTTTATCCTGGGGCAAGAGGTGTAAACCAGGAAGGCTGTCCCAGAGAGCCTACCAGTGACAAATATTCTAATTAGCTCTGCCCCTGGAGCAAAGCTTCTTATACTACCTCTGTTAAGGTGAATGGTGGTCAGTTTTAGGTGAATGAACTGACTGAGTCAGTTTTACTCTTAGTGAGTCATTTTGTTGATCAGATTACTTTCGTCTTTGGGTTCATGTAAGAATTATATTTATTTAAGTCTTTCAACATGTGTATGGAAAATAAAAAGAAATTTAAGCTTTGTGCAAAAACAGTTTTGAGATCCATGCATGTGAAGAAGTCTTCATGAAGTTCATTAAAAGTGGAGCTGGTGTTGTGCGGCACATTTTGCTGCTATTTGTGATGTCAGTTTTCTATATTGGAGTGTCATTTTGAGTCCTGGTTGTTCTGTTTCTGATCCAAGTCCTTGCTGATGTGCTTGGAAAGGCAGCAGATAGCCCAAGAATGTGAGAGACCAGAGTGGAATTTCTGACTCCTGTCTTGAGTTTGGACCCTACCTATCTGTAATGGGCATCTGGGGAGTGAACTGGCCAGGGATTAGCTCTGTCTCTCTCTTCTCCTTTTCTGTTTCTCTGACTTACAAGTAAGTAACTAAATCTTTTAAAAAGTTCATGAAAAATCAATATTATGAAAAACTGCTTAGATTTGAGGTCTTCTTTTGTTATCAGTTTAATTCTGTTCTTCCCACAGACATTTTGTGTGTATATATGTATCAGTGTTTTATTATGGAAGTTTTATAGTATTCAGTGAGATTGAAAGAATTTTACTGTGAACACCAGTGAAATCTCCACCTAGAATTTACGTATTAATGTTTTGCTAGAGTTGAGTAGTACATATCTAATCCATTTGTCTATTCTTCTATCAACTGATATTTTGATATATTTCAAACTCAAATTTCCAAACTCAGTTCTCTTGCCCTGAAATATTTCCAGTATTTACCTACAATTTTTTTCTTTTGAGGTTAAATTTATATATCATAATACTCACAGATCTTGTGTACATTTGATGAGTTTTTCTGCCCAGTTCTTCTGCTGCCTCTCCCGCCCCACAACGTATGTTCACAGTGGGTTCCAGATCTGTGCCGTCCATCCTTTTCAGGAATATATTCATATGTGTTCTCTCTGTAGAAGATGATGAACACATATCAGTTGTTAATGTTATATAAAGTACATAGTTAAGTAAGACATCTTTTATTTCCTTTTCTTCATATCTGAATTTATTTCAGTGCAGTGACCATTTTATTTATAAAACCTAGATCAAAATTTGAAAGTTATTTCATGAGGACTGAGGAAATATTTAAAATATTTTTAAGGGATGGTTGGAGTTACTATAATAAGCTGTTGAAAGTCTCAGAATCCAGTCCCTTCAGTAACTCTTCTAGAAATTTATCATATTTTTGAAGTTTCGGTCATTATTTGATCAACTATTTCTTGAGTGTGTCTTAGTTTCAACCAGTATGCTAGACTGTTGCATTGCAGTAAGCAGAATGAATTGTCTGTAAAACTTCAAGACTAGGGGGAACCTTTATTTTGCCAAGCAATATTTGGATATTTATAAGATGATTTTTGATCTATACAAACTTATTAACTTAAAAATTAGCCTGCTGCTCCTGGCACAGTAGCCTAGTTACTGAAGTCTTTGCCTTGCTTGTCCTGGAATCCTATATAGGCACAGGTTCATGTCCTGACAGCCCTTCTTCCCATCCAGCTCCCTGCCTGTGGCCTGGGAGCTGGATGGGAAGTAAACTAAATGGAGGCGTAATTACATGGAGAAAAATAACTGGCAAAGAGGAACTAGGAGTACATGTGGGAGTAGTGTGCGTGGTGTAATATCAGGCAAGGGAGTGAATCCTTTGTTTATGGTAGGGGAAAATAAAAACTACATTTAACTACATTTCTAAAAGACAAATGGTTAAATTATGATACAATGCATGAGAATTCCTTTTTCCCCTAAAGATTTATTTTATTTGTTTGATAATGGGAGAGGCAGAGAGAGATCTTCCATCTGCTGATTCACTCCCTAAATGACCACTAGCAGCTGGGGCTGGACCAGATCAGAGCTAGGCGTCAGGAGCTCCTTTCCAGTTCTCCCATGTGGATGCATGGACCCCAACTACTTGAACCATCCTCTGCTGCTTTCCCAGGCACATTTTCAGGGAACTGCACTGGAAGTTGAGCAGCTGGGACTTGAACCAGCACCCACATGGAATGCTGACACCATATAGCTTAAGTTACTACACCACAGCGCCAGCCCTAAGGGTTCTTTAATATTATTAGAGTTTGTGCAGATGGATGTTTATGCATGAGAAAATGCTTTGTACCTGCACACATATACCCAGTTAAAACAGTGGAATATAAAACAGTTTGTATCATATGGTGCCAAATATAAAAGAAAAGTGTATGTAACTATACATAAAATTTATACATTGAGAGAATACCCAGTTGTAAAATTGATTATTTATGGGTAGTCTATATTTTGTCAATGCAACTTCTCTTTTCCTATTACTTCATAATAAACACATACTATTTTTGCAGAGAAGTGAAAAGCCTTCCCAAACAGGGCATTCTCCACTGGCAAATTCCCTCCTGAGTCCTGTGTGCTCTGGTGCATTGTGACTGTCTTTAGGTGGACATTGTTGTAAGATGGCGGGGTCTGATTTTCATATTCACCTTGCTTTACAGGTTTGGTGTTTATGTTCCTCTCTGCTGTTTCCACCAAGATAGCAGAGCTCATCTTCTTCTCACAGACTATAACTATGTGGTTCAGCAGCAGGCGGTTGAGGAAAGTGCCTCACCTGTGGGTGGCTTACCCAAATCCAAAGACTTCCTCTTCTTACTGCTGGAGTCCCTGAAGGAGCAGTTTAATAATGCCACGCCCATCCCCACTCACAGCTGTCCCCTCTCTCCAGACCTCATTCGCAATGAGGTGGAATGTCTGAAAGCCGATTTCAATCACAGAATCAAGGAAGTTCTCTTCAATTCTCTCTTCAGTGCCTACTACGTTGCATTTCTTCCCTTGTGTTTTGTGAAGGTAAGTGGTTATCTGTCCTGCTTTTATGTGCTTCCTGGATTTGTGTGTTCTTTAAGTCAACTGGCTATTTCTTGTTTAATCCCCCTTTTCTCTGTCTCCCCTTTGGCAGCCTGGATGGTGGAGTTCGGCTGCATCTGGAGTGCACTAATACCGCTCCTGGTTGGCGGATAGGTATTTCCATAAATGTGATGCACCCCGTGGTGGTCCCTTCTTTTTTCCATTCCTTCCTTCTTTGTTTCTGTTTTTAGTTTCTGGGGAGAGCAAATGTTGTACTTACTTAGATTCAGTATGTAGTGGCTTCAGAGAACCAAAGTGGTAATCAAATTCAGCCTACTGCGTGCTTGATCTTCACATGGTTATCAGAAATTTCTTTGAATCTAATCTTCATCTAAACTTCAGCTTAACTTCAGTAGAAAGAAAATGGTCTGGATGTCACCTGGGCCCAAAGCCATTTGGGATATTTTAGTGCACTTCTATCACCCATTCAGAAGCTCTTCTGCAGCTGGAGTGGTCCTTCAGAAGCACTCAGTTCTCCTAGGAAGGAAACACTTAAAATATAATTGCCTCTCCCTCCCAGCCCTAACTCCTACAGACAGAAAGTCAGGTTGCAGGATTTTGGAGGACTCTGCTCTTGAACTTTCTGCACGGACAGCAGGACAACCAGTGCATGTGTGACTCAGTGTGACCTTGACCTGCAGGGCGTGTGTGCACGCACCCATCCCTGAGGTTGCCAGTGCATGGATCATTTCTCTCTTACCATCTCTTCCAGAGCACCCAATACTATGACATGCGCTGGTCATGTGAGCACCTCATTATGGTGTGGATCAATGCTTTCGTCATGCTCACCACCCAGCTGCTGCCTTCCAAATACTGTGACTTGCTGCATAAATCAGCTGCTCACCTGGGCAAGTGGCAGAAGCTCAAGCATGGGTCCTACAGTAATGCTCCACAGCACATGTAAGTAGGGAGAAGGTAAGACCATGTGACACTTTACATGTTGCTGGCCACGTGTGTTTGCTCTGTATGTCATTCTTGCTCTTGGCTTTGAACATTTTTAGTTTTGGGGCTACATGGATGCTTGTCATCACACTGAACTGATCACAGGGTGCATTAACTCATACCTTTTACCATCTTCAGCCTTTCCTTAAATGCATCCTAATTTTCAGCTGCCCAGTCATTCTTGAGTTTGTAATGTCGCCCAAGCTATATTCTTAGAGTTCTTTTCCAGTCTTAACCCTTTGCCCAAAATAATTCTTTTTAGAGTTAAGATTCATTTTCTCATTTTCTTTGCCACAGCCAAGTAGAAGCTAGCTATTCATCTCACACTTAGATAGCTGCAGTTTGCTTCTCTTCTTTCTAATACATGCAGGTTTGTTGTAGCAGTTCTTTTGCCTGTACTTTTTACTATTTTTTCCTACACTCTATCCTGAATTTTCCCCTGCTTTTCATGTGTTAAAATGAAAACTGTCCCTGACTCTGTGTTCTCTTTAAATATTCCTCATTGTGTCCCCTGGCCACCCATTTGTCTGCATGCTCCCTGACCCAAAATGGCTCATTTTGGAACCCTTCTGAGCCCATCATCAGACCTTTTTATCTGATTTGGACCATCTGCATCTTCTTTCCCTTTATAATTTGAGCATTTCACAAATCTCATCCCCTGGAATTTTTTCCTAATGAACTGGGACAGATTGAGGTGGCCCTCCCTTCTCTACCCCTCACCCTTCGGAATTCTCCCTTCAATTATCTACCTTGATGTCTGATACAGATTAGCACAGGCCTTCAAGCCCAGGAACTGAAAGAGATTGGGCCAGGCTGAAAAGAAACCCGACTGTGGGCAAAGGACAGATTTCAATAAAAATTGAAAATACAATACACAGTACTAGTACTGTGCATCTTCAGGCTCCTGGTGGCGCATGGCCATAAGGTGTATCATCACTTTAATGCTGGTAAGTGGGAGCAAGGCCGGCGGAACATGTTATCAACTGGGAAAGCCTCAGGGTGCTAGATTGTTTTTTTTTTTTAAACATATCTAAACTGCTATCCCAGTTCTTGTCCTGGAAAACTAACCCTTGCAAAATCAAGAAGAGTTGAATTAACTAAATTAAAAAAAAAAAAAAAAAAGAAAAACCTAACCCAAAGACTCCCATCATTACATTGTTGCTAGAAAGAATGAAGATGCTTTTTTCTTTGTCTTCCTTTCCCTAGAGAAACCTCTATAAAAACAAACCAGGAAAGCTGAGAATGTCAGTATGTCATACCTTGGTTTGTCTTTGTGCCCAACAATGTAGCTTCTCATAGCTGTGAAGTATTTGCATTATGTGATAGGTAAACTGATTTTCTAGCTCTTGGGGTTATCACTCTGCAGTAAATGTCATGCTAGTTTAACAGCATATTAGCTTTCTCAGTGCTCATATTGCCATCAGCTCTCTTGTTTTTTCCCTCTGGCATTTCTACCAGTGGACTGTTCTGTGGGCTAGTGATGGCTGTCCACCTGCTCACACTGTTCTGCCTCATGTACCTTACCTACGCCAGTGTGTCTTATTCTCCTGAGCCTCTTCAGTCCTGTGACAGAATTGACTGTGTAATTTTGTAACGTGTGTACTGTGTAGCAGTGAATTAAGCAACAAGTTATAACTCCCTCCAGTTTGGCTGTGGATGGAATTACAATGTTTTCACAGTTCAGACAGATTAATCCATTTTTAATCCCTTCCAAAGGAATATAGTTGGCTTTGCCAGACACTGTCTTACCTGTAATTGCTAGTGCCCTAACATTGCGTTTGTTTTTCCCTTAGTTGGTCAAAAAACACAATATGGCCTCAAGGAGTGTTGGTGCGACACAGCAGATGTTTATACAGAGCCATGGGACCTTACAATGTGGCAGTGCCTTCTGATGTTTCCCATGCCCGGTTTTATGTAAGTACTTGTTTACTTTTAAAACAAAGAAGATCACAGTCTTTTTTTTTTTTTAATTTTAAAGGCCCACTTGTTTGATGGACAAAGTGACAATGAGAGGGAGAAACTGAGAGAGATCTTCCTTCATTTGGTTTATGTCTGAAATGCACACAGCAGCCAAATCTGGACCAGGCAAAAGCCAGGAGCCAATTACTCTATTCTGGTCTCTCCCGGGGTGACAAGGTTCCAAGTACTTGAACCATGACCTACTTCCTTCCCAGGAGCATTAGCAGGAAGCTGGATCAGAAGCAAAATAATCTGTTTCAAACTTGTAATAGCCCTTGTCCTTTGAAGAGGTTTTCTGAAGGACAGGTTGAAAGTTGTATGACTGTTATTCCTGTGTCAGTACCCGGGCTGATTTTTGTTCCGTTGAAATTTGTTGAATTTAGTATTACTTGAAACAGTAGATAATCATCTCAGACTTTTTCATTAATTTTTAATCATTTGGTTTAATGGTAATCTTAAGGGATATCTAATACAGTAGTAATGTGGTTTGGGGCTTTTTTTTTTTGTATTTGTGATATGGATTGTCTCCTTTAGTTAACAGCCTTTTTTAAAAGTCAGCTGCCATGATTGGCAACGTAACTTTTGCTTTTTTTTTTTATTTGAAGGAGAAAAAACAAACAAAAAAAGGAATAAGCAATAGATAGATAGCTACTAAATCCAACTTCTGTCCTGTTTGAACGTATGCCGTGGATTATATTACATTTGATCTTTCGTTTGCCAGAACCGGTGGCTCCAAGGGACAGAAGTGTGTTTTTACTTGTAAAGAGCCAGTTCACTAAATGACAGGATAGGAGGGGTGCGGAGAACAGTTTTCCGTGTAGTACCCTGCCCTTGAAGGGAGATCATCTTTAAGAAATTCTTGGAGGGTTTTTTTATTTGTTTGTTTGTCTTTGAGATTCTAGTGTGAGACTATGATTCTACATGTGTTTGTAAACTAGGTACCTGCTGGGAACTTGGAGCGGGGGCATGGTCCTTGTCAATAACATGATGGGGAAGGCTGAGTTTTCCAGGTCTTCAGTGACTTTTTCTTAGTCTGTACAAGCCAAAGATTTTTTAAGAATTTTCTACTGGAAAAGCGTTTGCTTGCTAGCATTGAACACTGAAGAGTCAGGTGGAATCCATTGAAAAATATTAAGTAAATTAATGCAAAAAGATCAAAGAGTACTTCTCAGAAATCCTTGGCCAACAACATATAACTCACTTGGCACACAATTTTTTTTTTAAAGATTTATTTTTATTTTTTTTATTGGAAAGGCAGATATACAGAGAGGAGAGACAGAGAGGAAGATCTTCCGTCCGATGATTCACTCCCCAAGTGAGCGCAACGGGCCGATGCCATGCCGGCCGATCCAAAGCCAGGAGCCTCTTCCGGGTCTCCCACACTGGTGCAGGTTCCCAAAGCTTTGGGCTGTCCTCGACTGCTTTCCCGGGCCACAGGCAGGGAGCTGGATGGGAAGTGGGGCTGCCAGGATAGAACCGGCGTCCATATGGGATCCCAGGCGTGCACGGTGAGGACCTTAACCACTGCGCCACCGCGCCGGGCCCGGCACACAATTTTATATAATTTTTTTTTTTAAAGATTTAATTATTTATTGGAAAGTCAGATATACAGAGAGGAGGAGAGACAGAGGGGAAGATCTTCTGTCTGATGATTCATCCCCCAAGTGAGTGCAATGGCCAATGCTATGCCAATCTGAAGCCAGGATCCAGAAACTTCTTCCGGGTATCCTGCACGTGTGCAGGGTCCCAAAGCTTTGGGCCATCCTCGACTGCTTTCCCAGGCCACAAGCAGGGAGCTGGGTGGGAAGTGGAGCTGCCGGGATTAGAACTGGTGCCCATATGGGGTCCCGGTGCGTTCAAGGTGAGGACTTTAGCTGCTAGGCCACGCCGCTGGGCCCAATTTTATATAATCTTTTAAAATGTTTGCTTATTTGAAAGGTAGAGGGAGTGAATTGTTTTCCATCTGCTGTTTCACTCCCTGAACTTTGGCCCACAACAGCCAAGTTTCAGCCAGGCGAGGCCAGGATTTGTGAACTCATTCTGAGTACTTGAGCCATTACTTGCTGCCTCCGAAAGTGCTCATTAACAGAAAACTGGGTGAGAATTGGAGCCAGTCCCAGAGTCAGACACTCTGGTTGGGAAGCGAGGTCCCCAAGCAGCATCTTACACTGCTGCTCCAAGCACCTGCCCCAGTCCACTCTGGATGATTTGGGACCTCTGTCCCATGCATATGAATGAAGGAATCTGGAAGATTCCAGTGATTTTTATATTTGTAAACGATTCTCAAGCACACTAAGATTTGAAGCATTCATTTAAAATGTGTTAGATTTTTGAAACCTGACCTCACCTTACCACTTCCTCTGTAGCTTACTGGCACAGATAATTCTAGGCTTAGCATGGAATCCTTTTGGAGCATTAATTCTGGACCAGTTTTATCCATGACATTACTGAATCTCATGTAATATAACCCAAGTCAAGGATTTGATTTGAGGGATTGCAAGCCTCTTTTTGTCAAATTCTCATTTTTCCTTCTTCTCTCCTTGTCCTGTCATTGTACATCCTATTTTTAATATCTATAATAAATAAATAAGCAAGTAGAATTACTCGGTGTACAAGATTTTAGTCAGTGACTGGTATGGGTAGAGTTTAAGGAAAAGTTGAAAAACTATTGATATGTAACTTGGCCTCTTTCTCCAAACTTACCTACTGTTGATGTTTTTATTTTAGATCAGCCCACAAGCTAAGGATAGTTTTTGCATTTTTAAATGGCCCTTGTTTAACTTACTACATAAATACCCATAGTATCAACTTTTACCTCTTGAGTTGCACAACTTATTTCCCATTTAGTGCTTTATCAAGTCTCTATTTAGAGAAGTATACGTTTAGTCATTTTAAATAAAAAGATATTTCAAAATATAAGAAAAATGTCTACAGGTAGTGTCCTGGAAATACTATCTCTTCAGGCCTCAGAAACATTGAAATTAAATTTATTCCATTATTTCTGGAGCAAAGGGAAAAAAGTTTGGTTCTATATGTTAATAGTTGATAAACTGATCTGTTTATTAGTGCATATCACATAATAAGAAATTGTGAAAAATAGCTGAATAACTGTAACCTTTACTCTGGTGAAATAACATCTTGCCTCTTCCTTACAGTTTCTCTTTCATCGTCCGTTAAGGCTGTTAAATCTGCTTATCCTGATTGAGGGCAGTGTCGTCTTCTACCAGCTGTATTCCTTGCTGCGGTCGGAGAAGTGGAACCACACGCTTTCCATGGCTCTCATCCTCTTCTGCAACTACTATGTTTTATTTAAGCTCCTCCGGGACAGGATAGTGTTAGGCAGAGCGTACTCCTACCCACTCAACAATTATGAACTGAAGGCAAACTAAGCTGCCTCTCAACAATGAGGGAGAACTCAGATAAAAATATTTTCATACGTTCTATTTTTTTCTTGCAATTTTTATAAATATTTAAGATATTTTATATTTTGTATACTATTATGTTTTGAAAGTTGGGAAGGGTAAAGGATATCAGATGTATCCATAAACAAGGTGATGTGATCTTTCATGTGTTAGTATATCTGACTTATACACATATGAGATGAATGCCTCTCCAGTAAAGAGATTGATTTGTTTGTCTGGCTCTGGAATAATTCATTTATCTATGAACACACCTCGTGTATCATTTGACATGGTCCCGTTGGTGGGTCTGCTTTTTGTTTTTTTTTTTTTCAGTCCTTTTCATGATTCTGTTTAGTCTGGCCAGCCAGTAATTATGGTGGGAGACAGTGGGTTTCCTGCTGGTTCCTCTCCACTCTCCAGTCAGCCCGCTAATGGTGTTGGAACACACAGAGGAAAGAGAGAGTCACAGTCCTGCAGTGGTTCTGTTTTCTGAGATGCTTGCCTACCCCCCTGGTGTTTAAAGGCACTCTGCATGCGCTGCAGCTCTGAGGCTCAGGGCTTTGGTGTCACATACCATACTCTCACTTTTCTTGTTTCCAGAGAGTGTCCTTTCATTCTGGGTAGTTTGAAATAAAAGGCAGAGAGTCTCTAGAGTGACCACACTCAGGAAGGAAGTGGTGTGTGCCTGGGCCAGTGGGAGATGTGTGTGCCACGTGGGTTAGCAGACGAATAGGTTGAAAATACCAAGAAATTTGAAGAACAAGTGAGTCCTTGGCCAAACCAGGCAGCCAAGCAGCAGCCTACCCACTGTGCCATTACTTCTGGAATTATGAGGGAACATGAAATACCAAAAGTTCCTGTTTTCTCGTCAGAGTATATGATAACATGTTTTCCAGAACCTTCATGTTTGTGAGCATTGATTTTTTTTTAAGTATCACTTCCCATATTCTTGGAAAGTGATATATTGCTCCACTCTTTTTGTTGATAGTCACCCAAACTTTTGACACCTTATAGACACCCTAAAATAGGTTGTTTTCTATATGGGGTTTGGTTTTTATACCATGAAATGAAATATATCGCACAGTTCATAAACTGGCTGTGAAAACAAACTTTAGCAGAAGAGTTGACAGAATTTTTAGCAAAGGAATCAGTATGAGGAATGTATATCACTACCCAAAGTAAATACCTTTTAAAGAAATTATTTGGCATTCAGTCAGTCAGTTCAACCATTCAATAAATTAACAATCAGCAGGCACTATATCAGGCATTGTGTGTGTAGCCGTGAATAAGGAATGCGAAGACCCTGTCTTCACAGAGCTTACAGTGTGTGGGGAGGAGGCCGGTTATACACAACATGAAATAACTCCATTTCCCCATATTTCCTTATAATTGTGATACTTGCAGGAAATAGACACAAAAGAAAAATAAACTAGGGCCAGGAAATAGTGGTGGGATAGGTTGCTAGAAGGCATTTTTAAAAGATGAGTATTGAACAGAGATGACAAAGTGACACTGAATTATATAAATGGCTGTGGGGTAATTCAGTTAACATCAAGGGCAACCCTGGTGCAGAAGCATCTGTAGGATAAAACTGGGGTATAACAAACTCCTGCCCAGTCTACCTGTTCCTTGTAGGCGCTACATTCATAATGGTTTTCTGGATATTCTGTCATGGATCAGGTGAGAGAAAGCAAAGGAAGTAGGAAATAAAGAATGGCCAAGCTGTCATGTTTGGACTTAAAAACTGTGTGGAAAGGATGGTATAGCAAAGGATCAGGTAGGCGAATTTGGAATACTGGAGGAGGAGATACTGGAGGAGCTATGAGGGGCCTCTGTTGGGTCAGTGATCCTGAAGAAAGGTGGACAGGAATGAGCAGAATGGGAACACCCTTCAGCATGCTGTTTACAGCATCACGTTTATTTCCTGAGCCTTGTTTCCTTCCCTTGCCTATCATTCACCTCTCACCCCCATTTCTGTTTACTGGGCAATTATGTGTCAGAACTGCTTCTGCTGGAAATAGTGATGTCAGAGTTTACCAAATAAGCAGGAGCAGACACATTAGTCAGTTGTCACAGAAGGGTGTTCACTAATTCAAGTATGTATGGCATTCAGTAGTGAATACAGGGCAGGAAGTGATCAACTGCTTCACAGCAATGGGAACTGATTGTAGTCGGGGAAAGCTGCTCTAAAGGAGAGCTAGGATTTTACCATAGGTGGAACAGTCATGCATTTCTCATCTGGAAGGATGCTGTGATCTGACCTGGCTTTTGGGGCACAGAATATACAAAAATGAAGCTATGGACTTGCAGTACTTGTTCAGAGAACAAACTCGGTAATGTCAGAGAACCAGATAGGTTAGGAAGACACATGTGAATACAGTGGTGGCTGGAGATTGATTATGAATTTTTTTTAAAGATTTATATTTTTTATTGGAAAGGCTGATACACAGGAGGAGAGACAGGAAGATTGTCTGTCTGATGATTCGCTCCCCAAGTGGCCGCAATGGCTGGTGCTGTGCTGATCCAAAGCCAGGAGCAAGGAACTTCTTTTTGGGTCTCCCACATGGGTGCAGGGTCCCAAGGCTTTGGGCCATCCTTGACTGTTTTCCCAGGTCACAAGCAGGGAGCTGGATGGGAAGTGGAGCTGCTGGGACTAGAACCGATGGCCACATGGGATCTTCGTGCGTTCAAAGCGAGGACTTTAGCTGCTAGGCCAGCACGCTGGGCCAGATCATGCATTTTTTAAAAAAGATTTTTTATTGCAAAGTCAGATATACAGAGAGGAGGAGAGACAGAAAGATCTGTCCAATGATTCACTCCCCAAGTGACTCCAATGGCTGGAGCCAAGCTGATCTGAAGCCAGGAGCTCTTCTGTGGTTCCAAGGTTTTGGGCTTTCTTTGACTGCTTTCCCAGACAACAAGCAGGGAGCTGGATGGGAAGCTGGGCTGCTGGGATTATAACACGTTCAAGGTGATGACTTTAGCTGCTAGGCCACTACACCAAGCCCTGATCATGAATTTGTAAAGCAAGATAAATTTCCTTACTGTGTGTGGATGGGAGGTTCCCCAGGACAGGGTTGAAAAGGGTGGAATGGCCATTGTGCCCTTTAGAAAGGAGGCCACTACTGAGAAAGCGGAGCCAAATCATGTAAAGGCACTAATGAGTTTCTCTGGTTCATCCTGTAGCCACAGAAAAGGGCTGAGAAGATAGATAGCAAGAATCCTGGCCTTTTGTGGAGGTTTGCACAGCAGGTGTGGATGAAGGTTGAGAGGTCCTGGGGAGAGTGGCTGGGATGCACCAGGGTCTGGAGAGGCGAGGGAAGAAAGGCTAAATCACAGGGGAGGGGGCTGCTGGCCAAAGCAAGTGTGGACCAGGTATTAATAAACTTACACAATTGGAAGGAAGTGAAGGACAGGAGAGATTTCTGAGAAAGAAAAACAAATTCAGATTCATGAAGTTCTGAACTGTGAAAGTCTGCTATATAAAAAACCCAAGAAGCAAGTGGTCAGAGCTCAGTAGAAGAAAAAAACCCTAAGCAAAATAAGGTAAGGCCTTGGTTTTTCTCCAGAACATTGAAGCCATCCAGGGTGATGGGGTATAAAGCAGAAAACAGATACTTGGTAACAAAGGAAACAGACTGGGAAATGGTAGAGGCTAAAATCCCGAGATCCACGCATTTTTGTATGAGATGGAAGGAAGCAATTGTGCAGAAGTGAGGAGGTTGGAGAATGGCTTCCAACCCTTTATGAAAGCTTGTTTCTTGTGGGAGAATGTAGTTTTGCAAAAACCAAGAAGTTTCCTGCAGGAGCTGTATTCAAACTCAGGAAGTAACAATGATATAAACAGGCTGGGGCCCTTTGTGCATTGGGGGTGTTATAAAAACAGAATGATTCTGAAGAAACTAGAAAATATCAGTAGTTAGGGGTATGAATGGTGTGTGTGTGTGTGTGTGTGTGTCGGGCAGGGAGTAGGGGCCAGTAAGGGAGGACCTGGGAATGTACGACAAAGGACAGGCACCTAGGGCAATAATGGAGGCCGCCAGCAGCAGGCCTGCCTGGTGGGTATAAGGCTCTCGACTCCTGCTGGCATGCTTATCTCCTTGGCAATGATATTTCTGCAAATGTCATCAGGTTGTGAACCTAGGTTACACAGTTGTTCCCATGCCTTTCCCCCTTGTATGACCACATGTGCCAGACTAACAGATGTTTGGTTTTTCTCCCCCAAAGCTACACTGATGTGATCACCACAACACTGAGCTCGCATCTCTGGGTGTGTACCCTTGTAAGCTTTTTCCTTCTCATTTTTAGTTCGGATTTTTATTGGCTATTTTTCACAACATGACTGTATGATTGCATCAGTGAGGGGGTGAAGTTGCAAACACTTGACAGTTATTAATGTGTAAAATAACAGAAGTTTACTGAAGCAAATCACTAAGGACTTGGGCTGTGAGACCAGATTATGAAGTAACATTAAAAAATGTCAAACAGAACATACTAGAACAATGAGTCTGATGTGAAATTCTACTTTCCTGACATGATTTTGCTGACTCCATGTCCTGTAGCTCAGAGGTATGACATAACTACTGCATTTAACATCATTTATTAGAGTACATTTTTATAATGTAACAATGTTTTAATTATGTTTAAATGTCTCCATGTATAGGCTTAATATTTATACTTTTTTAATTAATAGAAAAAACATTTTGATTACAGTTTTGGAAACATGTAGAGCTCAAAGAACAACTGAAATCATGTGACTTTTCTAATAGACTCCTGTGGAAAGTGCTTTACTTTGCAGAATTATAAGCCTCAAAGTACTACGGCATTAAGGCATTGCAAAGCATTATTATTTATCCAGCAAAAACACATGGTAGTGGACTTTCCTTCACTCTTCTAGGGAATTCCTGCATTTCTCATGCACAAATATATAAAAACATATTTGTGTTACAAAAAATACCAACCTGCTCTGTGCTCCCCCATCTGTGGGACCCCCAGTCCCGATGAGCACTCGTCTCAGGCACACACTCTTCCACCTTCGCCCTCTCGTCTCCATGCTCAGAGAAGTGTTTGCTCCCTCTTGTGGCCTTATTTTGCTAGGACATGTGTTGGTAAAGGACGGCACATCCTTTCGTCCTTCCATACTTTTGCACTGATCTGCGACTGGAGGTATCTAAGATCGTACTCCTGGCAGCACTTACACCTGACATTCATGTTGGTCCAGCTTTGGGACTCTAATCAATCCCGACAAAAATTATATCTCAAACTTCTACTCAAGTTCCAGATAAATGAGTCTTAGTTTCCCCCGTCACACAGGGCCCTGCACAGATGACATTCCCACCAATTTTAGTGATTACTATATGCCAAACTCATACACGAAGCAGACAACATATCGGACCTAGGACTTGGTCATCAACAGAATGAACCCACTTTGTGAGGCCAGAAGGCTCCTACATCTCTCCTCAAGCAGGATGGAATGCTGACCTTGCCTGGCTCATTGGCAGGGTTCCTACAGGAAGGACTTCAATACAGCAGCAACTCAGGCCACACAATACCTCAGAACTATTTTAACCTTAGTTGTGGTTCTCTTAACCAAGTATCTCACTGGTTCCTTCCACTGGATTTCCACCTGTCAGTAGTCAGTAGATGCTTGCATACCCTTAATTCTATTAAAAAGATGTTAACGGCTGCTTTTTTTCCCTTTCTACCTTGATCTGATAACTTAACAGTTCTAAAGTTTGCTCCTTGTTGTTTATGTGCTCTTTTATTGGTTACCATCCTTCCCCAAGTCACTGCACTCTTCTCTTCAAGGATTCAGGAATAAGTAAGTACAAAGGCACTCAATGCTTGATAAATATTTAAGGATGATGATATTAATATTTTTAATATCCCCAAACCTAAAATTTTAACTTTGATATTTTAGGACTTGCGTTAGGCTAGCAGTGTGTTATTGGAGTTCACCTCCTATTCCAAACAAAGCAGGGAAAAATGCCCGGTATCTGGTCTACATTCAAGGGAAAAAATTGACCTGAGGGCCATTTGGCTAATAAGAATAGGTTACTGTCTTCTTAAGCAACCGTAACACTAGCTATGTATGCATCTCAATTCAACACTGAAAACCAGCCATCCCTATTTTGAGGACTGGAGAGTTCTAGGTTGGATTCCACAGCCGCTTCCAGAGCATCGTGAAGACCGCTGTGAGTCAGGAGGGTCTGTTCTATTCCTTCAGTGGATGTAGGAAGCAGGCAGTGTGCTTCCCATTCAGCCACTTGGGCACTTCACCTCGCAGAGCCCCATGCAGGGCAGTGATCCCAGGATGTTTGGAGAAGGAATTAGAGGACAGGAAATGTGAGTTTTCCCTTGTGCTAAGAGTATCACCACAGCCCACAAGAAGTTTAGGAATATGTAATGGCTCACAAGTTGGGAGTCAGGTGAAGGAGGCAAACCCAGGAGCAGCAAGACACGGCCAAGTCAGTGTCCAAGGCCTGTGGAGCTGACCAGCTAGGAGAGTCCAGGAGCTGTCTCCAGTCAGCTGCTGGTGTGTCATCACACCATCCAGAGCCACTCCTGAAGGGGAGGCTATAAATGGAAGCTGTCTGTCCGAAGGAACATGGCAGCTATTGTGTTAACCTAAACAGGTGCTTCTTCCCTTTGAATTAAACTCACTCATTTATCTGCACATGTTGGCTTCTCAGTTTATCCCTAAATAAAAATATATTTGTATTACAAAAAAATTTAAAGTAAGCACAAAATAGTTTAAATATTTCATCATTTGGCTCAGTTCTGATAGTGAAGCAAAGTGCAGTCTATCCCTCTCACATTCTAGCTGGGATGTGGTCCTTATCAGAGAGTAGACACCTCAAGGGCACTGAGAACTACATAAAGTTTATGTGTCACATTTTCTGATAACTCAGGAATGTATTCTTCCAATCTGTGGAACATGGCCTTTCTCATCCGTCACCACTCTGTCTTCACCTTGCTTGCCTAGGGAGAATGCTGTGTTCTGGGACTTTTCTTAGGAATTGACATGATTGGCTGCTGGTCCAATGTCTCACTGGCCCAATGACAATGCAAAACCACTGACCAGATGTCTATTAACTGCTCTTACTGCTCACTCTTCTCATGGTCTGAAGGTGGAAAGCATCCACTGATGTGTCAGTTATCCTTGTTACAGATGCTGGCTTAAAGAGCACAGATCAAGATTTCAGAATGGCCTGCAAGGTTTTTTAGGAAAACAGAGAGGAACATGATGGTGATGCAGGGTATGAGTTTTCAGTATCTCGTTGAAGGAGGTAAGTTCAGCTCAGCCTCAACAGCATTGGCTGTGAGGTTTGCCCAGGGGTACTGCTGGCCCTAGGGGATACTTATGCAATGACTGAGCTTCTTAGAAAGAATTCAATCAGTCTTGGACTTGAGAAAAGGTACCTGGTGAAGCTATTTTTAATGGAAGCACCAGTCTACCAGCAGGTGTATTAGAAATTTCAAATTTCAAATAACTGCAAGATCATTACCTTGGCTTATTGCTTCTCCAAGAGCACAAATAGAAGGGCAAATATAAATGCCTGAGGTGGGTGTGTGTGGGGGGTGGTGTCATGGAAGAGGAAGGGATGCCTCAACGCTGCTCCTGAGTAATGGAGGGAGAGGGAGCAAGCAAAGGAGCCCTGGCTACAGTGAACCCCATTCTCAAGAAGGGCAGCTCCCACTGAGGGGCGGTGATGGCCATGATGCCAGGCTTCTTTCCCTCATTCTCTCTCATTGGGCAAAGAGAGAAGTTGGGCTAGAAGTATTCCCTGCTAATGCCCCACCAATTGCAGTTCTGCCTATGTGGGAGGCTTTGCTTAATGATATCATGTTCTTGGATTCTGAAATCACAAAGTAGGTGCCTTCACTTCATCGCTGACACCTTGACGGAGATTCAGTACATCCCAGCCAGGTTATTTTCACCTCAGCTTCCACTCTGTCCAGTTGGTGGATTTATAATTCAGAGTTCTGTACAGTAACAGTTGGAGAACCAAATTAATAAAAGCTAGAGGCAGGTCATCTTGGATCTGTCTCAAGTTTATTCTTGGGTCCAGATTCTGATGTCTGTTGCTGACGTGTGGAGTCATCTTGGACAGGTCTGAAGGGATCCCAGGGAAACAGTGGGGGTCATTTCACCCACAGTGGGGATCAAGATGCACGTTTGTTTGTAGATGCAAATCTGCTTCTATTTTAGATGGTACAAGAAGACATGCTTAAACAGCATTGAAAAGCACAGCATATTGAGAAGGCCTCTGAACCTCACAGCTGACACAGGCAAAGGATTTTTTCTTTCTCTAAAAGGACATGGACAGCCAGCTCTCAACAGTCACAGACAACATTAATAAGCCCCAGGATTTCACTGGAGGCAAACATTCTATCTTCTTCCCTAACTTCTCTCATTTGCTAATATCAACTTATCTGCATTTCATCTTTTAGTCTTTTCCTTGACCACTTTTTCTGGAAAATGAACTAAATACATGATCTAAAAGCTGAAAAAAAAAAAGAAAGAAAGAAAAAAAGAAAGAAAGCCCAAGCTTGAATAAGCCTATGCTCAGACAAAAAGGCCTTCAGCTTCCAGGGGACTCATGATCTGTTTCCTGAAACCAGCAGGTGAAGCTCTGTCATTCTATCTGCCTCCCACTTCTTCCATCCAGGATCACTGATCTCCGCTGGGGCTGATAAAAACAGCTGGTTGAGGTCTCCAATCTCTGGCCGTTCTTAGGGATGGTCATTTTATTCCTAAGAGTGACCCCTTCCGGTGTCACCCATGTGTTTTCTGCCAGCTCCCCACAGAGAAGGCCAGGGGAGACGGTCTGGGTAGGACTTCTGATAGGGGACAGCAGGACCTTGGAATCTGTCCCTGCGGAAGAGGAGGGCAGGTGGTCCATGATAGGGAAAGGAGGGCTGAATAAGATGAGGCTCTGAGGTCTTCCTGGTCTTGACCTGTGGAAAGGCTTTGAATTTGCAGATGGTCGTTCCATTTTGGAGGAGAGGAGATTGTCCCCAGAAGGCTCAGTCTCTGACGTGCGCTTCCTGCACTGCAAGGTAGCATCCTGGGTGGAGAGTGGTTTAGACACGCCTGGCATTGAAGAAAGCGTGGGTCCCTCGCACAAGCAAGATGCAGCAGTGTCTGCTAGGGAGGACTTGAGAATGCCTATCTCTTGCTTTGGTTTCTCTTCCTTGGGGCTTTGCTGGGAGGAGCAAGAATCGTTTTTGGCAGGTTTGTGGGATAGCCCACTGATTGAGCTGGATTCCTCATGGGCCTTCTCTGGAGGCTGGGCCCCACTCTCCGCTGAGCCCTGAGAAGGCAGGGGCTGTGGGATCTGTGTGTACTGAATCTTGGGTGGGATGACTGGCACCGCCCTGGCCTGGCACATTTTGACCATGAAGGAGGTTCTCACTGCAGACACGCTCACGGGAGCTGAGTTGCGGCGACCTGTCAAGGCATGCGCCACAAGGTCGAGGTCCTGGGTGTCCTGAGAATTCATCTTCCAGGGATCTGCTGTACAGTGAGATGAGGTCAGCCACGTGACTTTTGGGTCTCCCCGCTGTGAGAGCTGTGTTCTAGGTGTACTCAGGGAGGCCATGTTCTCAAACCGGAAGAGATCGGCTATGAGGCTGGTGGAGTCCAGGTTGAGGGAAGAGGGCCTGTTTTTCCCTCTTGGTGGTCCACACTCAGGACTCTTCAGCTGTACTTTGAGGGGCTGCTCTCCAGGTGAAGTGTCCTGCACCCTGGGTGAACCCTCCTTGCTGTTCTCTGGCCCAGGAACAGCACCCTGCTGAGCCTGAGGGTCGCTGTGTTCCCCATTTGCTTGCAGCTCTTTGCCTTCTGCTAGGCTGCTGGGGCCACTTCTCGCCACTGTGGGTTGCACCTCACCTGGACCTTCCTGACCAGGAAGAGCCTCTGCCCCTTTCAGGATGGAAATCTCTTGGAAGGTCTTTAGGGCTTTCTCATCCCATCCTGAAATCTCTCTCCTGGGGGTCAGAGGCTGCACAGGGTCAGAATTCCTCTTTATTTCCAGATTAGCACAACTGCTAGAGCAGGAAACCTGGAGTGGCCACTGGCTTGGAACCACAGTTCTGCTATCTAGAGAGTGGCTCTGGCGTAGGCTGGGCCTGTGGCAAAGCCTCTTTTCCAAGCGGAGGCTCTGGGGGCCCTGGCCCTGGGCCTCCAGCACATCCTTCAGGGTGGGAGAGTGTAGGGGACTTGTCACCCACTGGGGCTCTTCCCAGGGATCCACCATCTCCAAGCCATGCTGAGCACTCTCTGATGTGGTGTCATCGTCATCACAGTCTGAAGGTTCCTGTACTGAATGGGCCATGTCCCCTTCGCCTGGTGTGGCCAGCTCAGCCTCCTGTGCTGGGCTGGGAAGACCAGTGCTCTCTCCCTCAGCGGCAGCATGCTTTGGAGTTTGCTTTTCACTTTGCCTTGGAGCTGACTCCTCTCCTTGACAAAGGCTATGGATCCCAAGGCTGTCTTTGCTCTCCAGCTGATTTTTAAAGGGCTCTATCGTTGAATACACAGGTGGATCTTCTCTCTCAGAACCGTCCTGTGACAGTGCAACTCGGGGTGCCTCCTCCAGAGGAGTTGGAGGAGGAGGAGCAGGTGGGAGTGGAGGGGACAGATTTCCTGAGCCTCCCAATGCCCTTTGTGCTGGTGGAGGTACCATCTCAAATGTAATTATTTCCAGAGGAGCTAGCCTGGCTGGGTCTGGACGCATACCTTGTTCAGGCGTAGATCTAGGGAGGCCGCTGGTTGGTGCTGATGTCTCACTATTGGTTGCTGTAGAAGCTCCCTGTGTGCTCTGACTGCTTGGGTCTCTGGACCACTCCTCTTGGGGAGCACAGATGGGATCAGGAGTGGGGTCACAAGACAACTGCTGAGATGACTCTGAGGAGGCAGAAGGCCCTGCCTTGGATTCGACAAGAGGTTGAGTTGGGCTGAGCTTCTGAGTAGGAGGTGGCAATGTGGAGAGCTCCTCCTCGGATTCGATGATTTTCAGCTCCTGTTGGATCTCGGGCCAGATTAGAGCACTGCCCAGATCATCTTCATCCTGGAAAACACCAGGAAACTGGTTATCTTAGATGCTAGGATTTAGGGATCAGGAACAGTGCCAGCCTGGGCTGCCTGAGCAAATATAGGATGCAATTCCAGTAAAACTGTGGCTGCCTGAGAGCTCACCATATGCTGTCACACACTCTGCCGTCATGTTATGTTTGTTTTTCCTATGCCATCAGAGATAAACATGTCTGTGATTAACTCCCATTTTAAAGTTGAAGAGGCGTAGGTGCAAATAGATTAAATGATCATTCTAACACATACAACAGCAGACTGCAATTGAAATCCAGTACGGTGTGCACACTGGAACGCAAGTGCGTATGCCTGTGTACTCTTGCCAGGTAGCACAGGCCAAACCCTGCTCTCACATAACCTCAGGTTTACTACAAGGCACACAAGAATGAGATTCTTAGGCCCAGTGCAGTAGTCTAATGGCTAAAGTTGTCGCCTTGCAAACACTTGGATCCCATATGGGCACCGGTTCTGATCCCGGCTGTCCTGCTTCCCATCCAACTCCCTGCTTGTGGCCTGGAAAGCAGTCGAGGACAGCCCAAAGCCTTGGGACTCTGTACCCATGTGGGAAACCTGGAAGAGGCTCCAGGCTCTTGGCTTTGGATTGGTTCAGCTCTGGTCATTGTGATCACTTGGGGAGTCAATCATTCATCAGATGGAAGATCTCTGTCCTTCCTCCTCTCTGTATATCTGAGTTTCCAATAAAAATGAAAAATTTTTTTAAAGAATAAGATTCTCCCAGAACAACAAAAATGGTAACTCTCACCAAGAAAGATGCTTTCCAGTGTTCCGCATGGGAAAAACTTCTGAAGACATATTGAAATAAAAGTCATACAAAGCTTTACTGTCCTCCTACCCATGAGGAATTGCTGTAAATGCAGTAGGGGTTCTTCTCGTGGCTGTGGAACAGGCTCCTGAGCTCTCAGATTTACAGAGAAGGAGAGAGAAAGATCTTCCATCCACTGGTTCACTCCTCAAATGGCCCCAGTGGCTGGAGCTAAGCCAATTTGAAGCCAGAAGCCAGGAGTTTCTTACAGATCTCCCACATGGGTACAGGCTCTGAAGGCTTTGGGTCATCTTCAACTGCTTTCCCAGGCTACAAGCAGGGAACTGGATGGGAAGTGGAGCATCTGGGACACAAACTGGCCCTCATAATGGATACTGGTGCTTGCAAAGTGAGGATTTAGCCATTGAGCCATCAGTCCAGGCCCCATGGTCTTATTTTGAGATATTTTAGAAAAAACCTTCCAGGTCAAAATAATCTAACTGCATTTAACTGTATATGTTTCTGTTTCTATTTTGTCTACTACACTGTGTTCTTTTCTGGGGTTAAGGAGAGCCTTTTACCTTTTTTTTTTTTTTTTTTGGAAAGATTTATGTTATCCCAACAGCCGAGTTACAGTGACGGGGGAAGCTCTATCCGCTGCTTTCCCAGGTGCTGGATCACAAGCGGAGCAGCTCCAACCAGCACTCTGGTATAGGACAGAGGATTGCAGGTGGTGGTTTACTGTGCTGCACCACAATGCCGTTCCTGCCTTTTACTCTCCTCAGGGTAGGAATTAATTAATCTCAGTAGGTAACTGATAAATTTAGATGCCTAAAGGAACACCTATACTGCCCTGCACTCTCCACCCCTCCATCTCAGTAAGAGGACCACAGTGCCTCTTTCTGCTCAGACCATAAATGTATGCGATATTTCCCACTGTTTCCTCCTCCTCACTCCATACCCAGTCCTTCACCAAGTCCTGTTCTAGAAAACCCTTGCATGCTTCCACTTCCCATCCACACGGCCCTACACTTGCTCCAGTGACCACCTTCTGTCATGTGGTTTGCCAAGCGCCAGCCTTCTTACTGACATCCTTACCCCTGTTCTTGCCCCGTCCAAGCCCTTCCCCTGACATAAGAGAGTGATCCTTTAAAGATGAAATCCCAAGCGTATCCAGCCCTTTTCCAGTGATTCTCCTCCCAGGCAGTTCTGGCTGATGTGGCTCCTGATCCGTGCGGAACCTCACTTTCTTCCTGGTCTTGCTGCCATTCCTTGCATGTTCCACATTCTTTCCCAGCTCACATTCATGCTACATCATAGTCTTTCTGCCCAAAGCCTCTGCTTTTTTTTTTTTTTTTAAATCCTACTCCTATTTGTTCCTTCTAGATAAATCCTATTCTCCAAAGACTTGTCTAACCTTTGTGACAGACAGCTCCTCCCTCCGACAGGTCCTGCTATTTGCTCTCACAACACTGCATACTTCCCTATCACTCTAGAAATGACTCAGGCAGTGAGTTTTTCTTACTGGGCTGCTAGCTTCATGAAATCAGCAATGGTAACAGCCCCACTCACCACCACCACCACCACCACCTACGTGCTCAGCACAGTGCCTGACACAAAGTGGGGTTCATTTAAGAGATTCATTCTATAAATGTTCTTAAATGACTGAATGAGTCCAGAGTTGTGGCCGCAGCAGGTGCCACATCCAAAGCGAGCATCCCAAAGCTGAAGGCCGTTTCATGTCTCCGCTAGTCTACTCTCAGATCTGGCTTCCTGCTAACATGTCTAAGAAGGCAGCAGAAGATGGCCCAAGTATTTATGCCCCTGCCACTCATGTAGGAAACCCAGATGGAGTTCCTTCAGCCCGGCGCAGCTCTGGCTGTTGTGGGTATTTAAGCAGTGACCCAGCAGACAGAAAGTCTCAGTCTCTCTGTCTCTCCTTTGTCTTTCTTGCTCTGTCCTTCAAATAAATAGTCTTTGAAAAATGAACACACTAATTAACTGATGCCTTTACTTGTTCCTGTGAAACCCTCCTGGCTCTCTTTCTGGCACCAATTTTATCTTGCCATCTGGCTGGTCCATGCAATGCCACTCACAATTGGGTCCTCCTCAGGAGAACCTCTGTACCCTTCCCCTTCAGCAAGTGGAGACACATCTCATAGAAGCCCCAGCTCAGCCCCTTTGAGTCCCGCCTGTCCCTAACTCCCAGGACACGCAGCTTTGTGATGTCCTGGAAACAAGTTGAAAGACAGGTTCATTTTCCCTGGGGTTCCCTCCTCTGGCCACAGAGCTGCCTCGCAAATTCACGGATCTTTCCTGGGTTTTCATACTTTCTATAAGAACATTCATAAAAACCCTCTGGAAAATGCCATCTCTAAAAATCAGACCAGCTGTAATCATCTTAGTTTCTCCAGAAGCTGCAGGAGGACAGAATGAATCCTGGAAATAGCAAGTTTTAGAATCTAGCAAGGCCTGTTGAGGTAGCCTAGTGGCTTAAATCCTCACTTTGCATACACATGGATCCTTTAAGGACCTCAGTTCGTGTCCCAGTGGCCCTGCTTCCCATCCAGCCTCCTGCCTGTGACCTGGGAAAGCAGTTGAGGACAGCTCAAAGCCTTGGGTGCCTGTACCCAAGTGGGAGACCCAGAAGAAGCTCCTGGCTCATGGTTTTCTGTTGGCTCAGCTCTGGCCATTGCAGCCATTTGGGAAGTGAATCAGTGGATGGAAGATCTTTCTGTCTCTTTGTCTCTCCTTCTCTAAATAAATCTGATCTGCCTTTCCAATAAAAATAAATCTTTAAAAAAATTCATTCCACCTGACTCAAAGTTTGTCTCTTAAAGTCTTCTGACAGAAATTCTTTAAAACAACTTAATAAAAATCTCCTTTGGGGAAAAGGATGCCATGTGGCTGGAGTAGGCAGTGTCCCCCTTACCATCTCATGGAGAAACACAGCTTCCGCCTTGGTCCTGGGGCTCCCTGGCAGAGCACTGGGCTCCTCCCAGTCAGCCTCTTGGCCCTCCTCTGACACCTTCTCTGTGTTTGGCCCCATCTCCAATTCTCTTGAATGTTGAGAGCCCAGCAAGATTTCCAAGGTTTTTTGCTCCTCCAGCTGGGCGCCTGAATCCAGGGTAAGGCCTTGGTCGCTCTCTGGTGTTGCCGCTGCTTCAGGCTCTGGCTTGACATCCTCGAGAGCTGCCTTCTGGGGGATGGCTGCTGCAAGGAGGATATATCCGTTAAAAGGGGCTTGTCCTCAGCATGGCTGCTGTCCTGCCCAGCCCTGCTTCACATAGAGGGAGTTCTCTCAGCTCCCTGCCTCCTGCACACTTCACCCTTCTCTCCCAGCAGTGCCTAGGACTTGGATCCCAAGAATCTGACTTTCAGAGCTGGGGCTGGAGTAGGAGAACCTGGAAGATCATATAGTCCAGTGATCCACAACCAGGGGCCATTTTGCTCCTTTTTCTCTCTTCCTCACAAGGCACCAGTAATGTTTGCAGACATTTGGGATTATGGGGTTGTTACAACTATGGAGCTGGGAGTGCTGATTGAAGCCAGCAACACTGCTAAGCACCCTTCCTTCCACTGTACAGGATGCCTCCCCTCTGCCCCAAAGACAAAGTGTCAACAGTGCTGGAGTTGAGAAATCCGTATCTCACCCAATCTTTCACTTCATAAATAGGAGTCAAATTTAGGCCAAAGATCACAGAAATATGTTACTCATGCCATTCTTATGATTCACGTATTCTTGTCTGACTGTCCTCAGTTTATCTTGAATCTGTGTAGATATATAAACCTCATGTGAGTAAGGTCTGATCTGAAACATCTCCTGAGCTCTGGAAGAGAAAGTTGGGTGTCAAGCTTGGCCTCTAGCCTCGCATGAAGAAAAGCTTCAAGCCCCTGTACAAGGCTGTTTCCAAACATGGCATAAAAATTGAAGTGAAGTATCTGGGACACACAACAGATCTTTAACAAATGCCATTTACAGAAGAACTAAAAGAAATTGCATTCAAATTATAATTTGGTACAATACCTTGGTTTTGAGGCCAAGGTGAGGCTCAGGTAGGAAAATGGAAGGCTAGCACACGGAACAGCATAAATTCAGAATAAACTACTCACTGCCTTTGACGTCACTCTGCTTCACCGTTAAGTCAGCCTTACAACCCAGTTAGGTCTGCTGACAGCACCCTGATGTCTAATCTAAGAATGATCCTAGCTGACCAAAGCACTGTTTTTATTTGCCCATATCTCGGTAACTTTACCTTTCAACATGTAAGACATTTCCAGAATTCAAAAGTTAAAACTACCTAGAAAGGAATTCTCTGGTTTTCCTTCCCTTCCTATTACGTCTATCCTCTCCCACACTACCGCTGTCCCTTCTAGATAATGTCTTTCATTCGTCTCTGATATGTTCTGTCACAGTTTATGTTTGAGTATTTAAATAAGTACTTGCACTATGTATATTCTTCTTCTTATACAAAACGTATTTATTCCTCTTGGATTTTCTTCACATCACATCCCTTCAACACCATGCCAAGGGACTGACTGTTCCTTAGAATGTGGCCCAGTTTAGGTTCTCTTCAAAGCGGAACCTGAAACAAGGTCCTTGTGTGGAAGATGATTCCAGGAAAGAAGAGAGAAGATAAGGCAAGGATAGAGGCAAAGTCAAGAGAGTGTGCCATTGAGTTGGCTACCAATATGAGTTGCTGGGAGTCAGTCCCCGCTATCCAAACAGAATGTCCCCCATCATAAACAATCCCTCCACAGGGTGTGAGGCACTGTTTCCTGGCTCATATGAAGTTGAGGGCTGCCTAGGTAAATCTCCACCCTTTTGGGTTGTCTCAGGCAAAGGCTGAACGAGATTCTTCTAGCAAAAAAAAAGGTTCTGAGGTAGAAAACGAGAAACATAAGGCAAGCAGTCATAGCACGCCTTCCATACAAGAAAACAGTCCCCCACTGATGCATTGGAGATTGAAAGGACGTGATGCAGTGTCCACCAAGCTATGGATTCTCTAGGATTTGTGTGGATAAGTCCTAGTTAGTCAACCAGTTTCCTAAATATGGACATTTGGTGTGGAAATAATAGTCTTACCCACTTTCCTGTAGCCCTTGAACCTTTGTGCCCTAATTAACTATGTAAAGATTGTCAAAAATAAAGAAAAAAAATGAAAAAAAAAATGGACATTTGGATAGTTTTCAAACAATGCTGTGATAGGCATGCATCATTTTTTGTTTGTACAAATATATTTAGGATAAATTCTTAAAAGTGAAACTTCCAGGTAGAAAAGTAAATACATAATTTGCTTATTAAAAGATACTCATAATTATCACCAATTAGGGAAAACATGATATTTTTCATTTTTCTTTTTGGTCTGGCTTATCTCATTCAGTATAATGATTTCCAGCTGCATCTACTTCATTAGGAAAGAATTTCATTCTTTTTAAAAAAATTATGGCTGAGTAATATTCTATCATATATACCTATGCCTTTATCCAGTCATCATATGCTTTCCCTGATTTGCGGTATCTAATATACACAGTACCAAAAATGTAATCTACATGAATGAAAAAGTCTAAAGGAACATAACATATCTTCAACACTGAGGAGCTACGTATATATTGTGCGGTCTATTTCTTTTTTAAGCTGATTATTTTGGCAGAGATCAGCTATGATACTTAACTCTAAATAGATGTTATTTATTCTAAACTATGGCATTTATGTCAAAGTTGTTTTATCTTATCAGTGAACTTAAACAGCTAGGAACCTGACAGAGATCATAAGAAAACTTGGCGGGGTGATTATTGTTATTGGTGAGTGCTTATTTTCTCTGTGTGTATATGGGTGTGTGTGTATGACAAAGAGGGAGAAGGAGAGAAAACAAAGAATAGATTCCAACTTAAGTTTTTACAGTTGTTTGAAAAAAAAAGTTCAACTGTATTTCCAGGAAGCCTTTTGTTTGTATGAGACATTTACTTAGGAAATTCGAGAAGAGGGGATATTTTTAATAATTCAGTAAGTTCTATTTGTGGGAAAAATTTGTCAGCCTCTCTTTGAGGGCTCAGGTTGTTGTACCCACTGTAACTATTAAAATGGACTGATGGGAAGAGCGGGGAAGGATCTGAACTAACCATGAGCTTGTTCATGCCAGTCACTGCTGGAGAGCTTCAGCGGCTCCCTGCTGCCTCCATTAGGACACACCAGGCCCTCCTCACTCTGGGCCAGCCACACGGCTGCTCATTCCTGCCACTCCTCGTGATGGGCCTGCACTCTGCTCTGCTCCTCTCTGTGATTGCTATCTGGTGCACTTTTCAAGGCATAAATCTAACAATACCCCTGTGGAGCCTTTCTGATGCTCTCTCCCTCTTTCACCTCCTGTAGCACTTCATGTGATCACCCAGCTGGTGTCCATGCAATAGCTCACTATTTTCTTCTTCTTTTTCTTTCTTTGGAAGATTTTAAATGTTTATTCCTTTTAATCTGTTTAACAGGCAACAATGGCATCCGATATCAGTGTGCTAGTTCAGGTACTAGCTGCTTTATTTTTGATCTAGTTCCCTGCTATGGCACCTTGAAAGGAAGTGTAGGATGGCCCAAGTACTAAGGCCCTGACCACCCAATTGGGAGATATGGATGAAGTTCTCCTCTGACTCCTAGCTTTACCCTGGTTATTGTGGCTGAGGAATGAACCAACAAATGGAAGCTCTTTCTCTTGTCTCTGTCACTCTGCCTTTCAGACAAATACACAAATAAATATTTACAAAAAGGGGGGATGGTATGATGACTCAATTGGCTAATCCACCCCTTGCGAGCACTGTGATCCTAGATGGGCACTGGTTCATGTCCCAGCTGCTCCATTTCCCATCCAGTTCCCTGCTGGTGACCAGGGAAAGCAGTAGCAGATGGCCCAAAGCCTTGGGACCTGGCATCTGTGTGAGAGACTTGGAGAAAGCTCCTGGCTCCTTCGCTTTGGATCAGCTCAGCTCTGTCATTGTGGCCACTTGGGGAATGAACCAGCAGATGGAGGATCTTTCTCTCTGTCTCTCCTTCTCTCTGTAAATCAGCCTTTCCAGTAAAAATAAGCAAATCTTTTTCAAAAGTGTGAGAATAAAAAAAGAAAGATGACAGAAAATCTCTGAAATGCCCCTTAGGGTCAAGGGACCTTCTCTTTTGGAGAGGATTACCAATGCCACGAAAGTTATTGGGAGGAAAAAAAAAGTTGTTGGAGACACTTTGTTCCTTGAAGATTCCACTTCTTCCCTTGTTGCTTATCCTGGTACATTTACAGCTGCCCATAATCATTCTCCAGACAAAGCCCTACTGGACGCTCTGAACTGTTTTCCTCTTGCCCCCATCTTGAATAGTTATGGAGCCAGACCATGGGTAGGTAGGTTCTCGAAGGGCCGTCTCCCATTCAGACATCACCATAGCACTTGTGAGAGGAGTTTCCCCTGCTTTACAGACTAAAAAAAAAGGCTCAGAGATGCCAACCAATTATCCAGTGTCATGAAGCCAAAATGCTGTAAAGCTGGGGTTTGAATTAGCAATAACTGGGCCTTGATTACAGCTTCCTGTAATACTCAGCTGCCTCTCAGTCCAAAATGCCATTTCTCATGGTTTCTGCATGACAAATGCTGAGAAGTCTTTCCAGAACCCTCCCTAGAGGAGTGCATTTTCTTCACGTCCTGAACACCTCTGTTAGGATGCTTTGAGTACTGAAGCCTTCCCTCAATCAAAAAAGGAGAAGGCTAAATCAGTGTCTCCTTCTAGTTTTGAGCTCCCTGGTAGGAAAGGATTATGTCTTATTTGTAGCTCCAAGGTCCATAGTAAACAAATGAGGGAGAACAGTGGAGTCTGGTTTCAATCGTGGCTTCTCCATTTCCTTGCTGTGAGTCATTGGGAAGATTTCTTATTTCTCTGCAAGCAAATGAGGGTAATAGCAACCACCCATATCTCACAGGGTAGTTGTAAAGAGAAATGAGATGATATATGTAGAACACTTGTCTATATCCCTCACAGAATTATAAGTATTTACAAAAGTTAGCTAACATACACTGAAATGGAAACATTACTAAACCACAGGGAGAGTTTGTTGGTTTGACTGTTAGCCATCCTTTCCTCGGGGTTTTCCCTACTTCCGCTTTATGTCACTCACATTGGGTTTTTGATCAAAGAACTGCTCAATTCATAAGAAGTCTGTTAGTTTGGCAACAGTGATTGGTCTAACGCTGAGATCTGACCCAAAAAAAGCCCAGTCAGAGTCTCCCCCGCACTGTTTTTCATTGCTAGTGTCATAAGCCTTATTCTCTGAAGCATTAAGATAGGAATGAGGGATGGATGAGTGGATGCATGGATGCATGGAAGAGTCTTAGTCTGCATGAGTTGTAGCTCTTTGCTGTACTCTGTGGGCTTTTATTTCTGCTTTCTTTGGAAGTGGATGTTTATTTTAATCTTAGACATTGTCCTGAATGTTTTACATGCACATCTATCTAAGAGGCAGAGACCCTTCATCTGCTGATTCATTCCTCAAATGCCACAACACCCAGGGCTGGCCAGGTGGAAGCCAGGAGTCTAAAAGTCAATCTAGGTTTTCCACATGGGCAACAGGGACTCCCTGTGCCTGCATTCCCATCCACTGCTTCCCAGTGAGCACATGAATAGGAAGCTGGAATCAAAAGCAGAGTTATAACTCAAACCCAGATATTTCAATATGGAATGTGGGACTGGTGCTGTGGCACAGTGAGTTAAGCCACTTCTGCAGCCCCAGGAACATAAGGGATTATAAAGGCACTGGGTCATGTCACAGATGCTGCAATTCTGATTTGGCTCTCTGTTGATGTGCCTGGGAAAGCAGTAGAGGATGGCTCAATTCCTTGGGCCCCTCCACCTGTGTGGGAGACCCAGAAAAAGTCCCTGGCTCCCAGCTTCAGATTGGCCCAGCTCTGGCCATATAAGGCAGTGAATTGGTGGTTGGAATATCTCTCTCTGCCACTCTGTCTTTCAAATAAATAAAATCTTTAATAAAACAAAACAAAACAAAACATGGAATGCAGGTGTCTCAGGCAGTCTTTAAAAACTGCACCAAATCTCTTCCTCTGGCTAACTTAATATTTACAACACAGTGAAGAAGGGATGATTATAAACATTACTATTTGCATTTTACAGATTAGCAAACTAGAGTGCAAAGTAGTCTTGTTATCTGTTGGGGTTCACACAGTGAACCGACTGCCGAGCTTAGGTTTGCACACCAGCAGTCTAGTCCTAGAACCCACACTCTTAACCACTTCCCTAAATGTCTTTGAGATCTCTATTTAAGGAAATTCAAGTCTGGTTTTAATCATTTGCATTGGAAAGAGACCCTCTCTCCCCTACTTTACCTGTAGAAGACTCAGCTACCAGTGCCTTCTCCTCTTCTGGCCAGCCTCCTCCCTCTGAGCCCTGCAAAGAAAACTCTTCCAGGCTGGAAAGAGACTGCAGCTCCTTTGGGGGTGTCCTGCACGGGGTGCTGTTGGCACTGATGACCGCTGACACACGGAGCGGCACTGACACCGCAAAGGGCTCAGAGATGTTCAGGGCCTTGCGCTGGTGGCGTGGCGAGGGCTCCATCTGAAAGAGACTGCTGGTGAACACGGACTTGCTGGGGCTGTCGCTGGAGGTGTAGAACATCCCCAGCATCTTTGGGGCTGTTTGCTCGCCCTCAAGATCCTCTGCAGGCCGGAACACCTTCAGCTGCTCTGGTGGGGGTCGAGGCTGAGGGCTCTGGTGCTGGCTCCGGTCACTGCTCATGTCAAAGCCCCCCTCTGCCCCAGCCAGAGTCCCCTCCTGGCCCCATTCACCCTCCTGCTTGCTGAGATCACATGAACTGCCAGTGTTGGTTGAGTGCATTTTTGTTGCTGGAATAAAAAATCCACCAGTGGTGACTGTTCGATTGAAATTTCCTTTGGTTTCTTTTCCTGGTGAGAAAGAATAAGCACATGATCAGCAGCCCGGGTATGTGTGCGTAAACACACACACACACACACACATTGTGTGATCTTCCAGTAAGAGAAGGCATATGACAGCCTCATACTGGAAAGGCTTAGCATTGTAATAAAGCCAAAGCCATTGAGGTACAAACACCTCCATGCTATCTGAATGACAAGGACAAAAGTGTTTTCTCATATGCCCATGATCATACTCAGATAGGGTCACTTGCTATTGTGCTGTATCTATTGTTTATTTTTTTTAAAGATTTACTTCTTTTTATTGCAAAGTCAGATATACAGAGAAGAGGAGAGACAGAGAGGAAGATCTTCGGTCTGATGATTCACTCCCCAAGTGACCCCAATGGCTGGAGCTGAACCCATCTGAAGCAGAAGCCAGGAACTTCTTCTAGGTCTCCCACACAGGTGCAGGGTCCCAAGGCTTTGGGTCTTCTTTGACTGCCTTCCTAGGCCACAAGTAGGTTACTGGAGGGGAAACGGGGCTGCCAGGATTAGAACCGGCGCCCATATGGGATCCCAGCATGTTCAAGGAGAGGACTTTAGACACTAGGCCATTATGCCGGGCCCAAGTCTATTGTATTTACACTTTGCAAGCACAGTAGATTCCAAAAGAAGGTCACTGCTAAGATTGCTAAACAGAGCTGCCATCTACCAAGTATTAAATGGAAATCATGAAAAAAAGACAAATGGGAGATGGGAGAACGATACTTGCCCAAAGGAAATAAGGCAACAAGCGCAAAATAACAGACTTGTTTCATTTTAAAACTTTAAAGTTTAGCGTTTTCAGTTTTCTCTGGCATATGGACCCAGATAAGAGTTTGATTTTTCATCAAGGAAACCAATGTTGTTCTCGGCCAGAGCCCTCCTCCTTCCCCAGCTTCTGTCTGTTGATTTAGAGGATGACATACCGGAAATGTAACTTAGCTGACTGTAAGAAAGCACAGCTGTGAGGAGTGAGTCCTTGACTGACTCAGGAGTGAAGACAACTCTGTATGAGAAACAAATATCTAACTTTGCACTAAGTGCGAGGCTGGGCATCTTTCAAAACATCATGTCTAAAATTTCTATGACTAACCTTAGCAGAGAAGTGTAATTATACCCTTCAACCCACAAGAAAACAGTCTTAGAGGTTAGATGACCTGCCCAACATCCTCAACATCCATGCAATGTATATACATGATGACCTGGGTTTTGAAACAGTAGATCCTGAAAAACTGGGAAAGCACTGCCCTAAGAAGTTTCAAGTAAAAGTAAATGATTAACATAAACATGAAAAAAAATGTTAAAAGTATCAAGTCCGTTTAAAAAGATGTCACTGAGTATTTCATAGGTGCAGTTAATTTTTTTTCTAAAGATTCCTTATATTGTTTTTGCCTGCCCCATTTATTAAAGAAGAAAATGTCACATATTAAAAAGGCTCAAGGTCATGGGACAAAAATAAGAGCAGTTGAGACAGTTTGCTGCCAGAGAAGCCTGAAGCCTTATCACTTGTAATAAGGTGTGCTGGCTACTTAACTAAAATAGGAGGAAGAGATACAGGCAAGTCAATTTTTAAGGCTAGAGCTGTGAAAACCAGTGTAGTTAACTGACTTTGGCCATAGGTGTCACCTCATTTGACAGTTAGATCTACAACTAAAGAGACTAATTCGCACATGTCCAACACATAGCAGCCTCCTAATCACTATTTACTGATAGACAATGAGTGAACAATTGAAACTTCAACTCAAGATTATGACTTAATTCTGCACTAAAAACTACTAACACTTACAGAAACACCCCAACTCGAGTTTAATGCATCTAGGCGTAAAACTAAGAGGCATAACCCAGTACTTCGGCTTTTCTTTCTGATCAAGGAGGAAGCATTTCCTGCCTTGGTTTTCAGGTGTTGACTTTTTTTTTTTTTAATTTTGTTTGGGTTTGAATGAAATGTAGCTGTGCTCTATACCTGTGGCTAGAGGTGTGCTGAGAAGGAAGAATGCACATTAGGCTTAGTGGAGCAGGTGGGCAGGGAATACAGCAAGAATTGTGTGAACCCCATGGGTTTGGGAGGGGTCAAGGCAAGGACAGATGAGGTGGTTGTGTGCGATCATGATTACAGATGAACAGGCATAGGAACTGATGAAGGCAGGTGTGAGCTCCAGTCTCTCGGTTGCAATCCCCAGCTCAGAAATTAAAATCTCACCTTCAACAGGTACCGAACACAGGGAATCCATGCTTTTAGCTGGTCGGATAGTAGCCTTTTCCACTAAAGACAAACAAAAACACGGTAAGAGGAAGCTTCCAGAATAATAGATCAGAACAGCAGAGAAATTTCTTTACAAAAGTTTTTCAAATGTTTACAATCTGTCCCTTTAGAAAACACTATCCCACTCTGCTCTAGATTCATACTTCCTCAGTGGGATGAATCTTACAAATCTAGAGCATTTATAAGATAATACTTCATTATTTTTACAAAGAAAGATAAATTGCAATTTTGCCAAGTAGTTATTAGAAAATGAGGAATCCTAAAGCCAATTTTCTTGCCAAGAGTGTTCAAGGCTGACTTGGTGGAGCTTCAGGCAACCCCTCCTGTCAGGCAGGGGAGAGCGAGAAAGCAGGACTCTTGGCTGCAGCCATGTCTCTCATCTCCCAGGAAGTTGATACAAAAGGTGAGAGGGACCAAGGGAAGTGGAGTCACCCTCCTCCACTGGTACAGCTCTGTCCCTTGAAGTCTGCAGACTGGCCGCTCCCCCACTGAGATCTCACCCACAAACCTCACCCTGAAACAGATTTCAGGCAATTTTTTTTTCAACATTTGCTATATCCCTGGTATACTTTATGAATCCTTGTAAACTACCTTAGCAGGTTTCTTGGAAAAGTGTGGTCTAAACAAGTAAAGAACTTAACAGTAGGCATACTATTAGACATTATTATAGTTTATGTGCCCCCAAAGTCCTGTGTTACAAACATAATTCTTCAATGCAGTATTATCTGGGATGCGGTCTGGTGGGAGGTGTCTTGGGCATGAAGAAAAGTCCTTATGAATGGAGTAATGTCTTTCTTGCAGGAGTTTGGTCCCCTTTTCTCTCTCTTCTGTGTGTACTCACTTCCTTTCCATTTTGTGCAATGAGTTGAAGCAGTATGAGGCCCTCCACCAGAAGCTGAGCATTGCTCTTGGACTTCCAGGCTCCAAAATCATGAATGAAAACAGATCTGGTTTATAAACCGCATGGCCTTGGGAATTCTATTACAGCAACAGAAAATGGACAAAGCCACACAGGTTCACAAACATTATCTCTTCAGGGAGTTGAACTGGCTACAGGGGTTATCCTACTAGCCCAGACTTGATAGCAAGGAAAAAAGAAGGGACACTCTGGAAGCTAGCAGAAGGTGAGTTTTGACAGCTCTGGATTTGAAGTCAAACTTTTATTGCTTTTGGGCTATATGACTTCAGATGAGTAGCTTGTCTTCCCTAAATCGGTATTTTTCATGTGTTGAGGACAACTAGAGCTGCTGCGAGTGTTAAATGAGCAAGGATTACAACGTGATTATGTTGTACTAAACTAAAACACAGTAAGTAGCCGATAAAAAAAAAATACTGTCTAATGTTGCTGCTATTCAGGACCATCCAGTGATCAGCATGAATGGAGAGACAGAAGACAGTTCTACAAGCAGGGAGAATTGGCCCCAACCCATGCTAACTTTTGTCTGTATTTTCTGGAAGGTTCTGAATTAGCACCAGGGTTCCAAGATTGAGGTTTCTCTTTGACCTACCATGCCTGCTGTGGGCGGACGCTGCTGCCATCTGTAAAATTCTTGGCAACATCAGATTGCCTTCCATCCCCTTACATTCAGTAATATGCCAGAATTCTTATCATTTGAAGATTTGCTATTTTCACAAGTTCATGAGCTGAGCTATTATCCTAAAACACATGGCCACTAACCCTCCACTTGTGTATTCTGGACACTTATTGCCTTTGGCTTTTGGAAATTGCATTTTTGGACTTCTCCAGCTCCTGTGTGTTGATTTTGAAGGGTGATGACTAAGTGTCCCTGAGTGTCACGGGTGGGTATTTTGGGGCTGCCAATGTCCACTTTTGGTGCGGGATCCTCCTTCCCCTGCTGCAGTTCTGTGCGGCTGTGATATTCCCAGCAGCAGCCAGAGCTAAGGCTGTCAGTAACAGTTCCCACGGATTTCTTGATTTCTTTCCTGCATAGCAGGTAAGAGCTCAGGACCCCTTGGCCCATGCCTATGTTTAGATTTTATTTTTCTGTCTGGGATCTTGGTCTGGCCTCATGGAAGTACACTCCCTAGTTTGCTGGCAGTTTTTGTGTCATCAAGTCCCTCCCTTAGATACTTTTCTCCAAGGTAAAGGCCCAGAACTACTACATCACTACAGCCTTGGAATTTCTCTGCTCAGAAGGAATCACTTTGAAGGAACCCTTCCTCCTTAACATTATGAGGAGAACTTAGGGCGGATTCAAAATTAAGTATCTGGGACACTTCAAAGTATACATGATCATTCAGTTAGTACTCAATTTTTTCTTATATATATTAAAAATCTCTGTTCAATTTTCTAAATATTGGTAAAATCCTTTATCTGTATCTCCCCACAAATGAGTCACAATCATGGTGAGTATGAACTATGTGGAGAACCCCTGACAGGGATATACCTTGCTAATTCTGTGAATGTCCCACCATTTGGTCTATTCAAAACCTTACATGTGTTCCTTTTGAAATCCACACCGGGGTGGGTAGCTTCCTAAGACAAACTCCAAGAAAATCATTTACTTCATTTTTGTTCTATTTTGTGGCTTTTTGAACTTTTCATTACTTGGCAAATCCAAGTACTTTTTAAAAAATTTCTGATTCTAACATAGAAATTCTCTCTTTGATATGCACAGGAGTTTTTTTATTGGGTCCTCTTCCCCTCAAATTCATCTTTGAGAATCTTGTTTGTGTTTATCTTAGACCTGTGGCAATCTGCCATCTTTACTCTGCCTTTCAAAAGAAAATAATAGGATAAATAAAAGCTTTTAAAATGATAATTTACTTTGATCAAAAATTTGAATTCCATTCATGTTTTAAAATAATACATATTTTCCTAAAACTTTCTTTCTTTTTTTGAGATTCATTTATTTTTATTGGAAAGCCATATCAGATTTATGGAGAAGAAAGATAAAGACCCTTCATCGTCTGGTTCACTCCACAAATGGCCGCAATGGCTGAAGCTGAGCCAATCCAAAGCCAGGATCCCCTTTCTGGTCTCCCATGCAGGTGAAGGCTTTGGACCAACCTCTGCTGCTTTCCCAGGCCACAAGCAGGGAGCTGAATGGCAAGTGGAATAGCTGAGACATGAACTGGTGCCCTTATGGGATCCTGACACTTGCAAGGTGAGGATTGAGCCATCATGCCAGATCCCATAAAATTTTTGAAGAACCCTCATATACATGGACTTCAACATTTTTTTTTTGGCATCAAGATAAAACTTATCTTCTAGTTCCATTTTCCAAGTACTTTCCTATATGTAGCTAAGATAAAGCTTAATAAATAATTTAGGCACAGTGAGGGTAATAACAGTAATTTGAAAATGGGATCATTATACCACATTGTAGTAAAAGTTTTGTGAATGTGGTCTTTCTAAAATGATGGGATTTTAAAAAGATTTATTTATTTTTATTGCAAAGTCAAATATACAGACAGAAAGAGAAAAAGATCTTTGGTCTGATGATTCACTCCCTCAAGTGACCACAAAGGCAGGTACTGCGCCGATCTGAAGCCAGGAGCTCTTCTGGGCTTCCCACGTGGGTGCAGGATCTCAAGGCTTTGGGCCATCCTCGACTGCTTTCCCAGGCCACAGGCAGGCAGTTGGGTGGGAAATGGGGCGGCCAGGATTAGAACCGGTGCCCATATGGGATCCTGGCATGTTCAAGGCGAAGACTTTAGCCACTAGGCCACAGCGCCGGGCTCTCTAAGATATTTTTTTGTGCTATTCTCATTCTTGTTGTGATGCTATATAATGAAATGATGCCGAAGTAATGAGAGGATGTGAGGTATGTAATGTAGGCATTGTAATGTGGAATCAGGCTACCATATAAGGATTACTTGAAAACAAGTGCTGTGATATCTCAACAGTTGATGTGATAAACGAGACATCTTGCAGGTGACTAATAGGCAGGTCATATACACAGGTGCATTTGCTGGACAAAGGGATGATTTACATCTAGGGTAAGACATAGCAGCACAGGATTTCATCATGCTTCTCAGAGTAGGGTGAAACTAAAAACTTGAGATTTGTTTATTCCTATAATTTCCCACCTACTATTTTTAGATGTAAGTTGATCAAGGGTAACTGAATCCATAGAAAACAAAACCACAGATAAGCAGGGGGAAGTACTCTATTATTAACTTTTGGCTTGGTTAATTGTATTATAGTTATATAAGAGGTTAGCTTTAAGGGAAGCTTCATGAAGGGAATACAGATTCTCTGGGTACTATTAATATAACTTTTTCAGAGTCAACAATTATTTCCAAAAAAGAGCCCTAGTGAATGCATATGTTTCTTTCTAGCGAGTCTGATGTGGTCAAGTCAAAGGTTTAAGACACAGAGCTGGCCAACAGTCCGTAAGCCATGAAACACCACTGCTGCAGAACCCTACCTGAGAGCCGCTGCCCTCTCACGAACACACTCCCGTTTCTACTCAGCTTGGACTTGGAATCTGATCCAGAACGTCCCAGATTAAATATTGATTTCCACTTCTTTGATTTACTGGAAAGCTTTCTCCTGAAAGAGTTAAGGCACAAAAGATTAGTTTGAGAATCAGTTATTTCAAGGAAACCTTTAAAGTGACAAAAAAAAAAAAGTATTCCAGTAATGTTTACAGTTATGACTGGCTCTGCTATCTCAGGAAATTCCTATCTAAAGCCCGAGTTCTTACTCTGTCTAGGGATACATGAGCAGGGGTTAAGACCACAGGCCCGAGGACAAGAGGCAGAGGCCTCCTGTATCATAGGTCCAGATGGAGGTTCACAGGTTGCAATCACGGGGAGCCTCAGCCGCAGGCACCAGTCCTGGCGATTCTAGTCCTGAGATGTCAAAGATGCCAGTCTTTCAGGGGCATAAAAACTACAGATGGTAGACTTCAATCTTTTTTTTTTTTTTAATAAGATTTATTTATTCTTAGAAAGGCAGATTTGCAGAAAGAGAGACAGAAAGATCTTTTGTATGCTGGTTCACTCCCCAAGTGACTGCAATGCCCAGAGCTGAGCTGATCCGAAGCCAGGAGCCAGGAACTTCTTTCAGATCTCCCACATGGGTGCAGGGTCCCAAGGTTTTGGGACACCCTACGCTGCTTTTCCATGCCAGGAGCAGGGAGCTGGATGGGAAATGGAGCAGCCAGGACACAAATCGACACCCCTATAAAATCCCAGCACTTTCAAGGCAAAGATTTCGTTACTGAGCCCTAGAGCCAGGCCCAAGTTTTCAGTCTTGATAGGCATCCTGCAATGTGGGCCTACTGCCAGGACAGCCACATGAGAAAGCTACAACTTTCATGCACTGAAAAGGTTTGGATAAGGAAGCAGAACTGGAATAAAGTCTGGCCTGGTGCCACTGGCAGAGTTGCAGCCTGCTGCCTTCCATCAGTGGTCAGTTCCATGGAAGGCAGAGGGGAGGGCCTCTCCAGCTTTGCCTCACACCAGGTGGCTTCTGTGACTGGACACCACTAGACTGGGTCACACCACCAGGGGTCACCACAGAGGCAGTGCTTTGCTGTGGCTCAGCCCAGTCACTGTGTTTCAGGAAGTTCCAGGTTGAAACTGTGCAACCTGTGTGCCCCACTGAGAACTTTTCCTCTGCAGGGTTCTCAGAGAACTTCCACATCTCATGCCCAGTGTGTTTTTATGCCCAATTTGAGATGAGAGTGCAACTGTTCAGTAGTTTCTTTTGCACTTGGCCTGTTCTTTTTTGAGCACTTAACCTTAGGATACACATCATAAAGTGGAATAACTTGGGGTATGGTGAACTCCAAGTGTGTTTGGAAGCACAGAAAAAATGCTCATAATAGTTTTTTTCAAGGCTCTCTCCCTGATTCCTGAGGGCAAATTGTACTCTCCAGTTTTTCAGTAAGAGGAGCGGTGGACGTGAAGCACACATCCCAGGAACGGGAGGGGTTTCTGGGCAGATCGTTCCCAAAGCAGGTGCCTCCCCTAGGTGTGCAGCGTGCAGGCCTTTCCTTCCTTGGGAGGACACTGAGACAAAGCTCCTGTTTCATGCTTCTTCTCACTGACCAAACAGGGACGAATGCATCCTCTAATGAAAAGCCTGCTTGCAACCTTTACCTACCATCTACTTGAAAGAAGGACTAATGCTTTCGTTACTGCCTCCTTCTACTGTGGGCTATGAAAGAGGGGGCAAAACCAATATTGTAATGGAGGAAGCAAGATGGCTAAATGAGGAGAGGGCTCTCCCACCAATGCAAAGAAGGGCTGATTTGTTTCGGAGGGGAAGCCAAGAGGATGCTTGTCCCAGTTGCTGTTCACCTACGGCTCTTGGCCTAGAGTGATGTCATTTGTGAACTTGTCTTCTTCCCTGAGATTCATCTCTGTGCCTCTAGTAACGTCACATGGGAGTTTGGAGTGGGGAGAGGGGCCAATTTTTTATTCTGTGTAAGCTTTCTTTTATAAATTCCAAGCCTTGAGCCTGGCACAGTAGCCCAGTGGCTAAAGTCCTTGCCTTACGTGTACCAGGATCTTTTGTGGGCACCAGTTCATGTTCTGACTGCTTTACTTCCCATCCAGCTCCCCGCTTGTGGACTGGGAAAGCCTTGGGTCCCTGCATCCATGTGGGAGATCTGGAAGAAGCTCCTGGCTTCGGATCAGCTCAGCTCTGCGTATTGTGGCCACTTGGGGAGTGAACCAGCAGATGGAAGATCTTTCTCTATGTCTCTCCTTCTCTGTAAAATCTTACTTTTCAATAAAAATAAATAAATCCTTTTTTTTAAAAAAATGCCCAGCTTCTTTTGTATAGATTCAGGGTAGGGATTTGAATCCTGACTTGTGATAGGAACCCTGTGAATCCCAACCCCATGTACATGCCTGGGGTCTCTGGTAGGGGAATCAGGGTCTGTAACGTAACTTTGGTACAGACAGCAAAGGTACCAAATGCTGATGAGACAGAGCTGTAGGAACAGCTCAATTCTCTTCTCAAATGTTTTCTTACACCCCAATCTTTACTGCACCTGTAGCCACACTACCACCGCATCCCTGAGACTGTATACCTGCCCTGTGTCCTCCTCCACTCACCCATCTCCCAGAAAGAATACCACTTACTTATTGTCTGGTAACTCAAGGACAGTATGGAAGAGGGTGCCCATGGGGGGGACAATCTCAGGCAGGCTGTTCTCCCTCCTTTCCTTTCGAGCAGGGTGGTTGGTGGCCAGACTGCGGGCTTGAGCTTCCTCCAGGCTCACCAGCTTCATAGGCAGGGAAAGGGCTGGCAGGGTCAGGCTCTTCATGATGGGTCGGTTTTCTATAAAGGAAAGAGAAGACCTCAGTCAGGGAGGAGCCTGTGAATGGATCCATCCAGATCCCACAGAAGACAGGTGCCAGCTTTGGCTTCACCGGGGTGTGATGGGGCCTGAGGAACTTGATAGCTCTCCTGACCCAGGAGTAAGAGGGTCTTTAGGAGGTTACCTGCTTCCAAATCAGACAAGGGCCATATATTCATTTACATGACAGATTTACTGCGCACTTAAAGTGGGCCACAGTAATAGCTTGGAAGTCCCCATACCTAGTGTTTTGGTCAGAAGGGAATGGCCGTCCAGCCTCAGAGGTAACCTAACTCAGGTAGTGTAAGGCAGAGGAGACCGATCCTTCTCCCCACAGCTGGAGGACATGCGCTCCAAGGTAATTTAGAGTTGGAGTCTCTCCTTTCCATAGATCATCCACACATCTATCTCTACAGGAAAAAGACGTTTTATAGCATGTACTATTCCTTAAAAGTTAGGAGGCTTTTTATTCATTACTTCATCATCTGCTGTACAAAGATAACCTCTTTGCATTTTGTGGTATTTTTTTTTTTTTAGGAATGGGAGTCATGATCTAAATCAACACTACATAGGGTTGCCAGTTTTCTCCAAGTCAATGGTCTTCAACTTGGGCAATTTTGTGCACCCACCCCAGCCAGGGGCACTTGGCAATATCTGGAGACAGCTCTTTTGACTGTCAGCGATGTTGTGTCAGTAGGTAGGGATGCTGCTTATAGTACTAACACACACACCTCAGTGTCCCACACGGAGAACTGCTCAGCACTAAATATCAAGAGTGCTAAAGCTGAGAAACAGATCTCAGTGAACAATGAAGTTTAAGTTTGTTCCTAGTCTATATTTGGTGATGCTTGTAGTTTTCTGAAACTTCTAATGATGTGAAAAAGACTCATCTTGGAGCAACTGAGACTAAGAACTAATTTTTTTTGAAAGACAGTGACAGACACACATATGGATCTTTTGAATGTTGGTACAGTCCCTGAATGCATACAACAGCTGGGGCTAGACCAGACTGAAGTGAGCCAGGAATTCCACTGAGTCTCACATGGGGGCCATCATGCACTGCCTCTCAAGCACACCAGCAGGAAGTTGGATGAGAAGCACAAAATAGCTGGGAGTCAAACTGACACTCTGATATGGGATATGGGTATCTCAAACTTCCTTTCAAATAAATGAAAATAAACACTTAAATCAATACATTAAAAAAAAAAAAAAGAACCTGGGGACTGGTACGGTAGCCTACTAGCTAAAGTTTTCACCTTGCATCACTGGGATCCCATATGGGCGCCAGTTCTGATCCCTATTTTTCCACTTCCCATCCAGCTCCCTGCTTGGGGTCTGGGAAAGCAGTCGAGGATGGCCCAAAGCCTCGGGACCATGGACCTGCGTCGGAGACCCATAAGAAGCTCCTGGCTCCCGTTTTCAAATTGGCTCAGTTCTGGCCATTGATGCCACTTGGGGAGTGAACCAGTGGTTGGAAGATCTTCCTCTCTGTGTCTCCTTTTCTCTGTATGTCTGCCTTTCAATAAAAATAAATAAATCTTTTAAAAAGTTATAAAAGTGTGCAGTACTCTAACGTGTAGTGCTCCATTTTAGAGACCATAATGGCTCTAGCTACACTGGCTGACTTTCTGCAATACTTTAGGCTAATTTCTACCTCAGAGCTTTTACATTCCTTGTTCTCTGTCTTTGGAACATTTGTTCCCCAGATTCTCATTGATTAATTCCTGTGCCATTTAGGTCTTATTTCTTAAGAGTCCATGACTACTGGGCCCGGCGTGGTGGTGCAGTGGTTAAAGGTCCTCGCCTTGCACATGCCAGGATCCCATATGGGCTCCGGTTCTGTCCCGGCAGCCCCACTTCCTATCTAGCTCCCTGCCTGTGGCCCGGGAAAGCAGTCAAGGACAGCCCAAAGCTTTGGGACCCTGCACCCGCATGGGAGACCCGGAAGAGTCTCTTGGCTTCGGGTCGGCATAGCACCGGCCGTTGCGCTCACTTGGGGAGTGAATCATCGGACGGAAGATCTTCCTGCCTGTCTCTCCTCTCTGTATATCTGCCTTTCCAATAAAAACATAATAAAAATAAATCTTTAAGAGTCCATGACTACTTTGTCTCCAAATAAACCCCCTCCCCAAGTCTCTGATCACAGGATATTGTTCTGGGCTTCTTCTTGATATCTCCTATCTTTGAAATGATAATGCACTGAGTTGTAAACTTATATATTGCTTGTCTTCCCAATCAGGCTGTAGCCCCATTCAGAGCGAGACTTCAGCCATTTTGTGTAGTGTATGAAGATGTCTGGAATGCTGTGGGTATTCAACACATACTTTTTTAGTGACTCTTACAGATAATGAATCTCCGCAGTTGGTGATTTTATCCATCAAGGAAAGATACTGGATTCTATGACTTTTGCCAGTGTTTGTGTTCTCCCAAAATTCATATGTGGAAATCTAATCCCCAGTGCTGTAGAATTAAGAAGTAAGGACTGGGGCAGGTGTGGTGGTACATCAGGTTGAGCCCCACTTGGGATGCTGGCATCTCATACTGGAGTTCCAATCCAAGCCCTAGCATCTCTACTTCTGTTAATGAATCCTGGAGGGCAGCTCAAAAGCTTGAGTCCCTGCTGTCTACCTACAGCATTCAGATGGAACTCAGCTCCTGATTTCAGCCTGATCCAGCCCTGGTTTTTGTAGGCACTAGGGGAGTGAACCTATGGATAAAAGAATTCTTTATCTCTGCACTGTTCCATACACATGTATATGAATATTTACAGTAAGTGGGTGAAAATTTATAACCCAAATGCCCATGGACTCATGAATGAATAAACAAAATGTAGTATATATATATATATATACACATATATATATATATTTAATAGACTCTTATTAGTCATAGGTACTTATCATTCAACAACATGGATGAATTTTGAAAACATATGCAAGTGAAACAAGCTAGTCACAAAAGACCGCACATTGCATGATTCTATTTATATCAAATGTTCAGAATAGGAAGTTCATAGAAATAAAAAAATAGATTAGTGGTTTCCAGGACTTGAGGGAAAGGAAAATTCTGGAATGTGTATGAGGTTTCTTTAGAGTGATGAAAATATTCTGGAATGAGAGAGTGAGATGGCTGTACAATCCTGTGAGCTATACTAAAACCACAGAAGTTTACATCTGAAAATAGTTAAAATGCTACGTTTAACATGAGCTTTATCTAAATAAAAGTTTTTTCAGATACAATAAAAACTATAAACCATATAGAGTGTTAGGCAGGTGAGGAAAGGAATAATTATAGTAGGAACTGAAATTTGATATTGATTGCAATTAATGATTTTGATGACTATATAGGTTTGTCCAAATATATTAGTTGAATAGGAACAAAACACTTAATAAACCTACAAATACTTTAAAGACATGGTTCTCCAGACTCCCTCAGTACTTTATGTGGACTATGACCTGCAGCACCAACATTACCTGGAAATTTTTTAGAATTTCCAAATTGTCAGTTGCACTCGGGACATGCTGAACCAGAAATGGTGAGACTGAAATCTGTGGTTTAACAAGCCCATCAGGTGACTGTTATGCATCCTAATGTGGAGAAACCACTCTCATACACAAATGGTTATTACACAGACTTGTAGATCAGCTGGATTTCTGGTTTTCATAAACTGCACCCACAGGAGATTAAGCAACTTAAGCCAATTCACTCCTAGTGTTCATTATGTCATTATGGGATGCCCACAAACACACACTCAACTAGAGCTGGGGGCAGAGAGAAATAAAGTATTTGAGGAAAGCTTTCAGAGAATGTATTGTGAAAATACTGGTCAGAAGGAACACACTACCTCTGACTTTTTAAAGACTTCTAGGCAAAGGTATAAAGGTCTTTTGAAATATTATAATAAGGATGAAAAAGATCAGTTAAACAGAATAATGTTCCAGATGCCTTTACATAATAACTCAAGAGCTTAAGAACTCACTAAAACTAGTGGAACCCTATGCCAGTTCTATCGCACCACAGCACATGCACGGGATAGGACATGCATGCAATTTATCAGAAACATTCAAAAGCTACATGTACAACATCGTATCTTCACTTCACATATACAGAAGTACATAGGCAGGCACTGCCTCCAGACACTGACACAGAGTTGTTAGCTTGCATACACAGGCAATATTCAGCTAGAAACAAACTCACTCTTGGGTTTTAACACTGGGACAAGAAAAAAGGATAGGATGACCAGGGGAGGGAAGGGCAGAGGAAACGTGGTATACACCAGGATGAGTCAGTACCGTCATTCTGTAGAGAACCAGGTGCACCACTGTTAAAGATTTGATCCACGTGATTCAATATGAACTCAATCACCACCTGCTGGACCCGGACTGCAAGGAAGGCTGCGTCCCCATTGCAACCAGTGGCTTCAATTTCTCTAGACCTGAACCACAGGGAAAACACAGAGGGTGAGTCTGTTTTGCAACTGAGGCAGCGGGAGAACCCGTGAGCCTTTTGCACAATTTTCATTTCCTAAATGTACATAGTCTATTAATTTGCTGAATGTTTTAACTACTTGAGACCAATTAAATGGACTGCCTAAAGGGCTTTGAAATACAACACAATTTACCTGATATCTAAAATTCAAACAATTTACCAAGTGCTATAAATTACAAGGTTATAAATGTTACTCTATAAATACACAGAAATTAATTCTTCCCTTTTATAGAATCACTCACAATTAGGAAAGTCATCATTTATGAAGCAACATGAAGTAGATGAGTCAGGTTATAGCCAGTTATGAATCACTCTGACCCTCCAAAGCCATGAAATGCCTGCCAGTAAGCCCCAAAACTAAGAAAGTCCTTTTCAGGAAATAGCAAATATTGTATCAGTGAAACCCTGGAACCAGCTCGCAAACACCACTGGAAAGGAGTGATTCCAAGTAAGTGGGCAAAGATCTTAGGATGTGGAAATCACTTTTAATTCATATATGATACAAATGACCACTTAGCTGCAAGCTTGTCTTGAAGGGGCTTCAGATTTGAAGAATACCATCTTTATTTCGATTGGCGAGCTTCCCTTAGCCCACTGAGGTGGTGAGAAGATGAAGTGGTTACCTGAGGAGGTTTGGGGCCCACACCAGAGCCAGGTTCCTGGCATGCATGTTGGTCTGGCTGCTGAAGGAGGCGATGCGTGCCAGGTGGCGAATCAAGTATTCCAAGGTCCTGGAAAGATTCAGTTTTTTTTTTTTTTTTTTAAACAAAGTAAGTAACTTTAGTGCATGACATCTGGAGATAATTCTAAGTTTGGCTATGAGAGGTTCTAAATATTTTCTATCTTATGGATTTTGAAGGAATAGTGGGAAGATATCAAGATTGATGGAAATAATTTTCTCAGCCATAGGCATACTGGTTTCAGGAGAGGAAGGGAGACGGTCTTGTGAGATATTAACTGAGACCCATAGAAAACCAGCCAGAAATAAACTCAGACAGTTATAGCACCTCTGAGAACCTTTCACAGGGGGGCAGAATCGTTGCCACACAACCTGGAAAAATGCTCTCTTTTGGGGAGTGTCTTCCAAGAAAGATTTCTTTGGGCTGCAGGTACTTGTTTAAGGGCCTCATTTCATACACACAAAATATTTAATACTGCTAGGAATTTCTTCTTATACCACATCAAAATCTGTCCCTGTGTAAACAATGGGCAGCTGTGGGCCTGGCGCAGTAGTGTAGCAATTAAAGTTCTCGCCTTGAACACGCCTGGGATCCCATATGGGTGCAGGCTCTAATCCCGGTGGCACCACTTCCCATCCAGCTGCCTGCCTGTGGCCTGGGAAAGCAGTTGAGGATGACCCAAAACTTTGGGACCCTGCATCTGCATGGGAGACCCAGAAGAAGCTCTGGGCTCATGACTTCAGATTAGCTCAGCTCCAGCCGTTGTGGTCGCTTGGGGAGTGAATCATTGGACAGAATATCTTCCTCTGACTCTCTCTTCCCCTTTGTATATGCACCTTTCTAATAAAAATAAACAAATCTTTAAAAAATTGGGCAGCTGTAGGCAACTGGGAGGTGGTAAAATGAGGGACTCATAAAAAGATGGCATGATGTAAAGGATGGTACTGCTAAGCAAGTAGAGGATCAGTTAGCCAAGTGCTCAAGAGCTATGATCAGTTGGTTAAAAACCACCTGGGTTCCCACAGGTTTGTATAATGCTGTGAATCTGTGAGAACCAAGGATGTCACTGTGAGGCTGACTGCCTGTGGAGCCCTGGAGAGCCTTGTGGCCGCCAGCATCAGCTGCCCCCCAGGAAAGCCACTGTCTCCTGAATTTGCTCCTTTTCTTGTAATGCTAGCTTGCTGCTTTGGTATTGTATCACATGGACATTTCCTTTCCCAAGGGTTCTTACCTATAATGGGATGGGGGAAGTTCCTGGATAACATTTTGGATTCTGGCCAGTCGGCCTTCTTCTGGGCAATGTGACACAGCCGCCTATGGAGAAGAACATGAAACAGGCCAGTGAGGACATGCGTGGACATCCACTTGTGTAGGCTGGCATTGCGCAAGCCTCTGATTCTGCAGGCTCACTGCTATGCCCAGAGGTTGCCCTTCCAGATGGCATGTGTTTCCATGAAAACGACCAACTGGAGGTTCATTTGTCACAGTGTATGCTTTCAGTGATGGGAGTATCCTTGGATTTTCAGATGGTTGAGTAGGAATCTGTAGGGTCTTGGTGTGTCTCATGCAGCACAGGGAGTCAGAGACTCTCACTTGGAGATAAGTAAACAGAGATAAGGTGAGAGAGATGACAGGGTGGTATGGCTATATTCAACTGTCTATCTTATGGATATAATTAGCCAGTCCTCACCTCACCTGTGACTATCCAGATATCTTAAACACTCAGTTGCTACCTGTCCTAGGTCCTAGGAAGTAGGGAAGACATGCTTTCCTTGGTGGGCTAAGTTTTGTCCCTACAGCACAGTGACCCTGCCCAGATTTGCTCTCTGACTATTCCCTGTGTGGGTATTTTGCTCTCCTAGCAGCCTAAGGACCTTCCAGAGGAGGTAGGAATGACATGCAAGTAGTGTGATTGCAGACTGGTCCACCTCATCTCTCACAAGCTAGGAATCCCTGGGCAGAGTCCTGTGATCCTGGTTCTGCCCTCAATCTGAGACTCCGACATACCCAAGGCAGCATGTGGGTGCTCATGACCTGCCAGTGTGGGAGCAGTAGTCCTAGTTTTCTTTCTTTTTAAAGATGTAATATACATACATCAACAGGTTTTCAAGAAGTTCGTGGAAATGCATGTTTTAGAAACCAAAAATTATTTTGTACCAAAATCAACTCATCTCTTAGTTCTTTTTTTCCATGAACTTTCTAAGTACTCTTATATTTCCTCCAAGTATTGGGAACTTGTTGTACACTTGAATGTAGTGAATGGAATAATTATACAATGTATCCTCAGTTTGATAAATACTAACCCTGTAATACAATACTAAGATGCTAACTGTGGTGATGGCTTTCTTAATGTGAATTGTTCACTCCTATTCACCTACATACACCTGCCATTTTTCTACTTGTATGTAGTAAACACTGAAGCTGACATTTTCCAGAATGACAAAATTTTCAAGCTGGATAAAGTGAAGGGAATTAACTTTACTGGGCACTCTCTGTTTTCCAGGCCATATTTTAGGCCACATCCGCTGTATATACTCCAGTGTAACTCAGAGGACTCTATGCTCCTGACCAGGCATGGACTTACCAAGCCCTCTCTTTCCTCCACAGCTGTCTCCACCTTTATGTATACTGCAGGATGTTATCTACTTAAGTTGTCAGTTGTCAGTCTCCTGTGTTGGAGTACAAGCTCTATAAGCTCAGGAATATGAAGAATCCCATTGTGCACAACATTACCTGGCACACAGTAGGCACTCCTTACTTTGGCCAACTGTATCCATCAACTTTTTCCTCTTTATTTTCTTGAAATTTAATTGAAGTAAACATATATACTGAAGTTCATCATTTTAGGAGGCAATTAAAATTCTCCACATGGAAAATTTCAGGCCTCATTTCCTAAGCAGAAGTGAGGACAAATGTAGGCTTGGGGGTGTTAGCCACAGGTTCCCCAATCTTCTGGTGGGTTTGCAACCAGAGAATATACCTACCCAGTACAAACAAGATCTCTGCTGCAATCTGGCTTGCCGGGATATGCAGGGTGTAGGGGCAGCAGCAAGAATGGAACCTCTAGGAAGCAAGCCGACGCCTCCCTTCATCAGAGCTGCTGCTCAGACAATAACACGGCCTGGTGAAGAGGACTCTGGCTGCCCCAAAGCAGGGAGACACTCATAAGAGGAACAGAAGGAGGAACTGTAGATTGCAGTGGTGGTACCTGCCACACTCTGGACACTGAGCAAGGAGTGGGGAAGTCCCTCTTCATCTCTCAGCAAAACCATGATCAATCAAGCTTTGCAAACCTTTGCACCACGCCCCTGAATAAAAGGTGTCTTGGGAATAAAGCTGTAGGTCAGTTAGTCAGCCCTCAATGGAAACTTCCTTTACCATGCGGAAGCTCTTGCTCATCTTTCTCCTCTAAGCAGGGCAGGGCTGCCTCTACTGCCACAGTGCCATTTAGGTTTGGCCTCTTTCTTCACTGACAGCCTCTCCTCCTTCCTCCCCAATATCAAGGAGAAGCTCACTACGTTTTAGATTTTTCTTCTGTAGGCATGGGTTCTCTACAAACTTATTTTTAAAAAGGATTTATTTTATTTTTATTGAAAAGGCAGATATACAGAGAAAAGGAGAGACAGAGAGGAAGATCTTCTGATGGTTCATGCCTTAAACAGATGCAATGGCTGGAGCTGAGCTGATCTGAAGCCATGAGCCAGGAGCCTCTTCCGGGTCTACCATGCAGGTGCAGGGTCCCAAGGCTTTGGGCCATCCTTGACTGCTTTCCCAGGCCACAAGCAGGCAGCTGGGTGGGAAGCGGGGCTGCTGGGATTAGAACCGGCACCCATATGGGTGTGTGTAAGGAAAGGACTTTAGTTGCTACGTTACTGTGTGTTGCCAGCCATATCTGTATGTACTGGCTACATGCCGTACCCAAAATGGCGCCGGCCAGAAAAGCCACATCTTGGTGTTTGGTGCAGAGTCACGTAGCATTCACTGTACTGCGCAGGCGCCTAGCGCATGCGCAGTGAGCTGCGGCGCGGCAGGCACGTAAACACTGGGACTGACGAATCCAGTCGCCCAGAACCCTGCGTAATCATGACGCCGACCTATCATCGGCGGAGGCGGGGCCAGACAGCACATAAGAGCAGAAAGCCTGCCGGGTTCGGCGTCCCTCCTCTTCATGTTGGTGTGCACAATAAATTTTACCGCAGGAGGCTTCACTCGCGTCTGCGTCTTATTGCTGGGCGGTAAGACACGTGGGCGCGACAACTGTGCCAGCCCAGGATTTGTTTATTTATGTTCTTCTCTTAGGATAATAGAACCCATCTTTGAGCAATTGGGGGGAAGGTAGTTTAAATCTTTTGGCCACGTCAACTTTTTTGCCTATAGAAGAATATCACTCAGTAAGAGTGGGCCTGTTTGGCTGGTGGCAAAACCTTGAAAGTTTCAGAATGAAAACTATAACCATTTGCCTCTGACAAGCTTCCAATTTCTTCGAGGTCTCTGACAAAGACTGAACTCTGGTCCTTGTAGTACAGCTCTCACTTATGATTCTCTGTTTATCCACAGTTCACCTCTGCCCCTGCAGCTCAAGTCCTGTTTCCAGGCAGCCCCATCGCCAGACAGACCAACACAAACCACCTATGGCCATCCCATCTACACCCCAGTGGTGACATAATTTTTTGTTAAGCATTTAACAATAATTTTAAAGTCATTTTAATATCTTAAATTATTTTGAGCCACTGACTGTATTATTTAAAGAGCAATTCATGCAAGTAATTTTTATAAAGCAAAGTAACCGTAAGAATAGACAGGGCCTAGCTTGGTAACCTATGTCTTGCAAAAGTAGTATTTCATCTGGGTCATTAAAAATAATTCTTCTTGGGCCTGGCATGGTTGCCTAGTGGCTAAAGTCCTTGCACTCGCCAAGATCCTATATGAGCGCTGGTTCTAATCCCAGTTGCTCCCATCCAGCTCCTGCTTGTGACCTGGGAAAGCAGTCGAGGACGGCCCAAAGCCTTGGGACTCTGCACCCACATGGTAGACCCAGAAGAGGCTCCTGTCTCCCAGATTCAGACTGGCATGGCTCTGGCTGTTGCGGTTGCTTGGGGAGTGAATCAATGGACAGAAGATCTTCCTCTCTGTCTCTCCTTTTCTCTGTATATCTGCCTTTCCAATAAAAATAAAATAAATTTTTAAAAATTATTATTAAAAAAAGAATAGATCGTCAGCCTTTAACCACTCTTCCTTAGTCTCCAGATGCAACTGCTCTGTGTCCTTCCACATAATCTGTACCTGATAACAAACCTTTCTTCGACCTGTTGGATCAAGTGCTGCCTTCCCTGAGTACTCTTACTCCAGCCTCCATCATTTCATCCATGTCAAACACTCTGAAATACATGTATTCTTGACTGCAGCTGCTATCTCTTTTGGTATCCCCTTTCCTCAGACAGTTACAATTTGTTCCTGTGCTTTATCCTTGTCTCTCTTCAACTGTTGCCTCATAAAAAGACCTCTGGTTACTCTACCTCTCTAGGCCCTGAGTTATAAACCAATAGAACCTATCAACATCTCACAGAAGATTTCTGCCTTATATTTGCCTATCATTTCTCTCCTCCAGGAAAGTATAAATTGCACAAGAGCAAGAATTTTTTTCCTATCTTGCTCATGGCTAAATTTGCAGCATCCAGAACTATGCCTGCAAAGTACTCAAAGCATGTTTGTTGAAAGAAGGGAGTTAAATGAAAAGTCAATATTTTGCTTCATGCTTAAAAAATGCCAATCAGCCGTATGTACGACACACTTTCAGAACAGCATCACCTTGGACTATTCCCCATTGTGATGAAAACTAGCATGGCAGCAGCCAGTATTGTGGCACATGAGTTAAGCTTCCTGAGACACTGGCATTCTATATGAGCATCAGTTTGCCTCCTGGCTGCTCCACTTTCAGTCCAGCTCCATGGTAATGTCCTACCTGGGAAAGCAAGAGAAGGTATTCTAAGTCCCTGGGCCCCTGTCACCCATGTAGGAGGCCTGGACAAAGTGTTAGGCTCCTGGCTTTGGCCAGATCTATCTTCCTTTCTATTTTCCTTTCGTCTGTTCTTCTTCCCTTCTTTCCTTCCTCTCTCAAACCCTGCCTTTCAAATTAATTAATTAATTAAAATTTCGGGGGGAAAACAAACAGCACGGCTGAGGCAGCCCCTCAGTAAAAAGCTAGTAGCAGCGTAAACCACCTTCCTGTTTTGCTGAGATGGGAAGGTATCCAGTGCTATGGCTCCCTCAAATGTTAATGTGGGGTGAGCCACTGGAAAACCAAGTCAACTACT